GCTGGACTTACCCATTCCCTGCACAGCGGCACAGGTGGAGCAAAGAATGATGACCAAATAGAGCAGCCTTGGCTGTGACCATCGGTGCGTAAATTCCTTGCGCAGAATTGCGAGTTCGCCCTCTTCTAGGCCTTTAACCGTGTCGAAACGGGCAGGATCCTGAGCCAAGACAGCTCCGAGACGAAAAGCTCGCACATCTTCCATTTCGCCCACTTGGTTTTTAAGGGCGTATTCTTCGCCCAGTTGCTCCAGTTCAGCATGGCTGTAGCCTGCCAGGGGATTGGCGAGTTTGGCATTCAAGTTGCGACGAGCACGTTCTGCAGCAGTGACGGATGCTCGACGGGAATCGGAAATGTTCACCTGGGAAGGACGATGCTCTGGATAATTTGGACGGTCGACATAATCGGCGTGTTCCGTCTGGTTTTTGGTGCTCTTTTCATACTCACCAGACGAATTGTCATGCCGCATAGGGTCGGCCATTTTGAGAACAGATTAGCTAGAACGGAGAGGCGGGCAGCAGACAATAACCAGTGGAGTAGCCACGGAGAGGTAATGTCAAAATGAGTAGCAATCACATTCAGCAACCACTCTTGGTATTCAGCTGCGATGAGTCTTCTATTCGAAGTGCGAGCCTCAAATGTAGAGAAAAGGCAGCAAGACAGCGAAGCAAGAAGGCTGACAAGAGTGGAAACAGCACGATGAGGTGGGAGGCGGAGAACTAAATATGAGCGCGGAATTAAAGACGCAAGGCCGGAGCGGGTGTGTGCTGTAACAAGCCGTGACAAGGCTAAGGGAGTATAGCTTAACAGTTACGAGGAACAGACAACCTCGGAAGAGACTACGGCACATCAGCCTTTGCCTGTCATCATCGGAAAGCTTTTGAGCTTCGCCGTTGGGGGCCAGCACCTAAACCCTTCGGCCTTTATTCGCGTCGGCCGCTGCATAATTTAGTGCATCTCCAGTCCGTCAATGAAGGAAGCGGTGGTGTGTGTGTGGGTGTGTGGGGTAAACGACCTGTACCATATCCCACAAGTTACCTGCTCCTACCTACCTTATGCCCCTCTCTTTGCATTCTATCGTTGGGAATGAGAGTAGGAAAGCATGGAGGCGTTTGCCGCAACAAGGATAGTGGATGGTGGAGGAGAGTTGGACAAGGTCGTTGCCATTACGTTGGAGGCGTCAGCTGGCGGGCGGCGCCCCTCGGTCCCCGCGTTCGTCATTGCATGACAGACTAGCAAGTCACTCGACAGCCGAGTCATAAATGCTTCAATGAAAAGGGACTCCTGTGACCATTCATTCTCATTCTCTCTCTCTCCTGCTTAGCGCAATTCAAGATGTCGTTGCAAAAGAAGTTATTGGTGCAAAGCTCCTCCAAGACCCCTGCAAAAATGCAGCGCAGTCAGCAGCGCGGGCTTCAATTTTAACCACATCAGTGAAGGAGTCATGCAGTGAGACCGCACTGTAACCCTCAGCCTACTCGAATCCCCCAGCTGCTGTGTGGTGTCGAAGCGCACGGCCTGCTTATCTAATCCATCTCCTTCCCCACATTTGCGGAGAGACGCAACAGAAATGAGCTAATCCACAATTACCTTAGCGTTAGACTGCCAAGGCGCCATGATGAGCGGGCTAGGCTGTGATTAGCTTAGAGCGCGGAGTGTTAGACTCACTTCTCCACATCTCCCCCTTCTACCGTTTCCCCTCGCTCTTCATGTTTTTTGCTCTATCCTGAAGACGCCCCCGGTCGCAAAATTTAGGGAACCCTAAATCCGTTTTACTTTAGGAACATTAATTTATTCCGACCATCAGACCTTCAAAAACACGCCACTAATTGGACGATCGGCCTGGCGACCGGCTGCTCCGAGAGAGAGCTCTCTGGGACCTTTTGCGGTGGTCAGCTGCGTTCCGCCGGGCTCCCCAAGCCGGGCATCCGCTCTCAATCGTACTGGTTCTCCCGCTGTCTTTAAAACCCGTGCAAAAATACTCGCTAAACGGCTGAGAGTGCCTACCTTAGGCATTCCTACGTCATCGATCTTTTTGGGTGCCGTAGAGATGCTCCCTAGAGGCTGAAAGGGACACGCCCCAGGAGTGCCATGAACCCAATTAGGGCAAGCCGACACGTGTAGGCTAAGGCTCATACCTTGCCTTTTGGCCAAATGGTCAACCTTGGTTGCTTGAAGGGACCACGGTTAAACATACTCTCTGATGCATGTCAATGGGCCCCGAGGTAAAGGATTTGCGGATCAAACAAGAACAAAGTGCAATCATTCTGCAAATCCGACCAATCGGCTCCCAAGTCAGCCGAAAGAAAGTCTTCCAAAGTAATCTGGGGATGCTGGGATCTACAACCCACACCACCATATTCGCCGACGATTTGACACTTCCATTGATATGTTGCGTATCGTGATTTACTGTCATCTGAATGTACCTAGTCAAACCACATATGGCTGTACGGATAAATGTCCGATTTCCCGAAGCCGCACACTAGCTCGTTCAGCTGCCCAGCCACGAGCGTGTCCCGATGAAAGGGCTGGTCGCTGCGTCTCATGGCACTCATCCTAAGCCAGGACGCCTTTTTCACGAGGCCTTTCTCATAACAAATAGATACCCTGAAGCCGTGAGAATCACGCAAAGAGAAAGGACAGAAGGGAAGCACTCAGATATTGATTTGCAATAAGTTTACCTCCTTTGTGGCATCTCAATACAACTCTCGGCAAATGACTTGTCATAAAGAAATATAACTATAGAACAAATAAAAGGTACTCCCCATTTGCAGCCAACTTTGCACCAAGAAGCTTTTACCGCGTAAGGAGCAAAAATAATTGTTTACTGATGATTCATTGAGAAATTTGCCGTGAAGACCTTGATATGGGACTGAAAAGACTAAACGAACGGTAAGTCACGACCGAAAATATATCCAACCGCAGACGGAGTGGCGGCTTGGCAGGGGTCAATGACCTCAGGCCTAGAGTCAGTCTCTATCACCTTCTTTACTTGAATAGATCTGATCTTCTAGCTGTGCAGCTTCCCCTGGCTGTTCCAGTGAAGGTTCCAATTGAGGTCTTTCTTGAAAGAGTACCTTCAAGGCATTGTCTGCGGCTCGCGTCTCAACTTCAACTCTGCTCACACCATCGGAAACTCTACAGATCTTCTCTTCATCCATGGAGACCGAACACCAGTATCTATTGTTCCCTTCGACTTCTTCGATACCAGTGGTATAACGGATGCGTTTGTTGCTGGCGAGCCGACCGAGCTCCTCCTTTGGATGCAACATATGCACCTGCCCGCTAACCAGTCGACGAAGATAGGGCAGTATCCCAATTCGCTCAGCAACTTTCTCACATGCGGAAGAAGCATCAGAAGCATCCAGGTAGACGGCACCAAGGAGACTTTCCACAATATCGGAAAAGAACTTTTCTGCCCCCAGACTCGCCAGGGAAGCCCACGGGTAGACGTTCCCATGCACAAGGGCATTTTTGAGTTGCTCTCGGAGCTCTGCATGGCGCCTGACAACAGCCCTCTGTGCTTTGACCAGTTCTGCAGAGGAATTGTGACGCATGAACTTCCAAAAGTGATGTTGAACCGGAGCGTGTACTTCTTCAAACTCACCAGAAGACGGATTGACAAGGACATCGATTCGGTCCTGTTCGATGAGCCACTCTAGGCACAAAAAGGCAAGAAAATTTGCATTAACCAAGGCCGTCTTCATCAGATGCATCTCCTGCACTGACAGTTGCGGATTATGCCGGAAAAGATAAGAAACTACCAAGTTCTCGAGGACGGCATCGCCTAAGAATTCTAAACGTTGATATGACCTGGCAGAGACATCGCCCGAAAATGAAGCGTGTGTCATTGCTTCGAGAAGCAGCCTTTTCTTTCCAAAATTGTGACCGACCAAGACTTCAAGCTCGGTAAACACCGGCGGCAATTTTTGGTCAGACGGGAATTGATCATATATCGACTTCTTTCGCTGCTCCAATGGCAGCCAATTTACTTCTGGTAGGAAAACCTTTAAGCATTTAAATGCCTTTTCGTATCCGCCGTCAATGAAAGCTGCACCAATCAATGCCTCGACAACATCTGCAAGTACTTTGCTAGACATTTCCCGCTTTTCCAGACCCTCGAGACGGAGAAGATTGGAGATATAATTTGGACGCCATTTGCTGCCAGTGAAAGCTTTTGTTAAAATGTACTTATCTAAGCCAACATGCGTCGATGCCTTGGATAGTCTCGAATTAGAGACAAGACGATCTTTTTCGGCGCTAAGGTATCCTTCATGCCAATTGCCGTGCTCATCCATCAATTGCAGGGAGACGCTGAATTTGAGAATACTATCCCCAAGGAACTCTAGTCGCTGATAGTCTACGGCCTCTCTCGCGGAAGAGGCGCAAAGGGCGGTTACAACCAGGTCTAAATCGTTGAACTCCACTGATGAAAGCGTGGTCTCACATAGTCTTTGGGCTAGAATCCACTTCCCACATTGGTGCATTATCGACGGAATAAATAGTGCAAATTGAGCGTATATGAACGGCAAAATGTCCACGTCGCATTGTGAGATCGGCAGATATCGTAAAGGTGGGCGTGAAATATCACCCGGATCAGACGATGGTAATGCAAGTGCATGTAGAAAATCCGTCCGTTTGCTAAGACGACAAACTTCAAGATAAGGTCCGTCAGCCAAGAGGTCTTCCTCTTCACGGATACTTTCCAAATCAGGGCAATCATCAAGAGGCTTCGTCCTCTGCAAAACATGCGGAGCGCCGAAACGGGATCGATTGCGGACCAATCCAACAGCAGCAAGCCCAGCATTTTGTACAAGTGCATCAGAAGCAGGTAACGCTCCTGCCGAACGTTTTGTCCAAGACTGCATCACGTTGAGCGCGATATTAGGGGTAAACAGGGCGGGAAAGTCCAGGCGGCCAGGCTCAATCCTGGAACGGTAAACGGAGTTATAGAGCAGATAGTTCGCTTCGGAAAGATGAGTGAAATTGTCCGTCGAAGAACGCCTCGTGGCTTGGCCTTCGAGGGCAATCGAAAAAACGGTTGCAATGTCCCACTGTATCTGAAATTGAATGTTCGAAGGCAGTGCATGAGGCAGCCACATTAACATATCTAGTGACTGTTGACCTGCCTTTTCGACGGTCAATTTAGACCCGATCAGATTATCGGAGTGCGTTATTTGTTGTGCAATCCCAGCCCAGGGATCGAGCCTCTCATCCACAGACAGCACTGCGAGTTGTTCGTTTCCGACAGCAGTTCTATCAAACTCAGACTTTGGCAGCCTTAGCGGCAGAAGATTGTCATTTATGAGCCCGGCGTTATAAAGGCCAACATATGCTTCGAACGCTGCGTCTTTCTTTGCAGCCTTCTCTGTTCTCCACCAAAATTTCCCGATAAAAGTCCGGACCGAAGGGTCAACAGACAAGGGAAGAACAACCCGAGCGCGAACATTGCCACATCGGTCCTCCTCGATAGAAAATCGTGGTCCTCTATCGACATACGCGTCTGAAGAGAGTGTGTTGCAAAAATGGTAGAGGTGAGATTTTGCATTGTCAAAGGTCAAGAGCGCACTTCAAGCTGGTCAGTCATTCAGTCCATAATAATGGAAAGAAAATGCGCCATACCCCGTAGAGTTAACCTGGAGTTTCTGATTCGATTGCTCAAGCTCATTCTCTTGAATCTGTAAAGCCTCGAATTCCCTTTGGTCATCTTCGTATATGCGTTTCATTTCGCGCTCAAGTTCGTGGAAGATGTCCACCGAAGACAAGGAATTTTCCTCCAACAATAGCGCAAGCTTGGACTTGGCTTGTCTTGCTCGTCCTCGCCGCTGGATAAAAGACTTGACATTAGGTATTCTGTCAAAGCACACGACTACTTTGCAGCCTGGGACATCGATCCCCTCTTCCAAAACACTTGTTGCAACAATTAAGTTTCTGCTTCGATCCCTAAATTCATCCAGGTGGCTCCATTGATCTTTAATCTCTGCAAGATCCGCGATGTTTCGTTTACGTCTTGAACTACCAGAGAGACCAACGAATGCACCACATTTGAATAGGTCCCGTGTATCTGGATGAAGCGCAATGATCTGTGATAAAACGGCGACTGTAGCACGTCGCTCTGCAAACACTATCCCAGCAAAAGTCGGGCTCGCTTCGGCGACGAGGAATTTCAGTAAACATCGTACCTTGTCTGTAATCTCCGTCAAATACTCAGGAAGAGCTTGGTCGTCAGAAATAAGGTAGACTTTGTCCAAAATTTTATAGACGTATCGCTTTTCTTCATCTGTATACGAAAGCTGCAAGTCATCGTTTGCTACCACGGCCGCTTTAAACCTTCGTATGCAGAAACTGATATATATGTCCGCCGCCCAACCTCCCAATTCTTGGTAAATATTGATGGAGCGGTTGACGAGGAGTTGGATTTGCTGGTGGGTGTAGGTTTTATGATTAACCAAAATCTCTTGGAGAACAGCTTGATCCCGAGGATCCGTGCTTGACTTGAGCGAGATGACCCAAGGGTCGTCTCTGATGTCAAGCTCATTAAATGCACTCAGAAGGCTTCGGAGGGTTTGAGTGCCGAAAGACCCGTGATTTGCATACATTGAGGGCCTGGGGTAAAAGAGGTTGACTAAGGCGGGGTGATGAACTTGTTTTAACAAATCTTCTCGATGACGTTTCGGAGACCTAGCGATTGCGTCTAGATTTCCCTCAATGACCCTATGATATCAATAAGTGCGTATGGACGGAGTGTTTTCAGCGCGCTTACTGAATTCCAAATTTGTCATTTGTAATTATGGGGCTGGCACTGAGGCCCAATATATGCGGTCTATCACACCCGGGTCCTTTGAACGTCAAGGGACGATAGAAATCACGCATTATACGATTTGCAGGATGGTTCTTAATACAATGGTGAGCTTTAAAACATTAGCAAACCAGTGTTCTGGGCTCAAGCAGGTTCCTGAGTGCTAATCCTACCCTCGTCGAAAACCATCAAGCCCAGAGCTTCCATTTTGACAAAACCATGGGTGAGAGCATCTGAAAGAACTTGATGAGTTGAAACAACGATGCGAATATTTTTGAGAATGGCATCCCACTGTCGCTGGTCGCTCCAGCGATCGACTATATCTCCACTAAGAAACCGAGCTTGGTGTACGGGAAGATGCAACTGTAGGACGCGATATTGCTGTTCACATAGTGCCACAGTTGGAGCCAAAAACCATACAAGCTTGACAATTGGTTAACAGCCATGAGGAAGAAGATAAATATAAAATAGAATTACCTTATGAAGTGGGAGTCTTTCAAGCTCTGCTTCAATTCGCATTACCGCTCTAATAGATGAAGCTGTCAGATATTTATACTCTTAACCTTACACAGAAGATTATTGAGTGCTGCATAACATTCAATTAAATTACGGCAACAAAACGAACAACTCCCGTACACGTGAGTTTTTCCACTACCCGTGTCCATCTTAGGATCGTTAATTCGTATTGGCTAACAGATCTGGATGCCGAAAACTCACGGCAACTATGATGTTCTGTCGCATGCTTTCCTCAAACATCTCCATCTGATATCCACGAGCTTGCATGATTTGATCCAGCTTTGGACCATCTTCGTCCACAGGTCCCCGCGGGCCTTGGTCAGAGATCTCCTCGAGCTGGTCGGGCATGTTGCCAGATTAGAGAACTGAAACATGGAGTTCAGACGTATGCATTAGAGAGAGAGGAGGAGGCGGATAGACAAGAAAATCAAATGGTTTGAATGGAAGGGGAAATCCTCCGCCACCTTAACCGATGGTTATGCTACCCTTCAGAAGAACGGTAAATGCCGAGCTGGGGTGTGACAAATACCTATTCATCTTCAGTTGGAGATTGGTTGAGGGTTAGAGAGAAAAGCATCTGGAACAAAGGTTCGTGCATATGTAGTTGCAAACACAGGCCAGATATGACGCTGAAAACGATTGTTTGCTAAACATGCTAGTGTGACAAAGCTGCAAAACCATGCTAGCAGTTTCGGAACTAGTTAATAGATGGGAACACAAAACCACCAGCAAGCTTAGAAGCATAGTAACCTCACGCGGTTTACAAGTGATTTTGAGACTATTACCTTCGCGAACAGAAGCACACAAAATGCGATACAGAATGCAAAACTGCAGATGGAAAAAAGCTCTATGCATTTTCTATGCACGTGGAAACATCTCATGAGAAAAGAAAATCATACAGTGCGCCCGGTTTCGTTACCTTTAAAGACTTGTGAGGTAATCCTCAATCTCTTGAGGCGATAGCTTCCTGAATCTTGGGCCTTGCGCTCCTTCAACCCCCTCGTAACCCAGAAGATGGTCTGCAGGTGGTCCTACAATGCCTGAAAAGCAGTTAGAATGAAGTCTTTTTAAAGACGCTAGAGGGACTCACCAATTTCAACTGTTTCTCCATTCATCTCCCCCTCAATTGTCTCTTTGAGTGTGAGAAGAGCAATGTGGATCGCATCTTCGAGTTCCAAACCCTCTGTGTATCTCTTCTCTAAAAATGTCTTTGCGCTAGTTGCACTCTTGCCAATAGCGGTCGCCTTCCAAGGAAAATAGCTACCGCTGGGATCCACCTGGTAGAGACTGGGTCCGCCCTTTAGAATACCGCCAGTCTTTCCAGAGACTTTCTTTTCGGCTTCAGCATCGCCAGCTTCCGCAGCCTTCTCGGTCTCAGGCTCAATGCCGTCATCCCATCCAGCAATGAGCAGGCTGACTCCGTATGGCCGCACACCACCAGATTGAGTAGCCTCTTGCATCACCCTAGCGACATCCTGCACCAATATTCTCGTTGGGGGATATTCATTATAGATACGTTTGTAGCCAGTATGTGAGACCTTCCGAGCCTTGTCGACGAGAATTCGGTAGTCGGGCCCCATTCCGGAATACACCATACCAATGTTCGGAGTTATGAGACTGACTTTAGAAAGCGAAGGAGGATCAATTAGGGGCGAGGATGACTTCTTTTCGGTCGCGAGGACGATGCCATTTGTGGCTAATGAACAAGAAACTATCAGTATCGCTTCAACAAGTCCACAGCTATGCAAAGAGGCCAGGCTACCTTTGATTCCTAATGATGTAACACCTTGGTTGACGGCGTTGAGTGCATACTCTGTCGAAATGAACATTAGTACAGATCCGTTTGGCAAAACTTCCAGGCTTGGTGGGTGATCAGCGGCCCATGAAAGTTTTCATACCGATTTGAACCAGTTTACCACTGCGATTGACGTTAGCATTGCTTTTATTAATAGGAAAGGTTCAGTAAAGCAGCTCAAAGAGGTGGCTTACCTGGGCGAGAAAGTTGTAAGAGAGAACGAGTATCGGTCCGCCATGATTGTGCTGACCGGGAAGAGATATGATTTCGCGTACTCTATCCAAATTTATTATAAAGAATGATGGCAAGGAATTGTGAAGCCCTTCGACAGAGCTCAGTTTAAGCTTGACCTTGTATCATCGAGCTCGTCTGAAGGCTACCGTCGTAGTACGCGGATCGCGCTTGATTATGTAATCCCGTTTAGCGACCAAAGGCCATTCAAAAATGTCAGCTCCGAGGCTCCAGCTCAAAATCGCTTTCTTCCCACGTTTTCCACAGAAAAATCTGCTTCGCCTGCATGAGCAGTACGACAAAGTTTGAGGACGTGATTGCCTGAAGCTCTGGTGGTGGTCTTTAGTGGCGCCTCCTTGTATTTCTTTCTTCTTTTTCTCTGTGTGCTTTTTTTTTCTTCTTTTCTGGGCCGAATATTCGAGTTCCTCTTACTAAGCTCAGCGAATCCTTCATGTTTACATAAACGCTGAATGCTGGCAAGCCAGATGTACTAACAGTAACCATCTAACCTCCCTTTTGACATACATATATGAAGCATAGCCGCCATGGAAACCAAGCAGAGCAAGCCGCCAGGGGCATTTCGCGACGAATGGGATTGGCCAAGCGATCTACCAGCGGATCAACCACGGGCGGAAAATACTCATCATAATGAACATGCTAGAACAACTGAGGGAACGCGTTCAAACCCTCGACCGCAGCAATATTGGCCACCTCGAACCTGTCGTATATGCCTTGAGACAGTCCTCCCATCTTTTGAACCTCAGTCCGAGTTCCTTCCGACCTTTCTTCAGTCTGCTCCCAAAGTTTCCTACGTCTCTGCAGATCCCGATTATGGCAGATTGATCAGTCCCTGCAAGTGTAAGGGCTCTTCAAGATATGTTCATGAGGGATGTCTGCAGGCGTGGCGAAACGCAGATCCTGGATATGGAAGAAGAAACTATTGGCAATGCCCGACATGCGGGTTCAGATACAAGTTGGAGAGGATGCGATGGGGGAGGTGGATCAGTAGTACTGGTGAGTTAATGGTGCGACCATTCAACGGAAAGTATAATTGCTAACCACTATATTCCTGCCACAGCAACCCAAATATCAATGACTTTAATAATCTTATTCTTAACTATGTTTATCCTTGGTTTTGTTGCTGACCCTATCATCAATTTCTACCTCGATCCTTATTCGACCCTTGTCAATCCACCCCGTTTCCAATCACGGACCAAAATTGAACCTGTCCTGCTAGAAGAAGGCTCGCCTTGGATCGAACACTTTCTTAAGGGATTAGCTTCTCTCGGACTACTTAGCTTCGTCAAGGTCCTACTTGCAATGTCTCCGTGGCAATGGTGGAATTTACGTAATTCTGGCCTCGTGGGCGGCGGTCGGCCCGGCGGATCGGGACGTGATCGACTTGCTTCTCTTAGTTGGACTGTTGTGTTTATTGGCGTCTGCACTTTTCTTTGGGTAAGGAACGCGACTTGCTCATTCATACAAGATTAAACTGCTAATTATTTTTTAGGGCGTGTATAGAGGAGTTAGGGCCTGGAGCCGCAGAGTGCTCGTAAATGCTGGCGAACGTGTAATGGACGTACAGAGTGATGAAGATGACGAAGATGCCACACAGAATGAGAGGAAGAAAGACTTGTGATTGCTATCTAGCTTTTCGCAGCTCTTGGCTCTCCAGATACCCACTGAACGAAAGACATTTTTCAATTGTTAGACTGCGCCCAATCGAGTCTTTTCAGGAGCATGTTTTTCTTTTCTAAAGCCTATCAGGTTTTGAGCCTGCCATCACCTCTTCCGCACATACTTTGAGTTGTCACTGTCCTTTCCAATGACGTGCCAATCAGTCAACGTGCGAAGATCGAACGTCTGCGGAATCTTGAATATGGATCGTTTTGATCCTGTTCTCTGGGACTGCTCGACCATACCACGAATGATTTGCTTGGTCCATGCTAATCTTCTGAATTTTTATAATTCTACTACAGGCTTAGCAGCCAAGCCAAAGTGGTACAAAATCGTCATGCTAGAATATATGTAAAAGTATGAATGAAGGAATTCCTCTTGCATTGAATTTTCTTGAAGCAGAGGCTGCAAGAATCTGCATTTCACATCTACATATGTGAATTACAAAGACACAATCTTTACGATCGGATTGTTCATATATTTGTTGTACTTTTGTTCTTTTTCTTTGTTCTTGGCTCAATCATTACTGAGTCCCCGCTTGTGGAAATGTTATGTTTCTTTATAGGCAGCATCCATTAAGTCTTTCAGTGAATCACGACTGCCAGATCAGTCTGGAAAACCTAGGAAACCTCGGAGCCTTATCTTTTAATTGATTAGAAAACATCTTTTAAGCCAGAAGTTTGTGGAACGTCAACCATCCACACGTCTCCCTCTTTGTGAGCTGTAGAGGTATGCCAACGCGCCATTAAGCTTCAATTTCAAGACAATGGCGACGCCAAGATCCAGCTCTTCTGGGGATGCTAGATACAACTCATCTGCTTCAAGCAGCGCACAAACTTCCTACAATGTGATGTCTGCAGCTCACCCTTTTGACCAGGATTTGCCCATTCTCATCTTGGACGACGCTGGCTTTACAAATGTCTTTACAAATGTCACTCAGATGCCTAAGGCTACTGTCAATCACCATACTGAGCTCATGAATCTTCTAGGCTCAGGCAAGATCAAGCAGAATATTGTCCGTCTTTTCTCGATAATGATCAACATGATAAAGCACATTCATATTGCACTGTTCCACGCCTCGAATCGTCATATAATCGAAGATCCCATCCTTGAGCAAGTGATGCGAGTCACCTATTCGATGATAATGGCATATGACACCATCCAACGTAGCATACAGGGCAGATTCAGCACGCTCTGTGATTTGCAGCTTCATCTTCCCAGGCTCGAATCTCTCATCGATCCTTACGAATTACGCAGTGCGGTTGTGCTTTGGATAGAGAGGCTTAGGTATGTCAGCCAAAGGTTCTTTTGTTTTTTTGCTAGATGCTACTGGATAGTACTGACCTCGTCTACAGGGCAGTTCAAGCTCTCTCCAAGGCAGAATGCCATTTGTACTTTCACTTTGCAGAATTCTACGAGGAACAAATCTATCACTCTTTCCTGCAGAAGCATCGGGCAGACCCTGAACACGACATCTGGGAGCTCGCAGCTCATTTGAACAGCGTCTATGCAGTTGTGGAGGACGTTGCCATCTTATCTCGACAATTTGCAGCAACTTCGGAGATTGTGAGGCAGTCCATCTACACTGCTTTAGAGCGCCTCAATGAGACCCCGCGTGTTTGGGCGGAAGACCGCAAAGTCACCATGTGCAGGGTGAAGTTGGAGAGGAGCGCTGCGGAGGCCGGGGAGCAATTTGAACTGAAATTATCGAGATCTGCGGAGATAAAGGACCTTAGAGCTTTCAAGGCGAGAGTGGAACGCGATCTTGCTGCAATAGCTCAAAGTGGAAGATCAGCAGCTCTGAAGCGCCAGCCGGCAACTAGGAAACCATCGAGGTTCGTTCCGCGGCCGGGCCTGAGGAAGCGCGAGTACACCCTTTGAGGGAGGCAAGCACGACTTGCGGGTCTAGCATAGCTATACCCCTATCTTTGGGATGAGCATTTGCTCAAAAGTGCACAATGAACTTTGCTTTGTTCTTACAAGAGCTGCTTTATAGCATTGTCTCTGCTGCCTATTAGAATTCGCCAGTACGGCTGTAAGACCACTAATTTAGTAGAGCGCGCTAAATTGATAACTCTAAAAGTCGATGAAACGGGGAATCTCTAGCCGAGTTTAGTGACGATCTCGGGAAAAGCTCCCACTGTATTGCACGCTTACTTACTGTGTTTATAGTCAAGCTGAATAGGCAGCCATTTCATCTCGACTGATATACAACGCCATGTCCTCGGATGCCATTATAAATTATTGTCAAGCTTTTGTGCTCCGACGTTTCGTTTGCCCATGAAGGCCAATAAATCATATCGAGAAATCGCTATGCCGTCGGTTGAGGCCTGTACGTGGTCACTTGACCTGGGTTCGTCTTTTGAAGTCGAGCTTTTTGGCCCCGGTATTCGCTGTATCGAATTGATGAGCTTTTCTACTTGTTACATTGCTTGATTAACTCTGCAAGGACAGAAGAAAATTACTCCATGCAGTAAGTTCTATTTTGACGTGAGGGTCTATTTGACCTAGAAGGCTGAAACGAGTGTTTTCGTCCAAATTATTCGATGGTTCATTTTTTATTTTTGTTCACCAGGTGGACAGTCTTTCCAGCGCAGCAAAATCCTTCCTGAAAGTCTTCTGCATGTTTCCATGACATTTGAACGCTGAAAGAACAAGGTGTTCTTGCTAATTCTGTCAGCAGGAGATAAAATTCAATCGGATAACTTATATGTTCGCCGAAAAAAAAAAAAGTTGGGCAATCGTATTTGGCGATCTCTAAACAGAATCAACTTCCTGATCTTTTCAGGAAAAGCCCATTGCGGGATTGGTCTTCAGTGCCAATGCTACACATGGGGTATGCATGGCTTCATCGACAGGTCACGAAAGTCGAAACCAGGGAATGGGCCCACAAAATCCAACGCAAGGCCAAATGGAAGCATCGTTAATGGCTGGACTTTTTTGAAACGACTTCTTACACCGAGTGTTGCTTTTCTGACTGGCATGTTTCAAGCAAGCAGCATCGACCTCTTTCACCTTGGATTTGTATACTTTCATCTGTCCGCCCCCTGGCATCATCCTCGAAACCTCATTGGGTCCACGGCCGAGCCAAACAAACGGAAGTGACCGGGTCCTCCCGCACCTCCACAAACTCCGTATCCCAAACGATAAGCTCGCGCGTGTCTCCCTATGGCCAGTCAGATCCCCCAGCCTGTGGACTTGGCTCGTGCAAACCTAACTTTCTGCGACGGATCGACAAGTTGCTGGCCACTTGCAACTTTTGTCACTAAATGACTTGGCGGGAGAGGGGCTGCTATATGCCGAATATTGTTCAGTTTGATACTTACACTGTTCGTCAGATTTCTTGGACAATCATCAACTGATCCCAATCGGAGAGCACCATACTGTCAATCCCTTCCAAATACTATTCTCCGTTTGTTAGGCGCTGCCGCAGCTGCAAGCCAGGCAGGTGATGTGAGCTTTGCACCACCACTTCGCGAATTGAAACCATCTATTGGTCTCCCCAATTCGGCGGTATTACGTTTTCCTTTGCTATCAAATCTCGATAACTATTACTCGTTGCCATTGGGTTTCGTCTAACCCCATATTCCTCTCTATCGGCACCGGGAGACACTATCTGGAGTCTTTCTCTTCTTTCTTTTTTCACGAATTGATACAAGTGAAAGACGCGAAGACACACACTTTTGTGGCTCAAAAAATGGCAATGTTTGTTCTTGGCTTATGATCACTCGTTCTCCAACTATACGTACGGTTTGTCGGTTTAAAGAGTCGGTTCAGCTGTCCCGCTACACCCACTTCATTATCGGCGTGCTAGACCCTTTCCCAAGCTGCTGTCAATCAAGGCTACAATCAATACCGCGATTTTCCCGACCAAGTCTCTGCAGAAGAAGTCCTTGATTTTTATGATACAGCTTTGCTTTATATATGAGACGATCCATATATCCTCCTTGCTTTCTCGTTGTACCTCTTTTCGACTGTGCGTTTTGCCTTGATCCATAGATTATTTTTCGATATGCTGCAAAGACATCGTGAGTATGCTCTGCACCACTTACACCGCAACTCTCTTCTCCTCCGTTCGATATTGCTTGAAGTTCACGCGTCATTATTTTTTTCTTCTTGCCATTTTCGTTAGCTTCAAAACACCAGCTCAAAACGAACAACCGTATACTGAGCTACTCCATAATTGAATATCCCACAACTGACGACACCCAAAAACACAGTCCCGCCCTCAAACCAACTTCCGGCCAATAGCGCCCAGTTGCAAGCGTACATCAACGACGCCAGCGACAGTCGACTCGCCTCGTTGATTGCTCTGCCGACTCGGTTCCCACGGGGCGGCCAACCTCCGCTCTCGAGCTCTTCTGCTCAGTCTTGCCCTCGACCTTCTTCCTCCCTGCACGTCTCCGATCACAGTCACACCTTGCTCAGCTCGACTGACTCTCGCAACGTTCCTTCTCTCGCGCTCTCCTCGTCTTCCTGTCCTCGCGCTTTTCCATCAGGCGGCGGCACTTCTGCCGCTGGCGCCGGCTCTCATACTCACACAACCATTCCCCTCAGAACCAGCAGACCCACCAGCACCAGCACGAGCAGCACCATTTCCACCCGCCGCGCCTCTGAAGTCCGAGGCAATCTTATTCTTGAGGAAGCCGACGACGGGACGCTCATCTCCGACCACCTCACTCCGCTTCAATGCCCATTCTTCTTCCTCGCCTGCCGCGCCACGTTTGTCCATTTCGACGACTGGATGAAGCATAGTCTAGACCATTTCGGCGCCGATGTCCTCCCGCCACGAAGAAACATTTGTTGCATATGCGACGTCACGTTTGATGGGCCAGACGGACTGCGGTCCTGGGAGGCCCGCATGAAACACATTGAGCTCGTCCACTACCGTCACGGTGACGACGTGTCCATGGCTAGACCAGATTTTGCGCTCTTTGCGTATCTCCGTGACAACAACCTCATTACGGCTGACCGCTATACTGAATTATGTCGCCCGACTGAGTCGGAAGCTCCGGACTTTATTGAGGAACAATTGCGCGCTCGCCCAGAGCCGGAGGGATCCGATGTCAGAAGGCAGAGAGAGCGGGGCATGTGGCGAGTTGTGCAAGACGGCGGGCAGAGGGAACGCCAGAGGGTTGACCGTCAGAGGTTCGCCCGCTTTAATTATTAGCTTTCTATCATCTTAGTCCTATATCTTCATCGTATTCCTTGTCATTTCACTATTCCTTTCTCGTCGTTTCTATTTTCTCTTGTTTGGCTCCTGTTTTTTTTTTTCCTCTTTTGTTTCTTTTCTGATTAAATATTTTTTCCCTCTGGTTCTCCATCTCGTTTCCTTCCCATCGTTACTCTTCACTTCTTTTTCTTTCTCCCCTCCTCCTCCATTCTTTCCTCCTCTCTTCCATACCCCTCCCTTCCACGCAACATATATCGATCCAATTCCATTACGAGATATTACCCGCGTGTGTCTCCCACTCCCCCTGCAGTATACCCCTATGTCCAAAACTTCTATTTCTTTTATTGCTCTTCCTCTCGAAGTTCCATTTCAGAACAAGTCTATTTATAGTCCATTTTCTTTTCTTTTTCTTTTCTTTTTTTTTTTCTTGTCCTTCTTTTCTTGTCCTTCTTTTCTTTCTTTCTTTCTTTCTTTCTTTCTTTCTTTCTTTCTTTCTTTCTTTCTTTCTTTCTTTCTTTCTATTCTTATTTTTTTTTCGTCTCCTTTCGTGTTTGGTTCTTCCCTTGGCATTTTGTTTCACTTTATCGTGCTTTTCTGTATAAATTTACCTTGGTCCCTTGGTCCGTCAGCACTTTAATCCTTGGTTTTTTTTTTTTGTTTTTCTTCGGTTGTTTTTGGGTGTTTTTCTTTTTGGGTGGGTGAGGGAGGGAGGGAATGGCAGTCCATCCATCTTTCTCTCTTTCTCCTTTTTCGTCTTCCTCTCTTCACCATCGGGGTCTTGATCTCTTCACCTCTTCACCTATTTACTATCAAGGCTTTCCATTCCTCTCCAGCCATGAATCTTGACCAGTTGACCACTTTACCACTCAACGACTCAATTTCTGGGCACCTACTTCTACACTTGCACCTGCACTGCACTGCACTGCACTTGAAGCTCCTGCTATATATTCTCCATTGATGTATTCAAGATGCATGTCTCTACTACTTTTAGTCTTATATATTCAATCCTGAATCCTGAATCCTGAATCTTAAATCTTGAAAAATTACATTTTGAATTTCGACACGACATTACTACATAATACGCATTGGGCATAAATGTACTCATACACATGTTACATGACTTGTTATAGAGGGAGAGAGAGAGAGAGAGAGAGAGAGAGAGAAAGCTTATTTGAATTCTTCAACTCCTGGAACGACTATATATACTCCGTAGACCGCCCTTGAAAAAGACTCTCAAAAGGCTAATATCCCGCGCGCCCCTGACAAAAGAATTTGCCAGCTAGCCAGCCAGCCAAAAAAAAATAAAAATAAAAATAAAAATAAGGGGAAAAAAGGAGAAGAAAAGAAACGCCGTGGCGCCGCACCGACGAGCAGAATAAACTGCGGCCCTATTGATAAGGGGGAAATAGAAAGGGAAGAAACAACAATAAGAAAAGGTAATTTGTACACGAGTCTTGGATACAGGAAGGTAGATTTGAACAATAGAGAGCTTTAAGCGCACGGCACAGAGTAAAAACAATAAAAGGAAAAAAAAAAAAAAAAAGGAAATAAAAGGAGTCAGGACATCTACAGTCGATGTTCAAGAACCTGCGATCCACGAAACAGGGAGGGAGAGAAAAAGGAAGAAAAGGTCAGGTAGTGGCACTGCACAAGACTATCGTTTTGGAGGATCCATGGGTAAAAAGTTTCCTAGTATAATGGATGGGCTGCAATGAGATGGCCGGATTAGCTTCGTCATGTGAACAAGGAAATCCAAAGAGATAATGACTCACATATTATGGGTATCACGACGAATAGTAAACGAAAAACAGCAAGGGATTTCTGGGTCTTTGGAATTGAGATCGGGATTCTTGAGCGTACAGCTCGTGAGCATGGCTTTTTGGGTATTATCAAAAGCAATAGCGCCAAATTTCTCCCAATAGCTGACGAGATGTTCTTCGACAATGATTTCGTGAATGGCAAGTTTGCCCTGAGCCGAGTCAGTATGATGTTCTCCAAGTGGTAGACTAGAAAGGGGAGGAGGGAGAAGAAAAAAAAAAAGATGGAGGGATATAATGGGACGACATACATCGCGCAAACTTTCAATTGGAACGTGGATGAGTTCTGCCATTTCTCGGTTTCCACGAAAGATTTCTCCGGTCCGTCGCCAGCAGCATGCGGGAATGGCCATACTTGCAAAGACTCGGTCGTACTCCATCAGCGATCGCTCAAACCACATTTCGACCAGCACCAGCTCAATGTCGGTCAGAGATTGCATGCGCTCTCGAAACTTGGGCCGGAACTTGTCCAGTTGTCGGAGAATCTTTTGCCGTGAGCTCGGCTGCATGTGGCGCTCCATGTACTGGTTCAGCCGCGCATATCCCTTGACGTAATTAAACGGTTTCAGCAGTCCAGCATCATACTTTGCTTTGAGCAGCCGTTGCATGCGTTCCTCGGGCGCATCTGTGCCAGACGGGTCCGCTGCCGTCATGTAGTACGTTTCGCGGGCCTTATCGATAGGTGCGGTAGCGCCGCCGGGCCGGGTAAGCGCGTTGCTTGCGGGTCCACCAGTGGGCGCGGCACTGCCACTGACAGCGGCGGCACCACCACCCTCAGCGGCTGCGCTTGGTCCACCTGTCATCATCGCCGTCGCCGCCGTCGCATCCGCCGCGATTGGAGGACGCTGTTGCTGAGCTGGATGTCGTTGCGTCGGAGCCAGTGCAGTACCCCCAGCCCCGTCACCCAAATTTGTGGCCATTGCTCCCAGCAACGCGGGGTCGTTGAACACACTGTGCAGATCATCGGCCGAGTACATGCCGCCGTCGTCAAGAAGGCTTGTGCTGAGAAAGTCGCCGAGCAGGTTATATTCGTTGGTCATCTCGGGTGCGTTGAACAGGTAGGACGGGTGAAAGTTATGCATGTCTTGAACCCCCAGGTTCCAGTCATTGTAACCCAATACTGCTGGTTTATTAGCACGACTGCTCCTGCGCCGGAACATTGCTACCTCGCGCGATAGGTAAACAAAGCAGAAAAGAGGGGGGAAGGCGAATAAGGTCAAAGACTTTAAAGCAAGCAATTTAGAATATCTGGAATGGAAGAAGAGGAAAAAGACACTGACATTGTTGGTTGGGAAGTTGTCCCGGCTGCGACTGGACCCCAGAAACTGGTGGAGGAGGCGGCCCGGCAGGGAATCGAGGCGCCGACGTCGGCCGGCTCTGCGAGGCAACATGCGAGCCTAGACTTAGCGCAGTGTCTGGTAACAGGGCCTGATCAAACGATGGGTTCGGTAGTCCATTTGGTGGAGGAACGTCTGTTGTTGAAGTTCCTGCGGCAGCAGCGGTTGCCAGCTCCTCGTCGCCGTGCCCATGCTCGGCCTTGGGCTTCTTGGCCGTATCCCTTGGCTCGTCGTGGCATAAATGCCCAATGTTGCGCTTTATACATCGAGTGCATGGTCGAGCCTAAGCAGCAACACCGGCGCAGTGTGTCAGTTTGCAAAAGGTTTTCCCAATCTAAGCCCGATGGCCAGATGCCGCAGACCACTAGGGGGATTTCCCAAGACCTCACGTACCAAATCGCATGTCATATGCTTTTTCCCGGCACCGCGGAACGCCAATAGTTAGCACAATCTGCATGCACCATGTATGCGCGGGGGCTAAGCCGGGCGCCAATGCCGGGCTTCAGGCTATCGTGACAGAGAGAATAAGAGTTGTAGAAAGGGGGGGGAAGGAAAAGTGGAACGGAGTGCATTGGGCTGTGCTCACCGAGCGCCGACAGTAAACACAGGCTGCTCGACCAGGAAAGGCAGACATTAGTTTCAAATATTCTCCAAGTTTGTAAAATATCAAACAACCCCTACACAAATAGGGTAAAGAGGTAGATTACACACCATGATTGACCTTGCGCCGCTTCTTTGGGCTGCGCGTGGCACCTTCGCCTGTGCCAGTAACAGCAGCGGCAGCTGCTGCAGGGGAAGAAGAGTGCTGCGCCGAGCGGCCATTTGAGCTTCCGTGGTCGCCGACGGATCCAGGCGTCATCGCGTCTGAAGCTCCATTTGTTTTCGGTGTCGCCGACGCCTGTGTAGCTTCGGTCATCAACGCGTCCTCGGTGCTAGGACGTGCGGGGACCAAAAGGTGGGGGGTGTGAAATAAAGCAGCGGATGATCGGGAAGAGGCGGTCGAGGAGGCTTGCGATAGAAAATCCCAAGGCGCAAGCAAATGGGGGAAGCTTGCAGCAAGCGGTGAAACGTGCGAGTAATCAATTGATCGGCAGGCGAGCGACGCAGGCACAAAGAGGCTCTCAATTGGGGTAGAGTAACTAGGATATACAATGTGCAGTATTTGAAATTGCGGCAGCGCGTGCAGGGCGCCGACGATGCGCCTCGAGGGTTGGGGTAAGGATTTGTTTCTCGATAACTTTTTGGGGCTGGGGGGGGGAGGGGCGAATATTTCGTCAGTTTCGGCTGGAGAGACCGATTTAGAGAGAGAACATGGGGGGTGAAACGGAAGAGAGCGAGAGCAAACACAGGAAACGAGAGAGCGGAGAGTCACCCCAAGGTAAATGGGAAATTCCGAGCGACAACACAAGCAACACTCTAGCGGAGTAAGCTCAACGCCAAGCAACAGGTGTCCGAAAGACACGAAGGGCATCAGTAAATGAAAGATGGTAATTGCAGAATCATCGAAAGACCTGCAACAAACTCTAGGTCTGATCACGTTGAATCATTTCATCGAGGGTTATCTTATGGCAGCTCAGTGGCAGTTGTTCAACCATAGAGCTACACCTAGGAAGCTTGGCTTAGCTAGGATAACCACCAGAATAAAGCAACATATAGCAAGCATAGATGACTGTATTGCGGCCGACATGACATGCTCATGAAAACAAGATCACCATATCATCATAAACACCTCTCACGAGCAGCAAGAAACTACCGGAAGGAAGTGAAACACGAAAGTAAAAGAGTCTGTTCACATATATACATACTCCAGCAGGCAATATCTTATGGGAGAAGGTCAAGATATCGCTCATATAGTAACCAATGCGTATATGCATGCTTAAGTCAATCCGGATAGACACGAGGAATCGAGCTGGAGCAGTGATAGCAGGGCCGGGGGCGTGAAGTACCCAGAGCATGATGCCACGTGATCTACGCTCGTGTTGCATAGTGGTCCTTGCTGCCCCGCCGCGGAAGCTAACTGAGGTACTACGTACTACGTAGCTAACTGCAACTAATTCTTCTGTCAAGCAGAGCTCCCTCTATGAGTACTCCTACCGTTATCAGAATGAGATGAGATACACCTCCCTCAAGTCTATACCAACCACTTCATATATACCCTTAATATATGTGGATACACATGTCTTGTTTTCTGGTATAGGTGTATATTTGGGAGATGTCGACATTTTTGAATCTTATCTTTCCTTCTTTCTTTATTCACCCTTTCTTTTTCTAACAAGTTTCTGCTCCTTTTCCTACCCAAGCAAATAAACTATATGTAATTCACTCCTCTGGTATAGATTTAAGTTCATAATTCATGATTAGCCGTGAAGTCATTCCTAGGCAATGCTCGTTCTTCCTCTGTTCCTCCCCTTTCCCCCATCACACCTTCTTTGTCCTCTAGCCATGATTCATTGTCTCTTCACTGCGAAACAGACAATTTGCTACGGGCTCAATCTTCACTATCATCATATCTTTAAACCCCTATAAAGTCTAGACATGTTCCCTAGCGGCACAATGGCTAGTCCTTTGACTCCCAGGAAGCCAGCTTCACAGCCTGTTCCTCGTAGCAAAACCCCAAGTCCACAGAAGACTGCCGGGAAAGAGATCGTACATCTTCCGCCCAAGAGATCCTCTTATGGCATGGGGCTGAGCAGAGCCAAGTCATGCCCACGAAGACACTGAAACAAGTTGGTAAGTTATCAATCTCTTCTCTTACCGCCACTTCAAACACCAAGCTGACTGTTATGTTTGTATAGATACTCTCATTGATATGTCGGTTCGTCATGTTGTCCTCGACTTCTTGCTCGTGGAAAAGAATGGAATATCTCGCGAGCCCTCCAACGAAGAGTTCAAGGTTCTTAAAGGCCTTTACCCGAATCAAGTTTCCATCGAGACTCATGGCCCCTGCCTTCACGCCAGAGTGACCGAGTTGCCGTCAAGACCATGGCCCATTTCCGTCGCTGGTATGCCGTTGTTTGTCTCCCTGGACGACAATAAACATCCACCGTTTCCTTTTGGTAACTTAGGAAAATTCAGATACAATGTGCTGCACGAGCTGGATGGTAACGAGGGGCCCCTCGATTAACTCGTCACAACGATATCAGAATTTTCTGAGCGGCAAATGTCGGTCGCCGTCGCTTCGGTCTCGTGGGTCCTTGGATTCTGGGTGATTGCGGTCAACGATTACCCCGCTGGCCTTCATCTGCCGCACGAGATCTGCCAAATAGTTTCATTCTACCATGCTGAGCCCCGCGAGTAACGTCAAGAGGCTGCGTAGCCTCTCGGGCAGCCCACCTCTATTATCCGCGATGACAGCACGTACAGTACTTTACGGCCGGGATTGATGATCGCGTCCGCAGACTTGCTATCGACGGCCGGTGTGATGGTGCAAGATATTGTGGGGTCCCGCTACGTAACCGTAGCTTCTCATGCCTTCCCGGAGGGCCAAGAAATAGTGTATCATCCTAATAGCGATGGACGGATTATCGACAAGATTGTGCGGAGGTTCGGGAGCTCAGGTATTGCTCTCGTGGAACTTAGTCCGGGTATTTCGTTTGAAAACGAAACATTCCAGAGTTCGCAGCGCGAAGAACCCATACGCCTCTCTAAAATTGGCTCTGCTGTCAATCTCCGTCGGGCCGATTTTCTTACGATGGATAATCCTTTTTCGGGGACCATGGATGCGTTCTACATTGGGACGAAATTTCATCTAGTGCTTGTAGAGGCAGAGGATGAGCACCGGTGGGTTAAAATGAACTGGCTATGGCCGAGACAGCTTGACCAGGCTCTCCCAGTTGATGGATCATGCGGATCTGCCATGTTTGACGAGAACGGTCGGGTAATCTGCTTTTTCCGCTTGCTTGTTGCCGAGGGTGATGGTTTTGATCGCGGGTATGCATTCGCTGTCGCCGCTACAGAACTGGCCGGCGTTGGTTATATTTTGGTCTGATCGGAGATTGGAGGATGGTTATAAAAGGAGAAGTAACGTCCAACTCAAAGGGTTGTCATGGACATTATCTCAACGCTTTCTGCACCACACTGCATATCTTTAGCCTCGACTCTGCTGCTATTAGAGCTCGTGTTGCATTTCTGAACAACTTACAGCATGTTATTTTGCTCTTGTAGCTCCCCTCAGAGACAATACTAAATGAAAGACGTTGTTGAATCCTCTTGAGTGGCTTGCTTAGATCTAGACCCAATAATACCACTTGCATAGACGCAATGAATGTATCAAATAGTCAGTCATATTTCCCAGCTGCCAGTGATAGAAATAGAAAACGCGAAGAAGAATATTGAACGAAGATGAAGAGGATTGAATAGACGTAAAGTCACAGAAAAGAGACCCGCCCCCACAATGACGCCTATATTGCCTGTTTGCCCCATGTCCATGAGTCCATGACCCTATGACTTTATGAGTCGGTCGTTTCCATAGTCCAACGCCAGTCAGAAAAAAAGCCCAGATATCGTAAAAAAGATCAAAGTGATTGACCGTCCATAAGAGGAGGGCGCCCGGCTTCGCCTAGACGTGCATACAATGCATGGCCGACAGCAGCGCGAGTACGTGCAATTGCATCGCTCAGGCCAGACACTTGTGCGGTGTTGGACTTGATGCTTTCCATGTGCCCATATAGCTGCTCGACGAGCGGCTTCAAGTCATCATCCAAGTCGGACTATTTGACGGTTAGACTATTGTCAGCAACATCTGAGTGCATGAAATTTGATTTCTTTGAGAATAAAAGAGGAGAACCAATATACGAACATTAAGTAACTGTTTGGTCAATGTGTCGCTTTCAGCAGACGTGTTGTCGTCAAACAAGCTGCGATCTTGACCAGTCTTGGCAATTGTCTCGTCGGCACGAGTTTGGAGCAGAGGATGCATCTTCACATAAATGTTAATATCAAAATCTTCGGAAATACAGAAAAGTACAGCCAGCAGAAAACATACAGTCCTCGCGCGTCGTTTTCGTAGACTGTCTTCAGCCGCTGCATTTGCCTCCAGTCGCGCCAGCTGCTGACGTTCCGAGGCTAATGCCTGATCTTCTTTCGCTATTTGAGCCTTGAGTAGAGCAATAGTATGACCGGCGGGAGTCAATTTGCTCTCCATAGCATTCTAAATCCACCTGATCAGCACCAACCGCAATCTTATCGGATATGATTCCCCGACCAAGGGAGCCGTTCTTACATTGCTGTTGAGTAAACCTTCATAATCTAAATGCAAGTCTTTTGTTTGCGGTGGAAATGGCATTCGCGGAAGTCGTTGCTGCAGTCTTCGGACCACCGCATTGACAGCATGTTGAGCTTCTCCTCTCCGTTTCTCCTGTCGATAGAGCGCAATCACGGGTCGTTCGACGTCGAAGAACAGGTCTCGAACCCGCGCCTGTGCAATCTCCGAAAGTGGTTCCCATTTCGATGTAACAGTTTCTTTTGGTATCCGTTGAATGCGTGGCTTTAGGGTAGTATAATTTTGTATCGAAGAATCATCTAAATGAGTGTCAGCGTATCCGAGGAATCAGAAGCCTTCCAGCAAGTCCTTGAGACATCTACCCACCTTGGTCTCTATTGCTCGAATGAGATGGTGGCCCCCTTCGTTTCCGCTTCAGAGTCGAAGAGCCCGGCTGAGAGTGCTCAGGCGCAGTAGTGGCAGATTTTCTCGATTGCTTTGCCTTTGGGCCTTTCGTCGATCTGTGTGCCTTTGCTCTTTGACTAGGTCCTTTGGCCTGTGAGCGCGGCACCGGCTTCTTGACCGGCTACAATGATCAGCATTTCATCGGGTTCACAAATTTTTAATCTCGCTCACCATAGTAATGGGTTGATATAAATTAGAACAGTTTCACTATCAGGATCTGGCCACAAATCATTGTTGCTTGTATGACGTCCCTTGTAGGGATTGGTGTTTGTTGTCGCGTTCGCGTTTGGAACCTCGGCGATTGCTCCGCCGACGCTGCTCACAGGTCTCACCAGCGAAAAAAGAACCACAGCTCTTACCATATGACACTGCCACTTTGCCAGACTTTTTTTTGTCGGGAACATTCTGATTTGATGCAAAAGTAATTGTATTGTTATAATATATAAAGCAAGATTTTGATATCTTCTTGTATTACAATACTAATAAAGGGATGCAGATCTGTTTTGGTACCCTTGCACCCTGTTATATAGAAAGGAAGGCAAAAGATTTCCCCTCATACGGAGGTTACGCAACGAATCATACCAAGATATACGCGGCCCAAACTGATGACTAGAGGTGATATAAATATACAAACCATCTTCGACACAAACGACGCCACCTTGGTAACCCAATCCAAGATAATGCTAGCAAATCCGAAACTCCAAGCCAAGTGCGACATTCTTTGAAGACAATGAGAGACGACATTATTGAAAACCAAAAGGGAGAAAGCGGCAGACGCTCTCTCAGGTTCATCTTCTAGCTCTTCCTTCAAGTGCAGTCAGCTGTGACTTGAGCATCTCATTTCCTTTGAGCATGTTTTCAAGCCAGTCAGCAGCTTGCACGAGCATCGCACTTTTGCTGAACCCGCCTCCGTTTAGTTCAGGGACCAGCTCGCAGAGATCCTCAAATCCTTGCTTGATTAGATTTCGTCGCTTCTGCTCGGAAAGGATATGGTTGGAGCGCTTTTGTTCCTCGCTGAGGTTCTCACGGGGTTGCTTCTGCCCGTTGGTCGGCGATTCGCGCCGCTCTGGTGAAGCCGACATAGCTGGCGGTTTAGGATTTTGGACGCGACTTTCGTTTGCGACCGATTTCCCCTTCTTTGATTTTGCGACAGTGACTGACTCTTGATCACCTCTGTCTTCGATTTTCGCTTTGCTCTTCCTCCGCTTCTTCGCTTTCGGCCCCTCTTCGACATCCACGCCAGCTTCCTGGCTAGGTTTCGGTCTCGTTTTGGCGGTAAAATTATCTTCCTGTTTCGTCTTTTGCCTTTGAAGCGAGGGACTTGGCGGCGCAGTACTATTGGCGCTCATTTGAGGCTCTAAGCATTCCATTTTGTGCATCAAATCCTTTGTTACTTCCTCTTCTGTTTCTTGATTTGGTGGAGCAACGTAACCATGCGCCAGGAAGCTAACATCGGAGCCCCAACGGAGTTCACCAGTCTTTGTCATGTGAGCATTGTAAAGAGAAGACGAAGAGGGACCAGCATGATTGCGATTATATGAGATGCTGCCATGTCGAGTCTGGGGAATTCCAGGAGGTAAATTCTGTGACTGGCGAGGAACTGGCGAATATTTTGGCATGGAGCCAGTAGAGTCCTTTTGGTACACTGGAACAGAAGCCCTTCTCGACGAAGAAAAGTCCTCGCGAGCACCTCGAAAGATGGCGTCCACAGCGTGCGGAGGAAAGAGAGATTGATTGGATGATTCGTCTGTTTGCGTTGCTTGTCCGTTATTAAAGAGAGTAGAAGCAGCAGCGAGAACATCAGCAGAGGTATCATTATGAGAATTGTCCTGCAGAAAGTTCAAATGATCATTATTCGCATAAGCAGGCGTTGCAAGAGGTTGTTGAAGAGAGGTCGTGGTCCCGTGAAAGGTAGGAGGAAGCTCATTGAACCAGCTAGAATTAAGTGGCTCGCCGGTCTTGTCTAGAAATGGCCGCTCCAGAAAGAAGTCACTGCCCTCGAAACCTGACGAGCCAAGCGTGTCAAAAAAGCTATCCAACATATGGGACTCGCTGTCATCGAGCAGTGCAGGGCCTGGCGCAGGTGCGGGAGGTGAAGGATAAGGGATCTGATGAGAGTCTTGAAATGCATCTGTGTGAATAATCAGCTTCGAGTGATACAATAAAGATACCAAACACCGTGGTAGACGCGTCAAACGTACAGCCGAAAGGCAATTGCGCCGGGGGAGATTTTGTAGAATTCATATCGAAAGTAGCTTGATTTGACTGATGCTGTTGAGAGGCGCCGGTATTCCGGCGCTTTGAAGGGCTCGCCACCATGGTTATGGCAGAGATCGAACTGTGACGCAGGATGCTTGCACAGGTTGCTGACTGTTCATTGTCTTCGCTCCTGCAAGTTCAGAGACGGTCTTGGCTGGATTCTCCGCTCGAGAGTAAGGACAAGAGGAGAATATAAGAATGCCTTGGCGGGTAGGAGCCGCTGTATGAGCGGCTCCGAGAGACACACGTCCAGCGAAGAGGATCCACCACTCAACGCAGAAGGCTTTCACGGTGTCGTGAGGCTGACAGTCCCCTGATATATTATTTGGTTGTACAACTAGAGTTTTCGATTGCGTTCGAGATATCGAAGGGTCTAAGTCTCTAAATGAAGCGTTTCTCTAGAGACATGATGAGATCTTGACTACCATCCAAGTGTTATTGGCGAAGACTTGCGTTTGGTGTGCACATTAACACTGTGCAAGCTACTCCCCACCGATCACATGCGAATGCAGACGAGAGTCAAGAGTCCTGCGAGTTCCCCAGTTTACCTGCATCTCTAGGATGGTTTGCAGATAAGGTACTGAGTACTTATCTTTATCGCGTATTTATCGCCTTAGAATCCGTAGTTATACTTGCGATCCCTCAGCTCATTGCTTATGAAGCGAGGCATTCCAGGCTAGCTAGATTCGGATGGACGGACCAGAGACGTCACAAAGGGCTTCAGTCAGGCAGTCTGTTCCTTCTACTCCCTCAACGACAACAAACCTCGACTATCAAACGAGATCACATTCCCCATCTTGAGGACATTGCGGCGCGTTTGATTTCTGCCGCGCTATCCACATTATTTTCATTCGTTGTATTTTGGTATAATCTATTCTTTGCGACCTCGTATCGCAGTTCCCCATTCGTCTTAATCCAATCTCCTATCCTACCGGAACAGTCTACTCTGACAAAAGTGGCATCAATTTGTTTTTCTGCACGTGCTTTTAAATCGATATGCTGTTATAATACATTCTGCTGAATTTTTTTCCTGTATAAACTTTTTTCATTACTTTGGGAGTTGTCAATTAAAGAACCCATTTGTCATGCTGTGTCTGTTTTTATCCCTATCCCTCTTCCTGTATTGTGAGTCTTTATATCCCGGTGATTTAGGAAAAAAAGTTTTGGGCTTGCTCACGCGAAGAATCTAGAAATATGTTTTCCTTCTATTAATCCTTTCAGTGCGTCTCAGTTGAGATCTATCTTGTCTTCGATTGTAGCCGTCGATTGCTCGAGCTCAAGTGAGGCGACTTGGGGCATACCATTGCATAAATTATCATCTAGCCCAAATTTCATCTGTGAGAAGTCAGATCATCTGGCGAAATTCTTCATTCATGGCTTTACAATTGGTTGATTGGCCGTCAGCCATGACATTCCAGCAGTCTCTCATCCGGTACGTGTGACGCAATTTTCTTCATCACGATACATCAAGTTCCTCAAATGTCTTGCTAACTACTGAATCTTCATTTTTCTTACCAAAGGTTCTCTTCAGCGTATGCTCTGGGTTATGTCTCTAATGTCAGCCCAAAGTTGTCTAAACTGGCAGTTGCCCAGATTCGCGGGAAACAAGACAAATCTGTCGCTTTTTCAAAAGTGAGTCGATTAATTAATCAAATTTGGATATGGACCTTGTATTCCAATGCCTTGACTCTCCCTTCTAGATGATCATTTAGCTTGAAGTCTTGCCGCTCTTATAGATTTTTGGTGACAACAACAAGCTGATGGGATTCCGTAGGCATATCAAATTTTGATTGCAGCGCTGGGCCCGAACCGCTTTCCTGCGTTTTGCGGGATTGTAATTGGGGGCTCGACGAGTTTTCAAATACCAATCTATCGTTGGCTCGCCCAATTGAACTCCATTGCACAGAGTCAAAATAGACGCTTATCGATCGTAACCATTGCTCGATTAGCCCGTTTTGTGGCGGCCTTTATAGCTTCTTGGTTGGGCATTCATCTCTTAAACTCCAGCAGATCATTGTCTGCGAGCCGGCAGAACGTTGCGTCGAATGAAATGCACTGCTCATCAACGAATATCAAGAATGTCGAGAAGAGCAACAATCAGCCGAGGTCCCTCGTGCCCGAAGATGGAAAGACTATTGATTTAACACTATTCGCTATCACAAGAGCTGCCGATGTCATCGTTGGAGAAATTTGGAGTCGATTTCGTTCAAAGAAAATGACACGCAAGCGGGAGCGCCTTCTTGACTTCATCGGAAGCAGCATTGACGCCGGTATCTTTGCTCTCAGTTCTGGTACTATTATGTGGACATGGTTTTATCAGCCACATCGGCTCCCCAAGTCCTACAACCAATGGATCAGCGAGGCGGCCCAAATTGATCCACGGCTTATATCTGCTTTACGAGAAGCCCGATATGGGTCATTCACGTACGGACGGGATACCGGACATGCAGCCTTACTGCAGAGCATGTGTAAGGATTATGGGTGGCCCCTGGAATGGGGAGATCCGGCCAAGTCGATTCCCATCCCTTGCGAAATGGTTCATATGGGCACGGGTCCAAGCTGTGAGAAGCATAGTCTGGTGAGATTTGGTAGAGCATTCAAATTTGCCTTGGCAACATATCTGCCACTCAACTTGCTTGTCCGGGCAAGGTCCACGCCATCTCTACGGACTCTCCGAAGAGCCTTGCGAGATGCAGTCCGTTCGTCTACTTTCCTTGGTGCTTTCGTTGCCATCTTCTATTATTCAGTATGCTTGGCGAGAACCCGTCTTGGTCCCAAGGTGTTTAGTCACAACACTATTAGCCCATTGGCTTGGGACTCTGGGTTGTGTGTACGAGCCGGATGCATCCTATGTGGGTGGAGTATTCTGATTGAGGCCCAACGGAGGCGGCAAGAGATTGCCTTCTTCGTAGCTCCGCGCGCTTTGGGGACTCTGTTCCCCCGACGTTATGATCGAAAGGTATATCTCATCCTTTACTTGGATTAATGACCCACAGCTTATTTGTGTCTAGTATCAATGGCGCGAGACCTTGGCTTTCGCCCTCAGCACAGCCGTAGTCTTTACGTGCGTACAAGAGAAGCCAGAAAGGGTGCGGGGAGTCTTGGGAAATTTGTTAAAAAAGCTGCTCAGCTCCCAGCCCAGACGCATGGTTACACCACATTAGCTGATCCCACAGTGAAGATGATTCGCTCCAATTAGGTAGGAGTACTCGCTCAGGGATCATGGAAATCGAGAATCATCGAGCTGAAGGAGATTACCCACAATCTTGGGTGATCAAGGATCTTCGTGTGCTCGTCTTTAAGATATCAATTATAGATCACGTCGATCTCACATCATCACGATCATCGATGCGACGGTAGTGGATGGCGGATTCGTCCTGTAAAATTATCCAAAAATCAATTAAATAATCACGTCGAAGCGGGGTGACATCTCTGTCATTTGGCAATGGCAAAAATCCGAGTAATTTTACGTCATCACCATTTCCGTAGAGAGCCGATCAAATCCAAGCCAAAATGTATGGTACGAATAGATAAATGTCGGCAACTGTCCAACTCTTCAAAGGACATGCTGTACGGACCGTTTGCAATATGCAAGGAGACATGACTGAAGCACAAACTTCTCTTGCAGCGCACATATTGCTGCACATGTTGTCCGAAGCCACACGGGGCTTCATTGAGGTGTCACGAAGTAATGTTTTGACCATGTCGGTGGTGGAGGAGTTCTATAAGGTTGTCCGCAGATCGCTCGATTCGGCTAGTCAGGAAACCGCCGGAGAATCGTAGGGCGACAACTCCGATGCTTCTCATACAGCGACGAGTCTGAGATCTCCGTCCATCCAACAAGGCATCCACATAATTATGGATCGAGCTGCGAGCCTGCTGTCTCGGAGCTTCTTCTCGGCCAAGTCTCCAGTATGCACATCATGTCGACTTGCTAAGGGAAGCTTTCTTTCGCAATCTTTCCGCCCTGCTTTTCGCCGTAACATTGCGAATTCGTCCAAACCACGACAAAATGTCGCTCCCACGATGGAGCATTCGAGAGCTGTTTACGCAAAGAGAAATGCTACTATCATGTAATTAGGCCTATGGCGGTACCAACATGATGTGATTATTGACAAGTGACAGGTATTATACGCTGAGTGTCATCCTCGGAACCGTCGCCCTTTCTTATGGTTCCGTTCCTCTATACAAAACGGTCTGATTCACTTCGTTCCCGAATTTTTCTATCAATGGCTCTGACTTAATTGCTAATTATTCCTCTAGATCTGTCAACAAACAGGCTGGGGTGGTCAACCCATTAAGTCCACTACACACTCGACGGAAGATGCTGCCGAGCGACTCACACCTGTTACCTCTTCTCGTCGCCTAAGAATTACTTTCAACGGTTCAGTGTCAGATGTTCTTCCATGGAAATTCACGCCACAACAGCGTGAAGTGCGAGTGTTGCCTGGAGAGACCGCGCTGGCATTCTATACGGCCACCAACAAAAGCGAAGATGATATTATTGGTGTGGCTACTTACAGCGTCACCCCGGGACAAGTGGCACCGTATTTCAGCAAGATTCAATGTTTCTGCTTCGAGGAGCAACGACTAAATGCGGGCGAAACGGTGGATATGCCTGTCTTTTTCTTCATCGACCCCGAATTTGTCAAAGACCCCAACATGAAGGGCATTGATACTATTACCCTCTCATACACATTCTTTAGTATGTTCTTCTTTGAAGTTTTCCCAGCTTGCATCCAGTCCTGCCGCTAACACTGCCTCCAGAAGCGAAATACGACGACCACGGCGTGCTATCGCCCATACCTGGCGCACCATCATAACCGCATCTCTTTTTTGATTTCGCGCTCTGTACTATCCATGTAATATTCCCAACTTGCATCTTTTCTGGCGCCTAGAAAAAGTATCTGTATATATATAGAACATTTGTATAAAGGACTTTTTGACTCGGCTCATACGGAAAACCAATTGTATTTGCTCTGGTCCCATTCAGATTCATGTCAATGTTCCGCCTACTTCATGTGCATAGACCCAACCCATGGGGGAGTGACATTTTTGGAACTGCAATTGCGCCAACATGTTTTTGGGTAATTAAATCATCAGATCGTCGCATGTTCGCAGCGGAACTTTTAAAATATCAGCTTAGAGTGACCACGTGAGAGCGAACAAAATATTCGTATTTGGTCTTCGAATTTATTTTGTAGAAAACTAACCAAACCATGGCATTCTAAGAGATATTTCAATGTCAGAATTGTTGTGATTGCAATGGCTATGACCTGTGGACGTCAATCACATGTTCCCGTACTGGATTGGTGACGCGAACGCAACCACTCTACGCGAAAACGCGTCTCGCGACCATCACTCATGCAGAAATTCAATTACCACGACTGTCAAGTTTAATATCAGCAAATAGACATACACAATGGCTCTATTGGTGGATAAACATCGCCCTCGATCCTTGGAAGCTCTGAGCTATCATACAGAGCTCTCAGCTCGTCTCAAGTCTCTTGTAAGCATCCTTCGTGAAAACGCCAAACGCCTGTTTTACTTACTGTAGATTTCCGTTTCCAGGCGCAAAGCGGAGACTTTCCTCACCTCCTGGTCTATGGGCCATCTGGCGCCGGCAAAAAGACACGAATTGTTGCAACTCTCAAAGAACTCTACGGTCCCGGTGTGGAGAAGATCAAAATCGACGCACGCGTCTTTCAAACAACAAGTAATCGTAAACTAGAATTCAACATTGTCTCCTCCAACTATCACTTGGAAATCACGCCATCCGACGTTGGCAATTACGATCGAGTGGTCGTACAAGACTTGCTCAAGGAAGTTGCGCAGACACAGCAAGTTGACCTTTCCGCACGCCAAAGATTCAAGGTCGTGGTCATCAATGAAGCGGACCATTTAACGCGCGATGCGCAAGCGGCGCTGCGAAGAACGATGGAAAAGTACAGCCCGAATCTTCGGTTGATATTGCTCGCCAATTCGACCGCGAATATTATCGCGCCTATTCGATCCAGAACATTGCTCGTCCGGGTCGCGGCTCCTAGTCACGATGATATCTGTCAAGTCCTGAAAAGGGTTGGCACTAAGGAGAACTGGGAGGAGGTAGAAGGCCTTAATAGGCGGATAGCTATCGAGAGTGGTAGGAACCTTCGAAAAGCACTATTGATGTTCGAGGCGATCCATGCGCAAAAGTGGGTGACACAGAGCGATACAGCTGTGGAGTATAACGCAAAGCTGATAGATCTACAGTGAGAAAGTAACGGACAAGACGCCCATCCCACCGCCAGACTGGGAGGCATTGATTGAACAAGTAGCGGACGAGATCATGGCTGAGCACACGCCTGCGAGGATATTACAGGTCCGGGCTAAGCTCTACGATTTGCTAACACATTGTATTCCTGCAACAACAATATTGAAGGTACGCAAATTAATTGAGACCGAAACTGCATCGGAAGCCATGCAAATATACTGACGTCTCCTAGACTTTGACCTTCAAACTGATACCAAAGATTGACGACGCCCTCAAAGCAGAAGTGATACGGTGGTCAGCATTTTACGAGCACCGTCTTCGCATCGGAAGCGTAAGTTCCGCCCAACTTAACAGATTCTGCCTTTTTAGAACCCGCTTTCCTAACAGATTTTGGATGTATAGAAAGCAATCTTCCACCTCGAAGCATTCGTTGCAAAGTTTATGCGCATCCTTGAAAGGTCAGTCCACCATTGATATATCCCCTTGAATTATTATGCTGACAAGACTATCCGTGACAGTTTCATCATGGGCATGGACTTTTAAATCGCCTTTCACTTTCAAATTCTTAATCCGATATGTCATCCATTTTTCCAATGAGATGATTGTATACATTACTTCTTCGAGTTTCAATGAGCATTTCAAGGCGTCATACCTGTCCCATCTGTCTTGCGTTCTATTACCACGGCACGAATGTTGGAATTTTTTAAATTCTTTATTTTCTTTACCTTGTCCAATGATGTCATTTTTTCCCCTTTACTTTATAGCACTAAAAGAGACGTATTTCATGTGATTATGCAGAGCAGACCATGCGACGATCAAAGTCGTGTATATGTAATTGTTGACATTTACCTACGTTACTTACTAGAGTACCTCCGTGACTTTGTTTGTTGGGAATAGCCGTGCTCGCCCGGGCCTCCCTAGCGAAGTTGATCGCGCGCCTTGACCGGAATCATTCTCCCACTGAGGCCACCTGCCACTGAGAGCCAGGGGGACCGAGGAAGCCCCAGAGTTTACCTACGTCACTAATCCGCCATACTGTACGCGAATCCCAGCTTAAAGAGCTACAGCTATAAACTTCCACAACTCCTTTTTCTATTGAGAACGATATTATTTTTTGTCTTTTAATTTTCTATTTGCATCTTTCGCATATCATAACCTCACCAATTCACGTAAATACGCACATAGTACCCGACATGTCTTCCAACCTTTTCAGCACTTCTCCTGGTGGAGAGACTCCTCAGTACGTATACATTTCCATTCTGCTTACAATATATTTAATCTTCTTCTTTTTAATGCTTGGTCTGTACTGTCTACATGTTTCCTGCATTTTGATTTCTAACTGCTTTTTCTGGATTTAAACATATTTTGTTTGTTGGTCTTGGTCAAAAGTACGAGGGTTCTAGAAAATGAAAACTAATGCGAATGGTTCGCTGGATAGGTATGAATCAATCAAGACGGTGACGAACGAGACGCCGAAGCAGACTGGTCAATTTGGCGGTAGGTGGATTTTCCATTTCACGGCATTATTCCACAATTGTTGCATTCGCAATTGAATTTTAACGTTGCGGGGAAAACGATGGTATACGTTATGTTGGGATCTTGATATCGGTTGTGGAGCGGCTCAACGTGCGTTTCGCAACTCGGCGGTTGGATATAATTTGAAAACAAAAGCTGAGAGGAAGAAAATGGGACAAGGAATTCATCAAACCCAAAGCGCTTTGTTTCTTTAGAGTTGAAGCCGAGGACTAATTGTGATGATACCACAGACTTGTCATCCTCTGAGACGACTGATCCTCTCAAAGAGCGAGGAGAGCAGAGGGCCGAGCAGATTCGCTATGGACAGGGAATCTCCGAGTCCGGCGTTGGTGGAATGACCAAGGATGTTGGTGGCGCTGCTGGACATGAAGGTACGTTTTGGGTGTCGTCAAGCTCTGGTTGACTCCAACACCGACAAATTGTTGTTGAGTAAGGAATGAATAATGCTGATATATGTGCCCCCTATGTCTTCAGGCGGATATGGCGGTGCCAAGGCTGACCCTGCGTTCGAAACCGCCGACACAAATACCCGCGCTGCGCAGGGTTACGGTGGAAAGAATGAGACGGGCGAGGACATTGGCGCATAAATGTTGGGATCCCAAATGAACTGATGAAGTAATGAGTTCTTTATAATTTCTATAGATGTCATGAAAATCTTTTCCTTTTATTCGCTTTATGATAAACGGTATGATATGATGATGAAGACTACCGCTGAACCTGGGAATGAAATGAAAACCAAAGGAAAAATATTCTAGTCAAATGAGATCAACCATGTCGTATAATACAAGTGCTGCGAGAAAAGAAGCAAATATGGAGCTCGAAGGGAAAGTCTAATCGGTGCCGGATATTCTGTGAGCTGTCTGCTCAAGCGGCAGCTTTCGTCGCGGCTTCCGGAGAGTGGCCTCTGTCACGCCTTCGCCCAGTTTCGTAATGCCCATAACGGGGGGATCGCCCTTCTTGACGAACTCATAGAGACCTAATGAATCATTGTATCAGCACTCCTGCTTTGCTTGAAAACTCCGTCTATATTTGCGTAGCAAGGGCACGGCCTTCAGGAAGTCTTCATCTTACCAGGCAATTTATTTCCCGCCAAGCGGAACGCATCACGCGCAACTTGCTCGTGCAAATCTCCCTTGAGTTCGAAAATGATTCTGCTAACCGGCACACGAGCGGCCCAGTAGTCGAAACTACCCTTTCCGGTACCCATACGGGCTTCATTGCCCTTGGTATAGACACCAATATTTGCGCTGACTCTCATGTACAGGCGGTACTTCATTCCTCTCAGCCGTTTCCGAATCGTTTCCTCGCCGTTCTTGAGCTGCGCGGCAGAGATCCGACGATGGTGGTCGAGCAATCGCAGTCCATACTCGCCCCAGACAACTGTCGTTCCTCGTGTTGATCCACCAGTTTGAACCCGCGGCCGTCCCTTGCGCGTCTTCTTCCGCTCTCCGGCCTTGGGCTGGAGCCAATTGTTCGTCCTCGTGGTAGCAGAAAATGCGCGAACCGAAGATGATGAAGGGAATGTCGGGAAAAGAGCTAATTGAACACCCGGAAGAGGTTTGTTAGTATCGCAATTGCGATTGGTAAAAGACGAAGAAAAGTGAAGGGTTGTTAGGAAGAAAAAAAGCATACCTCGCAGAGGCGAAGGGTGTATCGAGAGCCCTGACATGCGGGACAAAAGCCCGGATGAGAGGGTAGTTGGACCCATTGTTGCCCAAATTCAAAAGTTGGGGATTAACTTTTGGTGGTTTTGGGATTGACAATTCGGTGATGGATCAATTGATGCTTGGATGCTGTGGCTCCCCGGATTTAGTGCTACGGCGAACGACATAGGCCGAACCGGCAAAATTGGGGTTGCGGGCAAACAATGTGCCACTTCACCAAGGAAAAGGAAAAAAGTAGTCTATTTTATATGAATTTTGATAATTTTATGGATTTGCATGGACTATCTTTACACAATAGTAGAATTGTCTAAATGCTTCATACAGAGTCTAGATAATGGTATATAAAGCAGTCTGGAAATGGTCTCCAGGTTTACACCTCGACTCGCCCACACATTATAACGTCCGCCCCTAGTGGCTGCCATTTGACCTCTTTGAATCGCACTGCATTCGTTGGCTTTCCTTGAGAATCAAGTTTTCTTTCCGGAGACACTACGACACCGCCTTGACCAAGATATGTAGGTGCGATTGTGATAATGACAGAATTCACAAGTTGTGCATTGCGAGGATGCAGCAGGTCATTAATAACAGTACCTCCGCCCTCTACCATGAGACTGTAAACGTCTTGCTGGGCTAGTGTGTCCAGGAGACTTTGCCAGTCCAGTGCTGCATAAGTTTCAGCCTCAGTCGAGGCCTCGCCTGTGGGATCTTCCATTTCGGGCTTCCGTTGAGGAATGCTCAAAAGCTTCCCTCCATAGCTCCCCAAGACCTTACGCTGTTCCAGGCTCATCTTCTCCTCATTTCCTTGGGCAACCACAATCCACGGTGCTTTTCCTCTGTTCTCACGAGCTGTCCGGAAAACACGTGATTCTGCATTGAACTTCCATCGTGCACTGGGATCAAGCACAATGGGCCGTGGTTGACCTATGAGCTCTTTGCCGCCGTAGCCTCCCACACCCGTAATGCGGCAGTTCAGTCCCGGATCATCAGCCAGTGCCGTACCCACACCGACAAGAATTGCATCGTGTCTCGAGCGAAGGTAATGGGTCATGGCCTTGGACTGAGGTCCTGAGAGATGCGTCTGTGTCCCTGGCGCAAGGGATAATGATGAATCCAGAGATGTTGCATAGGTAAGAGTAACATGAGGTAGGCTGGTCTTTGCCGGAGTAGTTTGCGGATAGGCAGATGGAGAGGAAGAGGATTTAAGTGAAACAGGGAGATAGGGCTGTAAGAACACGCGAGAGAGCACTGGAAATTGCAAGCTTTCTTTGGGGGGTTGCGCCGTATCGCGCCGAGATTCAGACGCAGCCATGGCGTATCGTGAGAATAGAAATAAAGAAATTGAACTATAACAGTAGATTCCAAAAGAGTAAGATATCACCTCCTAATATCAATTCGTGGCAGTTATCACAGTAAATGTCAACATTGAAGTTGGAAGATACCGAGCCACGTGACCGTAATTGATATTCGCGTCACCAATGACTTGCGCCGGGACGCGTCGTTTCGAGGCGCGATAATTGCACTATTGTTGAATTGCATTGCTACCGTTTTGTTGACAAATCCGCGCAATTTTTGCTCTGACCATAGATGTTATAGAGCTAGCTTTCCCCAGTCAGCTTTTCCAAAGCTATGCCGGCCGATATTCGAAGTTTCTTCGGGCCAAAGACCGGCAGTCAGCCGTCTAGCCAGGAGAAAGCTACCCCCAAAGCTACGCCGAAGGCTGATGTATGTACAACCACCGCAAAATATAGAAAAATAATTTTGCATGGATCTTCAGCGTTAGATTGTGGAGAACAAAATTAGCTGATGAGGTTCTTAATGTGAGCAGGCAAATGCATCTAAGAAAAAGGGCAGAGGTATTTCCTTTGGATATCTAGCTTGCAAAAACGGTGTTTAACCTAGATCAGGATCAAGGCGAGTCGTAGATGACAGCGACGATGATGCTCCTGCGTATGTTTTGGTTTCTGAATTAGATTTTTACGGCGCTAATTAACTGTTCAGTCCCACAAAATCGACGCCCAAAAAGGCAACCCCAAAGAAGCCAGTGTGAGTTTGACAGACGACGGCGTTGACGGGTTCGAGCTTACAATGGTGTGTTGTGTAGAAAACAGGAATCGCCAAAGGGAACAGAAACTACTACATCGGACTATTTCGCCTCCACCGGGAAGAGCAAGCCGGCACGATCCAGTACCAAAACAAAAGCTCAGAACGCGAAGGCCGCAACCCCAGAGCCAGATGCCCCGGCTGTGAAGAAGGAATCGCCAGCAAAGAATACAAGAAGTGCAAAGTCTACTGCGAAGAAGCCCACTACAAGCTACAAGGATGTCAGAAGTCATGAAGACGACGATGTTCCTCAAGACGAGGACGATGCGGACGACGTCTTCAAGGCCGAATTCAAGAGCCGTGGGAAGGGTTTGGGCGACGATTATCAAGAGGAAGATGACGAGGACGAGGAAGATATCAAGCCGAAACGGCGCTCAGCTGGTCGGGGCCAACAGACAAGCATTGGAAAATTCAAAATCCCAGATGAGGACGTCGATATGAAAGATGTCAACCCAGATGACGACTTTGTCGTACCCGACGCCGATGAAGAGATTGTGGAGGACAAACCGGCTCGGTCATCTCGGAGTTCGGGCAAAGGAGGCAAACGAAAATCGGTGACTGCAAAAGAGGATGAGGATTTTGTTGAAGAAGATGAGGATGATGTTGCACCGGCGAATAAGAGAAGAAAAGTGGCAGAGAAGCCGGACCGATCACCGGCGAAGAAGTCTCCAGCCAAGAAACCACGCACATCGGCGGCCAAGAAGGAAGAGCCAGCTGAAGACTCAGCAGTGCAGAAGATCTTCGATAGTATACCGACTGTTCGGCCACCTAGTCCTCCAGCCAAGTCAGGGGAAGGAAAGAAATTCAATTATTTTGAGCATGCACACAGCCGTGGTCAAGCGGCGCCAGCGGCTGGCACAAAGGAGATACCTATTGGCGCGGAGAACTGTCTCGCAGGACTTACCTTTGTGTTTACCGGCCTTTTAGAATCTCTTGGACGAGACGAAGGACAAGAACTGGTTAAGCGCTATGGAGGAAAGGTCACCCTGACGCCTAGCTCCAAGACGAGCTATGTTGTCTTGGGCGCCGACGCTGGACCAAAGAAGCTGGAAACAATCAAGAAGCATAATCTGAAGACAATCAACGAGGACGGCTTGTTTGAGCTTATTCGGAAGCTTCCGGCCAACGGGGGCGACAGCAAAGCGGCAGAAAAGAGCGAAGAGAAGCGACGAAAGGAGGAAGAGAAAGTCAGGGAGATGGCGGCCGAGATGGAGCGACAAGAGCGAAGAGCCGGAGGCGCTGGCGGATCGCGGGGCACAACGGCTCCCAAGGCTGGGGGCGCAAACGCGGGTGGTGCTGGAAAGGCGGCTGGTGCCTCTTCCCAGAAGACGCATGTCGATAGTCGACTTTGGACAGTCAAATACTCGCCCCAGTCGATGCAGCAGATTTGTGGAAACAAAGGGCAGGTTGAGCGTTTGGGAAGATGGCTTAAAAAATGGCATTATAACGCAAAGTTCAACTTTAAAAAGCCGGGTCCGGATGGGTCAGGATTGTACCGTGCTGTCATCATCTCTGGTCCGCCTGGTATTGGCAAGACTACAGCAGCACATCTTGTAGCCCGACTAGAAGGATTCGATGTTGTGGAGAGTAATGCCAGTGACACGCGCAGCAAGAAACTTGTCGAAAGCGGCCTTAGGGGTGTCCTTGACACCTCTTCACTCCTGGGATACTTTGCCGGCGAGGGACAAAAGGTTGAGGCCAGCAAAAAGAAGCTTGTCCTCATCATGGACGAAGTGGACGGAATGTCTGCAGGAGACCGTGGGGGCGTGGGCGCTCTCGCGAGTGTCTGTAAGAAGACGAACATTCCCATGATCCTCATCTGCAACGAACGAAAGATTCCCAAAATGAAGCCTTTCGATTACGTTACGCTCGACATGCCATTCAGGAGGCCGACAACCCAGGACATTCGATCAAGAGTTATGACGATATGTTTCCGCGAAGGAATGAAGATGCCCGGTCCTGTCGTCGACGCTCTGATTGAAGGCAGCCATTCCGACATTCGGCAGATTATCAACATGCTTTCGACTGCTAAGCTTGATCAGGAAGCCATGGACTTTGATCAGGGCAAGGCCATGTCAAAGGCATGGCAAAAGCACGTTATCCTCAAGCCATGGGACATTACGGCGAAACTGCTTGGCGGGCATCTCTGGGCAGCTAATAGCGGATCTACTCTCAACGAGAAGATTGAGTTATACTTTAACGATCACGAGTTCAGTTATCTCATGCTCCAGGAGAACTACCTCAAGACGACTCCAACCTTGACGAACAATTACTCTGGCAAGGAGAGAAATCTGAAGCACCTTGAGCTCATCGAAAAGGCTTCCGAGAGCATCAGTGACGGCGACCTGGTCGATCGACTCATCCACGGCCCGCAACAGCAGTGGAGTCTTATGCCCACGCATGCAGTCTTTAGTACAGTTCGCCCTGCGAGCTTTGTATCCGGCAATCTTGCTGGGCATGGTCCAATCAACTTCACTTCCTGGCTAGGCAATAACAGCAAACAAGGTACGTTGGCCGCGGACTATGGTCTTTATTTTTCTTTCCGGTTTTCTGGTTTCCTCAACATTACCGGCCTCGGTTACTAATAACATCCTAATCTCCAGGCAAACTCTCCCGCTTTATCAAAGAAATCCAAGGCCATATGCGCCTCCGCGCTCACGGTGACCGCCACGAGATTCGTCAACAGTACCTGCCTACATTATGGGACCAGCTCATTCGCCGACTACAAGACGAAGGCAAAGAGTCAATTGAAGACATTATCCAGCTCATGGATAGTTACTTTCTCACCAAGGAAGACTGGGACGCGATCATGGAACTTGGTCTCGGGCCCATGGACCAAGAAAAAGTCAAGATTGAAACCCAGACAAAGTCTGCCTTTACAAGAGCGTACGTTTTCTATTCTGCTCCTTTGTTTTTCCCACCGTTTCCTCTCTTTTCTTCTCATTGCTCTTGCCTTTTTTTTCTCCCCCCACATGAATCCTACTACCGCTGGAACCCAAACACTAACCGACATATCAGATATAACGCCACATCTCATCCTCTCCCCTTTATGAAAGCCAGCAGCGTCATTGCGCCCAAAAAGGCTACTAAGGAGAAGCCCGATCTCGAAGAAGCCTTGGAAGAATCCGACGAAGGCGAAGAAATTCTGTCTGACAATGAAGTCAAGCAAGGCGACAATGACGAAGAAGAAGATCTTGATCTCACAAAGGATAAATATGTCAAGATGCCGAAAAAGAAAAAGACTGCTGCCGCTGGCACGAGCGCGGGGAAAAAGAAGGCTGCTGGTACTACAAAGAGCATGGCAACGTCCAAGTCGTCATCATCAAAGTCAAAGCCAGCAAAGGGAGGCGCTGGTGCTGCAAAGGGCAAGAGAAAATCCAAAGCAAAAGATTCTGACCTCGACGACGATGACGACGACGACATGGATGATTTTGTCGTCGATGATGATGATGACGATGACGCGGGGCTAGATGACGATGACGATGACGAAGATGAGGAGGATGTAAAACCAAAGAAGAGCAGCAGGGGAGGGAAGAAGGCGAGTGCTGCAAAAGGACGCGGACGAGGAAGGAAGTGATTTTACTTTTCCTTCTCCTTTTACCCCTCTATTTCTCTTTTCTTTTTTTCCCGCCTCTTTTTTAGCTATCTCCTTCCGTTTCCTTTGGGGAGGTTCACCGTTTTCTGTTCCCCATCATCCTTTCCCCTCTGATCACTCATCATCATTATTTTTTTTCTTGTTCTTTCCACCACTTATCTCTTATCTTACTACTCGTCGTCGTCGCCGTCGTCATCATGTCACTTTTACTCTTTTCTTTCCCCCGCTCTCATTGTCCATTTCTTTTGAAACTTTGTAATCCTTTGTATCATATCAATTACTTAAAGCGCGGAGACAGTAAAAGGGAAAGAGAGGGCGGAAATTGGGGGGAAAAAAGAGGTCCAAAGAATAGCCTATGTTAAACTGTGAGTCTTCGTGTGGGAAACTAGGTAGAAGCAGGGTATTTTAATAAATCTTTTTTTTTCCCTCTTTCAAGTCATGCACCTGCCACCTACTAGACTGCTTAATGTGGATTTGTTTTCGGTTTTCGGGATTTTTTTTTTTTTTTTTTTTTCCCCTCTTTTTGAGTCAAAAATCTCTTCTCTCTCTCTCTTACTCCCATTTACTAATCGATAGCAACAACATATCAATACCAATAAGGTGTCCGGAAACGTCAAATAAAGAGACAAAAGTCTAGTAGTCAGGACATGTATTTGCAAAGTGTATTTCTCACGAGAAGGCAATTCTGTTTGAAGACGCACACATACACATATATACATGCACACACTCAAAAGAAGGACAAATAAAAAAAAAAGAGAAGAGAGAATATGAGAAGAGAAAATAAGGTGTACATAGTTTCACTAATGACGCATCAATATAATGTTCACGATGGTATTGTATATAGTATGTATGTACCTTATATAAGAAATACTTATTGAGGGGGGGGGGGGGGGGGAATTGAAAGGATGAGAAAAGAACAAGGGAAAAAAATAAGAGAAGATGATAAGAAAAGAACAATAAAAAAAAATTAGAGAAGACAACAAGATAAGAAAAAGGAAGGGAAAGAAGAAAAGAGTATGATACAATGATACATTGATACATTGATACATTGATATAGAAATATATCAAATCAGCTCAGCTTAATCCGACAAGGGAATGAGAGGCAAGGATGAGGGGCCGTACATGTTTAACAGAGTAGTAGAGTAGTAGAAATAAAAAACAATGTCGTCAGAATTGAAAGATGACAAGGACTTACTTGGAGCAGGAGGAATGACTGGCGGATAGGGGTAGAGTAAAAGGAAAAAGAAAAAAAAAAAAAAAGGGCGGGGGAAAGGAAAAAGACAGACTTGGAGACAAAAGAAAAGAAAGGTAGTAAAGGAAAGATGGAAATATGGTCAAGAAGAAAAGTTGGAGCAAATACAAAGTATGAGACGAGAATGAATGCAAAGATAAAAGAAAAATATGCAGAACGAAGATATTGGATGAAGTTCGAAATAGATGAATGTGGTCCACATCGGCCAGACGACGACGATGACAAAAACAGAAACGCAGAGGTGATGATGATGATGATGATGATGATGATGATGATGATGCCGAATGATGCACAGTGTGTAATGTGCCAGTCTGCAAATGCCAATATGCTAAAAGAAATATGCAAGTATGCAAGTATGCAAGTATGCTAGGTGTGGTGCAAATAATAGCAAATCGGATATAAAATGACCACGAGACAGAAATGTAAGAGCAAATCAACGAAGAAATGATAGAAAAGAACGAACAATCTCCCGAGACTAGTAACGCCAAACCATTCACCCAATCCTAGGATTTTCTTTTGTTTAGTGATTATTTGCGAGTAAAACTCCTGAAAATGCGACTACAACCGATGAAAGAGTGTGGGAAAGAAAATAAAAAGCTATATGATAGCAGACATGTATAGCTATAAGGATATTAGACAAACTCAACCGAGGAATCCAATGCTTTATACAGTGTCAGATCGCGCTGGAGAGCGTAATAGAACCACTGGCGGAGACGAAGGCGGATCGTCTTGACTTTGGCCGAGGAAATCGTCATCTTCATCGTCGACTGCATGCACAGATATTGCTGGTGACTCTGGCAACGGTTCCGCAAGAGTTTGTGATGAAGCCGCAGCGGATGCTTTTGTAGCGAGGCTCTTTGCTATCTTCTCGTCAATCATTTCGAGCATCCGATCAGAATAATGATCCAGTAATTCTGCCACTACAGCATCGCTGATTCCCTTTAGTCGCGACGCTTTATCGCCAAGGCTCTGAGTTGTGAGTCGGAGTTCCCGGTCGAGCTCATTGGCGTTCTCGACGCTGACGTTTTCTGATGACGTAGAGAGCTTCTTTCGATAAGCGCGTAGCGAACGACAAAGTTGTTCAGTCGCATTGTTCAGGCTATTGCTGCTGCCAGAGTCGTTTGCGCCCCTAGTAGTCCTTGCTTTGGCAGCTGTATGTCGAGAATCCCATGACGACCGGCGTGTCTGGCTTCGCGCTCTGGCCTTTGGCGGACTCGATGGCGACGAGGAACGATCTCGCAAATGGGCTTTGCGATTTAGATGGTCGGTTGTTGCCGTGGGAGACGCAGAATTTGGCTGCAAAGAGGGCACGGGAGAAGTTGCACCTCTGCGGGACGGTTGCTGCTGGACAGAACTATTACTGTTGCCATGCTTAAATGAGGACTTTTTCTTGACTGGCCGAGGCGGCGACCGCAGTGATGCAGCAGGTGGACCGTTGTCTAAGCCTGGCGGCCTGCGAAAGTCTGCAAGCTCCGATTTCGATAGAAGACGCCGCAATGGCGGTTTCATCGCTGTAATGTCCTTATTGGGCTGCTCCTCGCCCGCTCTGGGCAAATAGTCAAAGGCTTCCTGAAGGTGCGATAATCTGGGAATATAGTCCCATATCATAATAGTTCCATCGCAGCCAGTGCTAATCATTGTCCGCTTCTCCGGCTCTTCTGGGTTGTGCGAGAGGCCGCCCAACATGGCCAAATCACTTACGCCTTCCGTGTGAGAGAATTCCTTGGCCATAAGTGTCCCAGAGCCGAGGTCGTAAATGCGAATTGACTTATCCATGTGAGACACACCAGCCAATATTGCCTGCTTCTTCAAGCCTGATGATTTGCTCGCAACGAGAGAGTCCATGACCACGGAGTCGTTACCCTCCTGATCTGTAGTTCGGAAGCTCTGCACCAGTCGACCTGACCGCGCTTCGTATCGGAGAATCTGACGATCTGCAGTCGACACAAGTAGGCTGGCGTCTCCATCATCAACAGATGTGACAGAAATTGGTGTGGACTTGAGACTGAGAATTCGTAGAGGTGTGTATGCAAAAGCCTGGCTTTGCGAGTCCTCTTCATTTCCCCTCGAAACAAATTCTCTTACAACCACTGTACGGTCCGACGAACAAGATGCAAGAAGATTTCCTTCTTGGAGGAAACAGATTCCAGCGACAACGCCGCTATGTTCGTCAAGTGTTTGGATCAATTCCCAAGAGTCCTCCGTCCGTCGAAAAAGTTGTATCATCCGGTCTCTCGCGCAGCTGGCAATGAGTGAAAAGTCTTCACGCTCCATAATAGCAATATCAGTGATTTCGCTCCCATGCGCCTTGACGTCAAATATGCCTTTTCTTGTAGCATTATCAATAACTCTAAAAAGCCAGTCAGTCATTTATAGCACACGACGTTTCAAAGGTTGGCATACCGCAAAACGCCATATCTATCTCCCGAAACTAAATACTCAGCTGTGGGTGACGCCCGCACCACCTTAAGCTCGTTAGGTACATCTTCATCGGAGTAAATCGGTTGCTCCAATTCAATCTTGCACCTCCCTGTGCAGATTCCGTCACGGTTCCAAAACAGGACGAGTCCGTCAGAGCACCAGGTAAAGAAGAGGGAGTGCGATTCATCGGCTTTTGAAAGGAAGCCTACACCCATCACTGCAGCTTGATGAGCGGGTATCTCAAGATTAGCTGAGCTGGGCGTGGGAGTCCGTTCAGCAGTATCAATGTTCATGACACGCACTGACCGTGTCGAATCAATCAAAATGAGGCGTTCATTTAAGGATGCCATGGCTAAAATCTCAGCGGGCGCACAAGCCTCTTGAGAAGATTGACTCTCCGGAGATGTTGACAAGGTCGGCGATGGAGTTCGGGGCTTCTGTGCGAGAAGTTCGCTCAAAGGCAAGCTTTGAACCTGTCCTTGGGCACCCCCGAAAAAGACAAATCGACCGTCTGCGCTCGGAGTGACCGCTTTGACGCCGAAACCAACGTCGGCCAATTTGGTAAACTTTTGTGTCCCATCACTATCATCCAGTAAACATATATCGCCCTTTTGAGAGCAGATTATGGCCTTTTCATCAGAGATGCTTGTCATGCAGGAAAAGGTTGCCTCAGCCATAGGGCCTAAAAGACAATTACGTCCAGCAAGCGTCTTCACCGACAAGTTGGCTACATTCGATGTCGGCGTTGCTTCATAGGCAAAGCGCTGTTTGGATGGAGAGGTCGTTGTAGGTTCTTCAATACGCCAGACTTTGACATGCCTTGTACCTATCCTATACAGACGCTCAGTTCCTCGTAAAATCATATTGTACGGAGAATGTATCACCTACGTCACAAGACTGTTGCCAATCCATGCCATGGCACATACGTTAGAGATGCACTTATTGCTCGAATGAAGCCGCGTAGATCCCGTGCGAGGGTTAACTGCCCAGATATACAGAAAACCATCGTGGACCGTTCCGAGACTTGCCAGGTACGACGAATCTGGGCTGAAAGCAAGGCAGCGGACGCCATAGGTATGTTCCGAGAGGAGTGCTAACGGTGTCTCTTGTGAAGCATCTTCGGCCAAAGAAAAGATCAGGACGCGCGGTTTGTATCCGGTCTATGCACATCAATGTCAGACTCTTCTTCTCCCCGTCAAATCCTCGCATGACTCACTTCGCCAATGGCTATGAAGCGTCCATCTGGACTAAACGATGTTGAAGTCGCTGCCTTGATCCTCTCTCGGGCGGACCAGGTTTTGTTGCTCGGGGAATCACCCCAGTCGCCGATTGGCGATGACAAGGAAGGCGAATATCCCACGCCTACATCGCGAAGGGAAGATACGGCACGATTTCGCACTTCAATAGAAGGGTTGATCGGAGTTGATGGAAAAGGATGATTCGAGAAGTTTAAAGGAACGGCAGAGGGCTTGGCTCTGTAAAAGCGCTGGCTGGAGGAGCCGTCATCGGCGAGTTGCACAACCACGACACCCGCGCCAGCTGTAAAGGCAAAAAATGGTCCGGAGGGAAGGCAGTCAAAGCCACATACTGAGGCTGTCGTGGTCCCAATAACTCTTCGCAATATGAGGCCAGAATCTTGATTGGGACGTCGTCGGCCAAAGCTTTTTTGACAAGGAGAATTTGAAGGAGTGAATCTGAGACTTGGCCCGGAGGCTGAAGGGTGCATCCGAGAGACTGTGGGCGTAAGAGCCATATTCTCTTTTTTTTTACATTGGTATTAAGTAACGAGCGAATGGGCAATTATATAAAAGATCGACCCAGAAAAGTGTTCTGAATTGGGTGCATCATTTCGTGAGCACGAAGGGCAGGAAGTGGGCAGCAAAAGGAAATGCAGAATGAAGGTTTATCGCTATCGCCGGGACGATAGTCAAGGATGGGAATGTGACAAACGGGAAAGAGAGATTGTGTGTGTCTGTGCAGATGCTCGAGGTTGGTCCGTGTCGCGCGACAGGATGCAGAGAGCACGAGGCACCCAAATCACGTTTACTGTACTCTAGTTGTGCTGATGTTATGGAAGTGCCTGGGAAAGCAGAGCGCCAAGGGGGCACGATTGGCCCTTCTTCCCGGTCGTCGTTCAGAGAGATTTGTTTACTTTTTCAGCTCTCTTTGCAGCTACTTTGTGTGCTCATCCTTAACCAAAAGAAAACCCGGGGCCAAGAACGGACCTTGCCATCTTACCCCTTGGGGAAATCTTTCCGCTAAAGTAGCGATCCGTCTCAGTCCCGGCTCCCGTGCTAAGTTGTCTCGAGTGGAACTGTTTTCTCCACCCACAGCTAGGGGCTCCAGTGCTGGGGGAAAGCTCTCAGGCTTACTCCGTAAACAGAGCACAGACGGAAAGCAGGGCTTCGAATCGTCTAGCTAATCTCGAAGTGAGGCCAGTAGATCGCAGAGTGAAACTACAACAAAGCGGCTTGGAATAAGCCCGCCAGTTCAAAAATCTAAAACCCACAGAGGAGACTCTCTTTGATACATTGTCTAATTCACAGGAAGAATCTCGTTGTCCCCCAAAAAAGGAATAAGAATGTGTGAAAAGATGACGTACTCTTCATTGCAGATTCGAGGCAGGCGTTTTTGGTGCAAATAATAATAAGAAGGGTGTATCAAATTTGGCGGCAATCATTTAATCTGTCGGCCTTTGACATAGACGTCGACAATGTTTCGGTCGTCCGCCGTCATGAGAAATTTTTCAAAGATAGTCTCAGTCGAATCCTCATCCTCAATTGGAGCAATAATTCCACGATATTTGTCGCTCACCGTATCAATCAGCAGGGCATCAAAGATTTTGCCTTCTCCAAAGTTTCCAATTTTCTTTTCCAAGCCACAAACCTGCGCGCCTCCAAGCGTAGCCAGATAGAAGCCTTCCTGGAGCGACAGCTCTGGATCCTTCCCTTTGGTAGCTGTGGCCCGAGCATTAGAGATGACAAAGGCCAGCCGCATAGCATCAAGAATAGAGGACGAGTAACCACCACCACTGTCTGTGCCAAGTCCGACCTTTATTTCACGGCGTAGGTATTCTCGAATTGGTGCAACACCAAAAAATCCACCAGTAGAGGTTGATATTGGGCAATGAGCAACGCCACAGTTACGTTCTTTGATCCGCTGCATCTCATACTCTCCACAAAAGATACAATGGGCGAGAATGGTTCGGTCGGTCATCAGTCCAAAGTGATCGTATAGATCGGCTTCGCTCTTGAATTCTGGAAAAAGCTGTTTTGTTACTTCCATCTCCTGCTCTGCCTCGTCGAAATGCGTTTGGATCGGCAGGTCTGGCTGCTCCGCAGCGATCTGACCCAGGCCGGCGAGAACTTCACCATCGCATGAAATGGCAAATCGCGGGGTTAGTATTGGCGTGACCAGCTCGAAATTTGGGTCAATTCGTCGCACATGATCGATAAAATCTCTCGTCGATTCGAGAGACTCTTCGACTGTCATGTCCCGACAATAGTCTGGTGCATTTCGATTCATATTGCATTTTCCGACGAAAGCGCGTTGACCCAATTTCTGACAAATATCGGCTAGAATTTTGGTTGCCGGACCGTGAAAGGAACCGTAATAGCAGGCTGTGGTGATGCCTTGCCGGACGAAGCCTTTGACACAGGAAGTATATGTCCTCCACGCATAATCATGGTCTTTGAATTTAGATTCATGCGGAAAAGTTGTTTTATTGAGCCAATCGATCAGAAGCTGCCCTCTTCCAATTCCGCGCTGAGCCCACTGAGGTGCATGATTATGCGTGTCTACAAATCCGGGGACCAGAAACTCCCCTCGTTTGAGCATCTGGATATTGAGCGAACCTGGTGTAAAATCATGCTCGACGAGGAAGCTGTCGAGCTTGTCCAATGGGAGGTTCTTGTGGAAATGCGTGATAATGCCGTTTGAGCCAACGATGATCAAACCTTCTTCAATGATCTCGACCTGTTGCGGGGTCAATGAGTGAATTATCGTGCCATGGAATGCTAAAGGAAGATCAGCATCTGCTGGCGCATCCAACGTGGCCTGAGCAAAATCAGAGAGACCCATTTCCCTATATCTCCCCCTTTTTTTTTCCCCTCAAACAATGTTAAAGACGAAGATGTTAGAGTGCAAATCCACAAATTGGCGCGCTTATGTGAGATAGGTAGGTAGCTGCAAGCACATGCATGCTCTATGTACTGCGTTCGCCACGATGAACTTGCCTCTCAGTGCGAAAACGGGAGATGATCTTGCGTAATATTTGGATAGAAAATCCAAACTCCCCAAGATGATGATATTGATACATTTGATGATAACGAAAATCGCAATTTGCGTTTTAAGGGGAAAATTTAAGTCTTAATAGTATAAAGAGCACTAGAAGCCGAAGTTCCTCCCGCGATGACAGGCACCAAATTTAAAGCCACTGAACTTTCCCCAACGCCTTCCTAAATCTGCATCGAGATTTTGCGATCTCAAGCTTAGCAATTTACGAATACTGCATAAGAGATTACTCGTATATCATGTTCGACATGCAACCTGCCAGAACAACTCCCCCATCCGCGCCGACGTGCCTATTAAACGCACAGCTAAACAATAATCCTCTTAAATATACACAAGATTTCTCGAGTAGTAGTTAAGCAAGCGCACGAGACAGAACCACAGAAGGGCTCCTACAATAACCACCTTAAGAAACCATTTGAGCACGGTGCGCTCGATTCCAGGAAGACTGAGCGCTTCTTCTGTGGCTTCGCCCTTCTCAGTAAAGATGCCATACTGGGGAATATATTGGAATTCAAATTGAGATGGAGTGCCCCCAAGCCCATGTTTGTGTTCCACAATCATTGCATAAAATATTTTTCGTACCCTCTGTCAATCGTCAGCACACCGCTAGGGAAAGACAAAACCGAACGCAATGAGAAGTGATCGTACAGCTATTTTCCGTCGATCCAGGTAATGTACGGACCGATGAGAGTAGCACACGCTCATAAAGAGCAAGTTCTGACACATAACCAGAAACCAATAATACAGACTCGGATGTTCAAGCCCCAGTCGATCAGAAAGCTCCTTGCCATTTAACCAGCGTGCGTTCGCATACAAATAATACTTGGAAGCATATGCAGGCGGTTGATCGGCAAGGCTCTTGATGATGTTATTGGCCAAGATTTTCGAGGTCTCGGTCGGATCAATCTCGGCGATCTGATACGATTCCATTACAGCCTTTGCTTTGGACGCACTCTCGAATGGAAAAGTCGGGGTGCCGGAATACCATGCAATGAGCCTCCATAGAGCAATGTAATCCTCGATTTCTTGCTCCCTTAGATACAAGCCCATTCTGGGGAAACTGAGCCATATCAAATTCGACGAAAATGTCTCAATGGTTGCAATGCAGTCAAGATCGTTGATGGGTATTCCCCAATTTTCCACATCATAGTAGTCTGGTCGACTTTTTCTAAGTCTCATGATACGTTTGCGGACTGCAGCATGCAGCAGCCGTACCCGGATGGTCGAAATATGGCCCACCCCACCGGGCTGAATTGCTTCAAGAGATGTTGTACACTGCAAAACATACTGCGTAGTCTCATATAGTCTGCGTCTAGCGACCCGTGTAGAGAATCCACCAGTCCGAGCAAGCGTCTCAACCACACGCGTGGCGCCCCTGAAGTATCAGCTGTTAGCGCAGAGCTACACAAATTCAGCTCAGAGCAAAGTTACATTCCACCTAGAAGGCTTTGAAAAGCAAGGCCTAAAGCACGACGGTTAGAAAGATCGAATAAGGACTGTCTTAACGAGGACAAAGCTGAAGGCTTACCCGTCAGTGCAGCACCCCCATATCGGTAAAATACTTCTTGCCCACGAGCAACCTGAGCCCAGTCAACCCAGTCTGGAATGGCGTGGACTTGGTTCCAAAGCTTTCCCAAACTCTTGTCTGATTCAGCGTTGTCCCTTAGCAATGCATAGAGATCACGACTTGGGCCACTATGTTTGTCATTTGTGCCCGCATCGCCTGCAGTTGAGCCAGGTATACCGTCAAGCTTGTCGAGACATTCGTCTGCAAGCTCGTCATAAGTGTATTTTAGCGGATATAGCTGCTCTGAAGTCAAATGTTCGTCTGTCCAGTTGAATCTGTGACCCCAAGCACTGACGACCAAATGGTCAGTTAATGATGTATAAGCTTAGGTGCTGGGATGCAATTACTCTTGTGTCTTTTTACTGGATTGATAGAAGAAATGCCGACTTGCCATCTTGCCAATTTCAATCGAACTCTCCATTGTATCGAGAAAGCAAAAAATCAGACTCCATTATGAAACAGATTTAATAAACATAAAATGTCTGATCACAGCATAATAGACTCTCTCCATCATAGGTATAAGAATAGTGGCGTCGGCAGCTTCACTGGATCGAGTAATAGTGACGCCATGAAGAGATCTAGGCGAGAGATAACCACCCGCTCCGTCGACACTAGAAGCAACTAAAGGGACTGTCAGGAATGGCATGATGTGCTTGACCAACACTATGTACTTGTCAGGAATCTCTGAATAGTTCCATCTTCAATCTTTAAATTTCACGCTATGTGGATCGCTTTTATAGATAGCGATGACCGGACGATGAAGCTGCAAGGAGATTGAGTGCATGAAGACAGCCGTGGATCTTATGTACGGTCTTAGCTAAGTTGTACTTTCAGACCAACGGTTGGCGATCTGCCATCTCATTGGCCCTCGAAGGCACGTGCAGCATCTTCAACATCTCATACCTCCGCCCAATCTGCCCACGATGTCCAAGTCCCATACGTCCGTTCCAAAGCGACCCAATGGCTGGATATCTGTGCCTAGCCCTATCTCTCGAACCCGAGGTCCCTGGCTTTGACAGACGGATTAAAAATCCTTTTATCAAAATCCCTGCATCGAAAGAGAAAATTTATTTCATTCTATTGCTGAGAACCAATGGACCAGGACACGATGTTCACGGCCCTGTTCGCTGCAGTTCGTCTATTCCACGTGGGCCACACACCACGGAGCGATTGGCATTTGGTCTTGCCACTTCTCTGGCTCCCAGCACAGTATGCGGGGTAGCATAAATGATCAGCCTCCTGCCAGCATGATGCCTAGGCAGTGATCACTGCTGTGAATCCTAAAGGCTTTTAGCCCTCTGTTAATCTTGTTCCATCTTGCCTCCAGTGCAGTAATTTGCGAAAGCAAGATGACTGGCCTCGAGAAAGAGAACGTCGTCATCTCCCAAAGTGGCGATGCGCAGAACTACAACACGCCCAGCGACTTGAGCCCTGCAGCAACAAACGAGGTTTCTCCTTTGAAACAAAGAATTTCGAACCTCTTCACCATATTCTGTGCGGGATGTGCACTCATCAGTGATGGCTATCAAAATGGCCTCATGACTATGACCAACGTTGTTCTCCGGAAGGAATATCCTAAGGAGTATACCTCAAATGTCAGCACTCGCGTGTCCAACGCGCTGCTAATTGGAATGATTATAGGCCAGATTGTCATTGGGTAAGTTTAGCTGAAGCTTTGGAATTGACTCTGATAAAAAGGACCTTAGTCAAACAGACGATCGCTGACTAGCCTTTTAGACTCATTTGTGACTATCGAGGTCGCAAATTTGCAATCGTGTTTACTACGGCTATGATTGTGGTTGGCGGCATTCTTGGAACAGCTGCACATGGTGTGACACCCGCAGGCATGTTCTGGATGTTGACAGTTGCTCGAGGCGTTACTGGCTTCGGCACAGGAGGCGAGTATCCTTCGTCGTCGGCGTCGGCATCGGAAGCAGCGAATGAGCATGCGCTGAAACAGCGCGGCCCCATTTTCATTCTGGTAACGAACCTGCCGCTCGCCTTTGGCGGTCCTCTTGTTGTCTCGATCTTTTTGATCGTCTACTCCTGCACTGGAATGGCGCATCTGTCGACCCTATGGCGTGTCTGCTTCGGTATCGGCTGCATTTTCCCTTTGGTCATCTTCTACTTCCGAATCAAGATGCTCAACTCGAAACTTTATCGTCGCGGAGCGATTCAGAAGAGGGTTCCCTATCTTTTGATTCTTCGATACTATTGGAAATCCTTGCTCGGAACTTGTGGGGCGTGGTTCCTCTACGATTTCGTCACGTTCCCCAACGGCATTTTCTCCGGAACCATCCTTTCTTCAGTTGTAAAGGACGGCAGTATTAAATCCACGGCCGAATGGCAACTGCTTCTTGGCGCCATTGCCCTTCCGGGCGTTGCTATTGGCGCTCTCTTATGCAGGCCACTCGGCCGAAAGAATACCATGATGCTTGGTTTTGGTGGCTTCCTTGTTTTTGGTCTCATCATTGGCTGCGCCTACGATCGCATCATCAAGATTGTCCCTCTTTTTGTTGTCTTCTACGGCTTGATGCAATCTTCTGGAAACCTAGGTCCCGGCGACATGCTAGGCTTGCTCTCCTCTGAGGGCTATGCGACTGGTGTTAGAGGTACCTGCTATGGTCTCTCTGCTGCCTTTGGCAAGGCGGGTGCTGCTGTTGGTACTCAGGCGTTCACTCCGGTTCAGCGGCACCTCGGAAAGAAGTGGACTTTCATCATTGCTGCAATTTGTGGTATTTCGGGTATCTTAGTGACTTGGCTGTTTGTACCAGATATCTCTGGCGACGATCTTGCTATTGAAGATGAGAAGTTTCGCGCTTATCTGGTGGCGCATGGCTGGGATCATGAAATGGGAGAGAATGATCTGGCTGCTCTGGCTGATGAGGCGGCTCCCCCTGCTTTTGTCAAGCAGGAGGCTTGATTTGGAGTATCACTCTCCTTTTTAGCAGGCTCTGTGCCACATCTCATTCTATAGACGTCATGTTATACCTAGGTAGTAACACCTTAAAACGCATATTAGAATATATTAGGGGAATAGCTCTGATTTACAGCACATGAAAATTTGTTATTGTTAGGCTAGTCATAACGAATAAACCAATCTTCAAACTCTTGATTCATTTTTGAATTTATTGCAATGAAGTACCAAAGGCTGGTCGCGGACACTGCCAGCATTTCCGAGGGTCAAGTGTCCTACCGGAGTAGTGTCCCAAATTGTTGCACCATTGGTATGAAAGCGCAGTCGTATAATTTTCCGGGGTCGAGAACAAGCGTTTGACTTTATTTTGCTTTCGCCTCAGACTCGTCTGGATAGGAGCTGGAAAGGAAACGTTCCCTTTCTTCGATTTTCCCTCACTTTATACGGTCATGCCCTGCTCAGCTTGTTCTGTGACAGTGTTAAATATTTTCCTTCGCGAGACACTCGGCTTGCGGACACAGTCACTTGCACTCTCAACTGCGAGAACGCCATTTCACTCCAGCGCAAGGCGGTCATACATTGTTCACAACCCTATCCGCCAACAGCCATGGCTTCAAAACAGTCTATATTCTTCATCTGGTCACGCTAGAATGGCTTCGGCTGGAAAGGAAGGCTACCGTGGCTACGCTACTTCTGCGACACAGGAATCTGCACCGACAGTTTCGCATTCGACAACCGGCTCGACAGAAACAGATAATTCGACAACCACTCAGGCAAGAAAAGAACCAAATTTGGACCACGAACCCTTTGCGGACTCCCTCAAGGTGCGGCAAGATTCGTTAACGCAAGGCGAGGCTGTCGCCCTTGCGGATGAGCCCCCGCCGCAACTAGAAACGAAAAGACATAACAGTTTATCACACGCAAAGAAATCGTTTGCAAAGTTAGACGCAAGGGACGCACGCGCACCCATTCAGAGGTCAGAGTCAAATCGAGAAGAGGAATACCCGTCAGCAAAGTCTATCGAGACCCCAATATATTCACGCCAGTCCAAGAAGTCGAAGGAAACCGGTGAGGAGAGCAAACGCGGTATTCATTTCCCGCCAAGAGAGGCTCACAGGGACGCAATACGGCTCCCAACCAACCGAAGGCTTGAACCATGGCAAATTCAGAAGGATGCTCTAAAAGAGAAGTTAAGCGGACAAGCGTGGGCGCCTCGAAAACGCCTCTCTCCTGACGCCGTGGAAGGTATCCGGGCTTTACATGAACAATATCCGGACAAATATACAACACCTTATCTGGCTGAACAGTTCCATGTGTCTCCAGAAGCTATTCGAAGAATATTGAAGAGCAATTGGCGCCCCAGCGAAGAGGAACGGGCGAAAAGGTTGCAAAGATGGGAGAACCGAGGGAAGAATATCTGGGGCAAAATGGTCGAGCTCGGAGTCAAGCCACCAAAGAAATGGCGGGAAATGGGTGTTGATAGGGATTCTGAGGGGCGTAGCTTCCATCAGAGACGTGTCCATAATCAGCGCAACAAACCATGGAAATCTCATAGCGGAACAAGTGGCCATGGTGGGGGGTTTTCTTCAAGGAACTCTGCTGACATGGACGATGAGGAGTCCCTGTCCGATCGAATCTTATAATACTTTATATACTTTAACAAATTTTGGAGATCGGCGCATTCTGGAAATATGGAAACTTCCTGAAAGTTTACAAGCGTGCAATTATGGAGCTTGTGTCAGGAGATTTTGGGACTAGAGCAGCACAAACTACGGAATTATGCATAATTGTAAATCAATTGATTATTGCATCGATAGGCCTTTCACTTTCTGGTATTAGTTTTATCATTATTATCACTCTGTGTCTTTGGTGTCTTGAGATACTGTGGCGTTTACCATTTGAATGCAATGCAGTTGTCAGGAACCTGGGGTTTCAGCGACGGGTCGGGGGTGAACGACACCCGAGGGGATGTCGCCCAGCCGAAACGTCAATTGGCAGCGGAGACCTCGCCAATGACGGTGGAAACCCCCCGGACGCGGAAGTGAGACCGCAATATAACACTTTCAATCTGTGGCTCCATATCTTCGGGCGGCTTCTGCAAACAGAGCTCTTATACAACTTCCTATCCAGATACATTTATCCAGTCTTGATATTTCAAATATATTCTTTTGGAAGTCCATCTTATTATTTTGGTTGCAAATTTCTTGTTATCCTCGTCTCTCGTGCCAAAGCCACAACAACTATGCCACATCTACCCTGTCACTGGTAGAGCGCACCTCTACATCTCGACTCTAATGAAATTGCTTAGAACAGTGACGTGTTCATTTGCCAGTACAGGGCTCTTGTTGGCGAAATGTCAGTCACTTCAAATATCCGCGTCTACGTACAATGGAAAGAGCAGACGGTCTTCGCGGGGGAAGATGTAGAGTGCATAATTACCTTCAAGAACGTCGCTCGAGATGAATCTCGTGCCTCGACTGTGAACGGATTCATGCCAAGAGGGGAGCGACAAAGAAAGATCACTCCGTTTCAGGTCCCCTTATCGGATGCGTCTATGAGTCGAAATCCTGCTGCCCTTGCATCGCAAGCTCGTGGGCATCGACCGACTCTTTCCTTGAATGTTCCCTCAAGCAATATATCAAGTCCTCATCCGTCAAGTCCTTGGAGCGGCCGAAGTAATGGTTCATACACACCTGGTAATGCACACAAACGATCGGTGTCAATCCTCTCCGTCGGCAGTGATGCCCTCCCCGAAGAGCCTCCTATTCATGGCAGCGCTCTCCCTACAATCAAGCCCACACGGAATCATGCACGCTCAGCAAGCTTGCAAATTCTTCCAAACAGAGCAAGGCCACCTCCCTGTATGCTCCACCATTGGATCAATGCTTCCTTATGTTTGGGTCTCTTAGCTAATGTCAGCAGCACCACTAGGACACCGGTCAAGCACCCAAGCTTCTCCTATGCTTCGAAGCACATCCCCTCTTATACCTCTCGAAAACGGGTCAGATCCATCTTCATCTCTGCGATCCTCAAGACGAACTTCAGCCCGGCCCAGTGCGTCCGGTACGCCAGACCCGGGTCGGCCTCTAAGAAAACCGTCTGGTTCCTTTTCGCAGAATTTCAAATTTCCCGCCGCTTCTCCACAAATAGAACCTCCATCTCCTAACCCGCAAACTTTTGCGGGGTCATCTTCAAATAACAAAAATCCAGTTCCATTATCACGACAGCAATCACCTAAGCCTCCCGAGCTGAGCGGGCCGAATCTTGAGCATCTAAATCCTACGACGAAAGTGCTTGCTGGATCGAGCATGAATGCCACACCCAGAAGTAGCGGTGAATTTTATTCTTTGAGTAATAATTCAACCGAAACTTTGGCTTCGGAGTACGGGCCGCAACTCTTGAACAAAGCTCCGCAAAGGCCAAATCATCTCCGTAGCATTTCTCATATAAACCCTACAAGCCATCCGCAATCTCCAGAAAATCTCATGATGGGATACGTCCAAATTCAAGGATCTTTTACCTTAGATGGATCCCTAATCAATCAGGCGCCGTTTGAGGAAGTGAAGAGGAAAGGTGTGGTTGGGGGCCATGGTGGCGGTGGCGTAGTTGGAGTTGAAAAGAGTAAGAGAGAAAGCGGCATTTTTGGTGCTTTTGGCTGGAGCAACATTGGTGAATCAATTGGCAGTCTCCTTGGTGCAGGTGAACTTAGCAGCATTAAAGAAATGAGGGGAATCGCCAGCGCCAAATCGATACCGCTGATTTCAACCCCCCAATCCATTCTTTTTGTCGACCTCCGACTCGCTCCGGGTGAGAGCAGAAGTTACACGTATAGCTTCACACTTCCACGAGGACTACCAGCAAGCCATAAGGGCAAGGCAATCAAGGTCTCCTACAACCTCGTCATAGGGACCCAGCGTGCAGGGACACTTAAAAGCAAACAGTTGGTCTCGCAGGTCGAAGTACCTTTCCGTGTCTTTGGTGCTGTCAATGGTATGGACTTCTCAAATCAATGTTGCTGTGTAGTTTACTGACACTTTTCAGGACGAGGGGAGGTCTTGGGGCATGATTTGATGTCTCCTTACATCATCCTCCGGGATCTGGCTCGGACTCAAAGCATTCCGGGAAATATGGCGCTGACGGATCTTGAGACTTTTTGGAACAAGAAAACAAGTCGTCCGAAGCAGAAAGAATCATCCCTGGAGGATTTTCTTTCATATGCAGATACCCTGCTTGAAGCCCCTCGTCGGAGTAGCAGCTACGGACTCATATCCCCGACGGATGTCGTGCCGCCTCATCGGATGTCTAGTGGCGAGGGAGGAATATCCAGCAAGGAAGCGATAGATTTTGCCATCTTGCGCAGTAACGCCAGGACTGCTACAAATCAGAGCACGAATCGTTTCGAAATTGCTCGAAATGGTCGACGCGTTGCGGTACTAATGCTTGCACGGCCAGCGTACCGGCTTGGGGAGACCTTGACTGCTGTGATTGACTTTAAAAATGCGGATTTGCCTTGTTACTCCGTACATGCTGCGCTGGAGAGTTCTGAAAAAGTCGATCCCGCCATAGCACTTCGATCCGGCGCAAGTATCCAACGAGTGACCCGTCGTGTTCATGCGTCGCAGTTAGAATCAACCTTATTCGCTCGAAGGGTGTCATTTCGCCCGAGCATACCAGTCAATGCGAGCCCGGAGTTTCTGACCAGCGGAGTGAGTTTAGAGTGGAGACTTCGTGTGGAATTTGTCACACCTAGCCCATCTGACGAAGAAGAAGAGGATGAACAACAAGCAGTGGAAGGAGGAGATGGAGAAGGCCGTGGAGCTATGCTGCTTGAAGAAGTATCTCGAGATGACCGAGCCCTGGTCATGGCTGCAGTGGAGGGTCTCGCATGCGAGAGTTTCGAAGTCGCTGTTCCGATCAAAGTCTACGGAGCTGTGGCCGCGGGTGTCAATGCGCCTGTTGAGGGACTTTCAGTATGACCGTTTGGGTCCTCGCATGCGTCTATGTACATACACAAGGGATGTGGGCGGCAATGATAACATTTCCAGTTGTCGGGCAGGAATCATATGATTTCAACTTGGGCTGAAAGAGTCATTTTACAATAAATGGCCTGCTTTGACATATAGTTGGGCAAATGTGGCTTGTGACGAGCATGGAATATATAGGGCAATAATAGATGTACATTGGAACGAATATCATGTTGAAAAAAACAAAAGGTTTTATGTCCCCTTTTAAAATTGTATGTTGCTGTAAGAAGTTCGAGCTTAGGACAACTCTGGGACTGTACGCATGTACTGGAAATATGTACCTGGGGATTGAGTTCTCCGAAAGGCTCGCCAGGGACTACACTATCCTATTCGGACATCGCGAGTCAATGGCTTGATTTGAATCTCGGGAACTATGCCTCTCCACCCGAGATGGATGGGGAGCGGTTAAGAGACTCTAGAACACTGCACTAAGCTCCTCACTAGATTCGCCATTACTACTCCGATACTTGCGGGTGTATTGCCGAAGAATCTCTAACCATTGCTGAGCCTCCCCTACTAGAATTTGAGTTTTTCTGACAGCTGGATGATGACCTAGATAATCATCCAATTAATATCATACAATTTCAATTCATGATCGGCTGCAAGATTTTATGTGCCCCATTATGGCTGACTCTGCGATTCAGCGGCAGTATACCCTGTCCAACATTCGAGAGGACTACGTCGAAGCCCCGGAAGATGAAGCTCCTCTGGACTCGGTCGAGCAGGAACTGCTCCCCATTACTCGAAAACGGCAAATTATTGTGCTCTTCTCAAGCTTCATGACTGCTTTCCAAACCATTGGCATTAACCAGTCATATGGTGTTTTCCAGGGTTACTACATTGCCAGCAATGGCGGACCAGACGCCGTTATCACTGCGAAGCAGGCACAAAATAAAGCGCTTGTGGCATTTGTTGGTACTCTCGGCGCTGGGCTAACTTGGGCCGGAAGCATTTTTGTGAACCCGTTGATGGCACGATCCAAGGATTTGAGACAGATTACTTTGACTGGTGCCGCTTTGATGAGCTTGGGCTATGGGCTTGCTGGCTCCTGCTCGCAAGTGAGTTAGCATATCTAAACATGAATTGGCCTTATGGATGAAAGAGGGCAGTAGCTGAAAATGTTCCTTATCCCTTTTACAGATTTGGCAACTTATCCTCTGTCAAGGCTTTTTGTATGGCATTGGTAGTTCCATGCTTTATTTTCCTATTTTGAGCGTGGCTCCGGAGTATTTTGATTCCCGGCGTGGAGCCGCCATGGGTTTCATTCTTTCAGGTAAGTCTTGGAAAGGGCTCTAATTCAATGGTGAGCCAGTCTCTGAGAATTGAAATCACAGGTGCCGGAGTTGGAGGCCTGGTAATGGCGCCCGTCATCAGAGTTTTACTTGACCATATTGGGATTCGATGGACATTGAGAGCTTTGTGCTTTATTAACCTTGCTATTGCTCTTCCAATTGGTCTTTCAGCGAGTCCATCTCGAAGTAGTCGCCAGCGGCCAAGTTTAGTCAATATATCCTTGGCGAAAAAGCCTGCTTTTACTCTCCAAGCCCTGGCTGCGCTGCTACAGGCCTCAGGCAACTTTGTACCGTTGAACTTTTTGCCAGAGTTTTCGACGGCGCTTGGGTACACAGCAGGGTTCGGTGCTGCGTTGCTTGCATTGAGCAACGGCGTCAATACTGCTAGTCGGATTGCAATGGGCTTCACTGCTGACAAGGCAGGACGCCAAAATACCTTGGTCTTGAGTGTCCTGGGCAGCGCAGTGAGCGTTTTCGCTTTTTGGATGAGCTCCTTGGATGGATCTAAGGCTCTATGGATCACTTTTGTCGTCGCATACGGTATTCTCGCTGGAGGTAAGCTTTCGACTCCACTATGCAAGTAGACCTGCCAAAACTAACGAGAATGTCAGGATATAATGCACTTTTCCCCACTACCATTACAGAGGTTTTTGGAATCCAGGCCTATGCGTCAGTAAATGGGTTCATCTATTTTGTCCGCGGTCTCGGAGCTTTCTTCGGCACGCCAGTTGGCGGTATAATCATGGGAAGTCATGGATCGAACAGCTCTGTCATTACCTTGAAAGATTACCGAAAACTTATCTGGTACGATGGGGCGCTTCTTCTTGGATCCAGTCTCTGCGTAATGGCAGTGAGGGGTTTCGATGCGTATGAAAAGAAGCACTGGCGGTGGAAGGCTTAACCCACGAGAACTTGAAGGTCGGGTCTCAGCACGATAAGAATATTCTCTATTTGACGAAGGCGGCATTGATTTTTACGGCATTGCGATAGATTGGACTTCGATACGCATAATGTTCAAATCAATATGAACTTGCACCTCTATGTGCGAATCTTTTACTTTCGAAAGACATCTATCTGGGCGCAGATTCCTGATAAATTTTCTTTTTCTTTTCGCCCTTTGAAAATACGGATAGGGAAATCCGCTGCTTTCGAGAGGTGCAGACATGGTGAAATATTGTTGTCAACATTGGATATGCTATTTGACATTAATGCCCTTCTTTACTGATATCACACAGAATTTGGTACGCCTTTTCCTGCTATTCATTGATCAAAAATTTCCGTAGAGTGCATTTGTGTCAACACCATTACTCATGGACATGATAATTCCAAATCCACCAGAACAGACTCTTCGATAAGGCCTATGAAACATTGTTGATGCGGAAGCGCAACATGCGCCAATAAGATATGATGACTAAGCCGCTTCCATCGATTGTGGAGGTAAACAAACCGGGCCCCCGCAATAATGACGGCGATAGCATTGATTAATGTCTACGTTGATCTCATATTCTGCAAAAGCGATAACTTTGGACTAAAGACATCGTCTCATCGCGGAAATTTCAAATCCGTCACGGGCAGCTGTTCTTCTCTGTGAGCTCTTTCCCCACTTTGTCACGGTCCTTGGTCGCCATGCTAACCATTGGAATGCCAGAGACCATATTATCGGCCGAATAAAGCCTCGCAGCCCTTCGAAGCCTGAAATGGCTTCTTTTATCGCTACCATGTTGGTTACTGCTCCGATTCCACCTCCCAGTCCCAAACCTTTGCCCGCCATTTTCTCTCTCGTGGAGCGCTCTTCACGGATGACTGTCAATAAGCTAGAGTTTCCGTCTCCTCCGGAGCCCACATACACCTCACCTTATCTTGGGACATTTAAAGAGATTCTCAACTCACAGGATAATGTGTACAGTAATGCGAGAAGCCGCGGACAGGCATTCAAGCCCCGCAATGCCAGCAAAGGAACAAACAGTTACCAGCTGAGACAATTTGCTGAGGCCACCCTCGGAAGCGGCAGTCTGAGGAAGGCTGTGAAGCTGCCAGAAGGAGAAGACCTTAACGAATGGTTGGCAGTTAACGGTAAGTCCCTGGGAGGTATAATCTATGTCGTGAGAAAATCGAGTACTGATGGCTGGGTCGTGGTATAGTGGTCGACTTCTACAACCAGATCAATCTTCTTTATGGCTCTATTACCGAATTCTGTTCGCCGCAGTCATGCCCAGAGATGAAAGCTACTGATGAGTGCGTTGCGGCATAACCATGGAATTGATATCTACCTATTATTATAATACTAAAGGGATGGCAGGTTCGAATATTTGTGGCAAGACTCGGAAAATTTCAAGAGACCGACCAAGATGCCCGCGCCGGAGTACATCGAGCATTTGATGGTTTGGGTGCAGAGTAACATCGACAATGAACAAATGTTTCCCAGCAGAATAGGTATGACATCTTCATGTAACTGTATTAGACAGATATACTGAAATTATGACTTTCTAGGCGTCCCCTTCCCAAAGACCTTCCCATCGCTCATTCGACAGCTCTTCAAGCGTCTGTACCGAGTCTACGCTCATATATACTGCCACCATTACCCAGTGATTGTCCAGCTTGGGCTAGAGCCGCATCTCAACACCAGCTTCAAGCACTACGTTCTCTTCATTGACGAGCATGGACTTGCGACCGGCAAGGACTTTTGGGGTCCTCTAGGTGACTTGGTGGATAGCATGCTGAGAAGCGATTGAGTCAGGGTCCGAACGGGTGAAGAGCACCTATGGTTATACATGAACGTATTTTTACTTTTAGCAAATGTTCGCCAGTATGAAGTTGGGATGGTGAGGCGTTGGGCGCAACATCGCAAATATCCGCGAGGGGGCATTTAACCGCGTGGTTGTTACTGGGAACTGGTTTCTGTCTATTAAAAAGGTTGGCGCTGCAGGACCCCGCCCATTAAAGGGGAAGAGATCGGTACTATCGCGAGACATCAAGGCGTATCATAAACTAATAGAGAGCAATTTAAATCCATCTCGGTCGCAAGTGAGGTGTGAACTCCCCTTGCCTGTTGGTTCTGGTTGAGGAGCTTTTGCTTTGTAGGATGGTGATGCTTACATAATCCACAAAAGCTCGCTCGTCCCGACAAACCACCATCATTCAGGCATCGCCGACCTCTCACCTCCCGAGTACCGAGTCCCCTCGTCATCAATTCAACGCTCCCAAGCCTCCCCACTCTACCTCTTACCATGTTCTCTCTTCGAGCGGCTCTTCAGACCTCGCGGGTGGCCTCCCGCCAGGCTCTCAATGTCCCCAGGGCTGCTGCTGTCCGGACTTATGCCCAGGCCGCTCCAGCTTCGACCAAGCCGCCTGTGGCCTTGTTCGGTCTTGACGGCACCTACGCCAGCGCTCTGGTATGTGATCAATTCGACTCCGGGTGTTTTCTAGGGCAATTGAATGATCCAATTGGGATACCTGTGGCATCCAAACATGTTTCCCCGAGCATACAATTGACGATACGCGACTTTGATATTATAGTACACTGCCGCCGCCAAGCAGTCTTCGCTCGACAACGCCGCCAAGGCTCTGACCCAATTGAGCGACATCTTCAAGAAGGATGCGAAGCTCGCAACCGTCCTTTCCGCCCCCTCGCTCACCGCCGAAGACAAGGCCGCTATCGTCTCTGAGTTGCACAAGCACGTTGGCGCCGACAAGACCGACACCGTCAAGAACTTCCTCACCACCCTTGCGGAGAACAACCGTCTCGGCCTGCTCGAGGGCGTGTGCGACAAGTTCGCTACCCTCATCGGTGCGCACAAGGGCGAGATTGAGCTCGTTGTTACCAGCGCTTCGGTGGGTACTCCCTTGACGATCCCTCCCGTTTCTTGTCCTATCCTGTCCACCAGAGGTGTGGGAAATGCCACAATTACATACGTTCTGGGAAGATTTAAGAGAAAATGACGGGAAAATATACGTTGATACAATGTGCCGCAAGCGGTAATTGTCAATATCGAGATTTATGGATGGATACAAATACCTCAATTGCAGATACGGATCAGACCCAATTGGAAACCGGAACAGAGCACGATTGGCAAGGAAATCTTGATATCGCAAGGATGCGCAAGCTAATTCTCTTCTCTTCATCACAGCCCCTTGACAACAAGACCCTCAACCGCCTCGAGACTGCCATCTCCAAGTCCCAGTACGTTGGCCAGGGCAAGAAGCTCAAGGTTGTCCCTAAGGTATGCGCCCTTTTCCAGTCTCACATACTTTACATACCCGTTCTATTACAACTCCTGCGACCCGTACAACTCATACATTTCTACATTTTCCATACCAATACCATCTCACCAATATATATATACTCCCTTTCTGCACTCTACACTCCTCTCCTACCCGAAGCTCCACCCCATTTTCCCCTTGCCGTACATCCCTGCAACATTATATTCACCACCACTACCACTGCCACTATTCGCTCTCACAGTACTAATGCAACGGTACTTAATAGGTCAACCCCGACATCAAGGGTGGACTGGTCGTCGAGATTGGCGACCGCACCATCGACCTCAGCGTGTCGTCCAAGCTCGCCAAGATGAACAAGCTCCTCACTGACGCTTTGTAAATGACTGGACTCCTATCGTTGTTCATTAGTTAGGGAGCGTGACCTTCCTTTCTTTTCCTCTCTGATCCCCCTGCTTTCTTTTGATCTCTCGCCCCTAGGCCCATCAGTCGGCCATAGAGAGAAACCTGAGAGACCGAGAGACTAAGAGCAGGAAAAGAGGAAAGGAAAAGGAAAGTAGTTGTTGGAAGGGCATTTTTTTCATGTAGAGTGTCATAGCATTTGAAGAACTCGAATTATGACAAATATAACCTTATTGCTGCTTGTAAAAGTCGTATATTATGCTGAATCTGAAGGGGTTGTACGCTATCCCGGATGTGAAGAAGTAAATTACAGTTTTACTATATATATATATATATATAGCCAAGGATTGTGTGCCCCACCAAGGCACAGGCTCGATAGTATTCTACCTGTATTCTACCTGTAAAAGCAACTCTCCTTGTTATTTTTCTACTGTACATGAATGCAGTACTACTATTCAGCATTTTCTCGAGAGTTGACACTACGATCACTATTGCTCCTTTGTCTATGGTTCAATTGAGTTGTTGAAATGCTCACCACATGTGTTATAAATGCTTTGCCAAATACTCAAGTGCCTCAGGTATCACTAGAATTGTGGGACATAATTTGTCTGTCCACTGACATCTCTCGCAATTACGCTACGCAGGCGATTGATGTGGGTTGCAAGGCATAGAGTTTTAGAAAAAGTATGAGGAATATAAAATTAATTGATATGAATATAATACGGACAACGGTATTACGACAAGTGAACTGCTCTAGGTCTATAATAATAATAAGATATAAAAAGCCACTTTACAATTCCTTCGAAAGTGTAATCATTACTTTCATCCCCAACTTCGCTCTCGCTGGGCTACCGACGACAGCTTGACGGTGTGATGATTCATCATTCATCGGCACATCAAATTACTCCCCATCAAGCTGGGCTTCAAATTCATCTTCAAACGCGCTCGATACTTCATTACTTTTGACCCGTTCGAGCTGGTTGGACACATAGTTGGCGACATGCTGGTCCGCTTCAGCACGACGACGAGTCTGCTCTTCGTCTTCTGTGGGCGCAATGGAGTTCGAACGGGAAATGGCAGACGGAGTCTCGTCGCCATTGACGGCGGAGTTCCAGTCGCTTCGGTTGCCAATGGACCGTGAGGTAGACGAACGTCGGATATATGCCGGTTTCCCGCTCGACGGGCGCCGTCTAGATGGCCGGTGGAAGACGTCATCAAAGTAATGGGCTGCAGCGCTCGAGGGCGTGCGAGGAGTCTGAGGAAGACGACAATTGATACTAGAAATTACTTCTCGTCAGTACAAGGTCTCACTTGAGGGAATGATCATATGTCCAAAATTTTGGCAGAAATGAGCGAAGTGGAAGAAGGGGGGAACCACGACGGGCTAAACATACCCAGTGTCATGAATCAGTTTAGCGATGAGACCTGTCCAACCACACTGATGGCTTGCGCCAAGACCGCGTCCAGTGTCGGCGTCAAAGAACTCGTAGAACCAGAGATAGTCCTTCCAATGAGGATCATAATCGAGCATGTCATTTCCGTCGTTGACCGCACGTCGGCCATCGTCACCACGAACAAAGAGATGCTGCAGGCGGTGCTGGATTTCCTCAGCTACATGCCCAAGGTGCATGTACTCGCCAGAACCGGTGGGACACTCAATCTGCAGACTGTCGCCGTAGAACATGTAGAAGCGGAGAAGTGATTCGACGAGCAAAAAGTTGACAGCAATCCAGATGGGGCCTCGCCAGTTGCTGTTTCCGCCAAAGAGGCCGCTGTCTGAGTCGCCGGGCACATAACCAACCTTGAATTCCTGCCCGTTGACCTCCATAGAATAAGGATGGTCTTTGTGGTATTTGGATAGAGACCGAACACCATGGCTCGCAAGAAACTCTGTTTCGTCGAGCATGCGTTTGAGAATCTTCTCAAGACGCTCCTTGCTTACAAGCGACAACAGCAAACGTTCGTCCTTGCCGCGTCGCCGCATGCTGGCAATGTTACGCTCGGCGACATCGTGACGATTCTCAATGAACCAATTGAGCCGTCGCTTGAACGAAGGAAATTTGTTAATGAGTTCCGGTTCAAGCGTCAACACAGCGTACAACGGAATCAATCCGACAAGTGATCTCACGGGGAGCTGCTGTGTCCAGGGGCCGCCCCATGAAATGGCGTCGTAGTAGAAACTGAAGAGAAAAGTTAGCAACAGTCTAATCCAAAAGGGCGACAATGTTTCCTACCCATCTTCATCATTCCATAGCGACTTTTCCTCCCCACCAGCTCTAAAACTCATGGCATCGCTGATGAGGACAAAATGTTCAAAGAACTTGGAAGCGACTAACGCACATTAGCATATATAATCCCAGATCATCGAACCGTGGAGATAAATTTCTTGACTCACTGTCTTCGTAAGTTCGCCGGTGTTTGGCAAGCTCCAGCGCAATATTCAGCATGGAGAGAGAGTAAAAGGCCATCCAGCCAGTACTGTCAGCCTGCTCAAGCACACCTCCAGTAGGCAGAGGCTCCGAACGATTGAAGAGACCAATATTGTCCAAACCCAAAAATCCACCCTCAAACACATTCTTGCCATCAAAATCTTTCCGGTTTACCCACCAGGTGAAGTTCAGCAACAACTTTTGGAATACACGCTCCAAAAAGTCGAGGTCTTCCCGCCCGTACATTTTTCTCTCAATCTTAAACGTCCGGAACACAGCCCAGGCGTGCACTGGCGGGTTGACATCACCAAAATTCCATTCATACGCGGGCAGCTGACCATTTGGGTGCATATACCACTCCCTGGTCAGAACGTCAAGCTGCTTCTTGGCAAACTCCGGGTCAATCATTGCCAAGGGAATGCAGTGGAAAGCAGTGTCCCACGCAGCAAAGAACGGATACTCCCAAGAGTCTGGCATCGAGAGGATGTCGTCCAGATACATGTGTTTCCACTGCTGGTTCCGAATTGCCTTTCGTCCGGGAGGCGGCGGCGGCATAGCCGGGTCACCATTTGCCCATTCATCCCAGACGAAATGATAGTACTGCTTACACCACAGCATACCTGAGAACGCTTGTCGCTGAATGTTCCTCAGATCCTCGGCCATGGGCAAGGGGCTGACGCGGTAGTAAAATTCATCCGCCTCGTTACGCTTCTGTTCGATAATGTCATCAAAGAGCTCCTCGTCCAAGTAGCCGTCATATCGCTTTGAAAGACGGAACCGGACCACGGCGCATTCGCCCGGAGGCACTCCATCATCTTCGTCAAACGCGTACCAGGCAGCACTCTTTGTACCGCGGCAACTCGGATTGACGGCGCCCTTCTCTTCGTCTACAATGTAGCGATGAAACGCATCCTTGACGTAGGGTTGAGGATTCTTGCCGTTGTAGAGCTTCTTAAAATTGGTCTCGTTCTCAGTGAAGATCATCTGCGGCTGCACATCCTGACCGCTGTGACCTATGCCGGGCGAAGGCGAGAGCTGGAAGAATCTATCTCCGAGCTTCGGATGCTTCGTCTGCGCTGTAGTAGGGCCAACCTGTCTAATGGATGGCTTCTTAGCATCCGTGTTGCGGCCCCACGACCACGAATTCCGAAACCAGACGTGTGGAATAATGTGGAGAGGAGCTGGTTCCGGGCCACGATTGTACGCAGTAACACGGAACAAGAGTTCTTCCTCAGAGTCACTTTCTTTGGCAGTCTCAATAAAGATATCCCAATAGCGATCATCATCAAATATGCCCGTGTCAATCAGGCTGTACTCCTTCTCGTCTCTCCCACGCTTTGCATTCTCTTCAACCAACTTTTCATAGGGAAATTTTTTCTGCGGGTACTTGTAGAGAAATTTCATATAGGAGTGCTAAGGTCCAGGTTAGCCAAGGTTACGTGACGCGCTATTGAAGAACAGAGACAGCAGCACATACAGTAGGGGTGTTGTCCAGGTGGAAGTGAGCTTCTTTCACGCTCTCGCCATGATTACCTTCTGGATTGGACAATCCGAAAAGACGCTCTTTGAGAAAATCACTATTGATCCTATCAGCACTATCAATCACCCAAGATACGGGTTTATCTCAGCCTACTCTTTCTCATTCCAGAATGCAAAGGCCACGTTCTGCAGACCGTGGGTATCCGAAACACCTGCAATGCCATCTTCGCCCCAGCGAAAGGCTCGGGAACGAGCATGTTCGTGAGAGAAGTCTGCAGCCCTGGTCAGACGCGTCATTGTTTAACGAACAGAGATCAATTCACTTACGGCTCCAAGCATCTCCATCCTCACTGCACCAGATGTGAGCGCGATTGATTTGTGTAAGAGGGTCATTGCGGTACTTACGAGTAATCCTCTCTGACTGATAAGCAAAAGGTTAGCCTTTGGCACGTTTATAACAGTATTGGAAAGACACGCTGTAGAGGCGGACGAAACATACCTGTCGCCCATTGTCTCTCGGCGACGTAGGGACCCCACTTCTTCCAGTATTTCTTGCGCTCCTTATCCTCCTTGAGACGCTTCTCCTCTTCGCAGAGGTACTCGTGCTGGTCAATTACGACCATAGTGGGGCTTGTGTAGGGGGGAAAGCGTTAGGCAATGGGTGGCAGGGCGCTGACGGGAGATGTTTTGATGGATCTTAACGAGATGGTGAGACCATTAAGTTAGAGTGTTGTGCGAAGTAACAATAGAATATTGAAAAAGAATCGTAGGTAGAGAGCGAGGTGATGTTGGAACGAGAGCGAGGTGAAGGTTCTTGCGGATGAATGTGGGAGGATTGGGAAGGCCAACAATATTATGTCGGGTGGAGGATTATTGGTACGGAAGTGCGACAACGGGCAACGGTTTACTGACGATGACGAGATATTACCATGGGCGACCGCGGCAGTCTAGCTGTCTGGGGTACCACCAAGTCTAGAAAGTTTCTCAGTGACGATACGAAGAGCCACTGAAAGCCTACAGAGTGCAGAGTAGTAGTGGACTTCAACTACCCATGCGCTATAATTAATTTATCTTTTCCCCCTTCGGCCTTGATGTTTTCTTCGTTCTGAGCTACAAACCCCTGACTGGGTGGTGGGGTGCTGGATCTTGACAGCGTTTACTCGGTCCAGGGAGACGCGATATGTGGAGTCGGTAATATTATTATGGGGCCCCGAATACGTAAGGTACCTAGGTAGGTACTTGCTGCAGGAGATTCTCACGAAACTGTCCCTCGACGCTTCATAAGCCACTACGGGAAATCAATTTCTCCAGGACAGACAGCAGTCTTTGCCGAAGACACTGACGATGGTGGCTGCAACAAAATGCTGCAAATTCAAGGAAAATCAGAGGCTCCGCAGGATTAAAAGTGGATCAGGTCCAGTGGTCGTGGCGTGGAGAGATGCGAGATGCGGAGTAATCCAGAGAGACCCGCCCCGCCAGCTCCTTGGCTGGTGATTTTTGGTCTGGGGCAGCGTGGGGTCTTTCAGGTCTAGACTCCGTTATCCCTCCACGGTACTATTTTCTTACTGCCCCGGACAATCTCCCTTTTTCGCGCAACAGCGTCTTCCCACTGCGGTTTGGTGGACGAGAAATGAATCTCTTTGAAACTGAAAAAAGTCTGCTTGACGCGCTGTACCTGTTGATCATGATGCTGGAAGAATGGAAGTACTGATACTTGGTTCATTTATTACCATTGTATGAGCGTACGAGTTTAGGTACCAGCAGAACGATGTATTGGGTCGCCTCAACAGAATCATCTCAACAGGAAATACTCCTTCCCTGTGCCGCTAACCCGCTTTAAGCACCACTCAAAGTCAGATTTGACTGTCTCCTGTCTCAGGTGTCTGGTACAGGCAGAATCTACACATATGACGGGGAAAGCAAAGTCTCCAGTACTCACGCTACTTTTAATCGCTGCTCCTTCTATTTGTGTTGTTTTAAGCAGTCTTGAGTAGGAAGTTCGAGGAAAACCCGCGAGGTGAGTGTAGTCCAGCTCTCTATGCGCATGATGAGAACAGCCAACGATTCCGGGCATTCTCGATTCCTGCGGAGTAAGTTGCTCTGCAATAAGAAAAGCCGCAATGACATTATGTTCATTTGACAGATTCATATTTTTGGCGCGCTGCATTCTGATACCACGTCGCGCCATGCCGCTGACAGGTACAGAAGTCTCTAACAAATGCCTTGCCAGACTACGTCACGCTGAAACTGGAATTTCTAGCAGCGCTGTCGAGCCACGCACTGGTATGCGTTTCGTCAAATCGAAATAAGAGAATTTAGTCCTCATCAAATAGGACCACAGGGTAATAAGGCAGAATGGATCATGCAAGATGCACAGAAAATGATATAGCTTGCTTTCTCAATATGCCGACGGCTTAAAGATGCCTCCTTGATTAGCTGCAGGTCAACCAATGTAGTAGCAGGGAGTGATTTGGCAACAAATGTCTTTTCGCGAGTCCCGGATCCAGGGATCACTGGTCTCTCGCTCGCTTGGGTTCCTGCCGATCGGCCACTTTTGCGTCTAACTCGGCCCGAAGCGAGAGGAACAGAGTGTGTACGGAGTATGAAAGACAAGAGAAGCGAGAGTGCTGCTCATAACTACCTTATCTCATCCCGTCGTCCGAACGGGAGCATTTGTTCGGTCTCTATCAGACTGGTGTTATCAGATGCTTGATGAAAGACGATTGAAGTTCTCTGCACTGCGACGTTTATTCGGCGCAGATCAGTGCTTGCGGAAAGAACTGAGGCTTTTGCAGTATGGCATGGCGACCCAAAGTGACGTAAAATGGGCTGAGCCGGATCGTCTAGGCCAGAAGAGAAAGTGATCTGCATGTTAAGCTTATCAAGTTGCTGCGTCGGAATCTACTGTATGTTACGCTCGGCCGTTCTGGCGTCACTTTTATGGATCGACAGCAGAAGAATACACTTGTTCCCATTTGTCACTGAGTCAGAAGAATACAGTTTTGGATTTTCAAAAAGGCTTTGTTTAAGAACTAGGTAAGTAATGGCCAAATATCCGGGGCATATTGCCATTCGTATCGTTGCGCTCAAGCTTCATTATTCTAAATAAATCTCCGTAGAGAATGGTATAATGCGTGGTGCTCATAAGGTCAAGGGGGAAATCCTGATAATCGTATCGTCGTGAAAACTCCATTATCGACCCCGGAGAAATAGATAGTATTACGCAAGGGGGGAAATCTCAAGCTTTCTTGAAAAGACCCATGATGCTAGAACGGCGTCGGGCTGGTTCCCTCTGCTGCACGGGCGGCGAGACCAGCTTGCCAAGTCTGTCCTTGCCAATGGCCTTGGATGATCTTTTTGACGTACTGTCCGACAAGTTTCCGCCAAAGGATTGGATACGCTCAAATAGATGATGAAGTTTGTGGTGCTCCTCGCATTCGTCGGTCTCGGCCCAGTTAGGGCGGTCGTTAGCGGGAGGGACGTAGTGGGACCTGTGTTGCTTCGGCATCAGCTGCGCCAGATCCAGGTCGCCCATGCTCAATGGTCGCTCATCGATCTGGCGTGAGTGACGAGGCGAGTTGCCTTGCTTCTCCTCTCGGTTGGCTGCATCCTGCAGGATGCGCGTCCGTTGGAATTGATTGCGCTCCGCATTAGAATCCATGTCCGCCTGGACGGCCTCCAGCCGCGCCGACAGCTGCGATGGCGAGAACCCATGCTGGGGCTCTTTCACCGTTGGACGGGAGCGAAATCGATCAATCACTGGTCGCGCCAAGATGTGGACTGATTCATGTGTAACTGGATCTGGCATGGAGGTAGCAGCAAAGTCTGCGGCCGCATATTGCGGAGTGTATCGGAACGGCTGCGACGGTTGCTGAGGCTGCTGCTTGGCAGCATATTTTTCGGCTCGCTCGCTCCGTCGCCGGCGGGCTTCCTCGTCTTGCTTACGGTGCTGCTCGAGTCGCCGACATAGCTCCGCAGGATCAAAAGGTTCGCCTTTCTTCACTCGTCGCCCGGGCCCCGTGTTGTGCAGCGGGTGCGTATGAGAACGATGCGGAAATGCGGACTGTCATCCTGAGTATTAGAGCAAAAGGCTGATATATATGTGCCGAGGTGATCATCGGAGAACGTACAGTAGATGAAGATTGTGCTTGCAGAGTTGCGACAGTCATGGTGGACCGTATAAAGGAGATCCAAATCAAATAGAATATCAAAGGATGTGAGTGAAATCCAAAGACCAAGACACTCGGACGAGCATGTACGTATTCACAGCGTCAAGGCCAAAGGGTGGATGCAGGAAGTGTCAATGTATTTATACAACAAGTGAGGGTGCGTCGAGGATACATTATATCACCAGGTCATTTTCTGCGCTAATAAGGTAGACCGCTTTTTAAGACAAGAATGATTCAAAAGGATCTCAGCCATGTTCGTGACATGCCCGGCCGTCCGGCCCAGGGGAGTTTTGCGGCGCCCGCGGAACGAGGTCCGCATGGGGCGGTAAGGTCAGCCAGGGAGGGACATGCGAAAAGAAGGACGACATCAACAATTATGCTCCACTGAGCTCTTTCATGACGGCAGTCGTGGTGGTCCGCCTAGCATGTTTGCTAGCAGAGATGGGCGGCACAAGTGGCGTTTTGTGTGTTGCATACTGAAATGGTGTCAATGAGACGTTGCTGGGGCGCATGTTAGACTATGATTTAACAATAAATATCAGCAGCAAAGTGCAATAGCCTCGAGGTTGGCGGCGCGCGAACGGAACGATCCAAGCGACAAATGAGCCAGGAACCAAAGGCACTAGGGGGCAAAGGGATGATTTCTCGTTCTAATAATGATGATGGTGGTGGTGGTGGTGGTGATGCTATTACCTGCATCAACCCCCTAAAAGAACACAATGACGAGATTTGTCCCTTTCACTCAGATGCCTACACCTCTGGGCCGGATCAGCGGCGCGGTTGCATCATTTGGCCGCTGATCGCCCGGAGCGGGCTTTTTGGTCGAAAACCCTCAACGAAGGGGCGAGCAAGTGCACTATTCACAGTGCTCTCATAATAAACTAAGAATCACCGGCTTTCAATGCCACAGTATATCTTCTTACCATGACTCTTATCACACCATGAAGTTAGCAGTTTCTTTGGGGTCATTGCACCTACGGAAGCGGTCTCGTGGTCAATATACCAAGCAACGGCTTGTCTGCTTGATGCAGCCTTGGCTATGCTGCTTTAGGGTAGCCGAGGTCATGTGCCCTTCAGCCTTGAAGCGTCAAGAGACCAATCGGTACAATTTCCATATCGTCCCTCTTCCCCCTTTCCCCGCGTTGTCACTTTGCCCTCCCTCTATTTCCAAGCCAGGAACAAGGACATCACGAATCGAGGCGTTTGATAGGCTTCAAGTGGCTTTTAGCGTCTGCTAATGGCCTTGTTATACTCCTTTCCCCACGCACTAGATATGCGTGGGTCCGCGCGAGGTCAAAGAAACTCCATTTATCCTGCCATCGTTATTCTAACAAGAGTAGTGACTCAACATGGCTTGACATGTCGGGGACGGCTGAGTGTCAAGTACGACTATTACATTTTTCAAGAGTAGCTCAGCCATGGAATGGAACGCCTGATTGCAAGTTTTGAAATTCAAGCGGACTGATTCAACTAAGGTAAGGAACCGTGTTCCTCTCCGGCATCAGGAAAGGTGCGGCGTGAAAACGCGGCATTTCAAAGGTTGATATACGAAGAGCCATAGCCGTGGCTTAAATTGGTCATAATAAATCCCCAATATCGTAAATGGGACTTCTGTCCGGGGCGTTCCGTGCCGCTTGTTGACATGTCGTTGGATTCTTCGAGTAGGCTTGGGTACTTCGTACCTTGGAAACCCCGAGTCATAAGAGAAGTACTGTATATAAAAGGCTACATGTGCGAATTATTAGCCACATGCTATGAATTATGAGTACTCCATCATAGAGTACGTTGGAGACAGTAGCTCAAGATGCCTTATCTACCTACGACTCTCAAATCAAAACCACCTGTCAGACTGGCGGGGCCAGAACGCTGTCTCGAGCGTTCCTTCCTCTTGCTGCTGACTTTCGAGAAAAGCTGCTGGTTTGAAGTTAAGTTACGAGCTATAGCATCCATATATGTCCACCCTGATAACAGTAGAAATCTCCCTGTGATCCGCAAAGCATAAGGTCAGTGATAGGCCGATTTTGCTCGTCGCATGAGCACCAATTACAGATCCTACATTTTCATTCTCGTCGATACCATTTCTCTGTCTGCCTCGTTCTTTCAGTGATGCTCATCAAGCCTTGACGTTCTTCCCCGCGTACCACTAAGATGCTTAGGGTCCCACAACTTGCGCTTGGACCATTTCGAGAAAGTCCCCAATCAGAGGGCGGCATGAGAGGTAAGAAAAGAAAAGCAAAAAGGGGGGCCAGAGAGTGCGGAAAAAGCGATTGAAAAGTAAAAAATCATTGAATAGCGGAACAGCGAGAATCCAAACAATCAAAAAGAGCGCCAAAAGCAAATAGTTTTCCCAGCACGCATACTCGTCTCTCCACACCCTCCTGGGCGTCCCACACTACTTTGCGCGACCTATCTCCCCTCCCCACACTTGGTTGCTCGACGACACACCAAGACACTCCCGATCGCATTCAGTCAATTCTACCGCACTCCATCGCAATCAACCAAAATCCTCCACCTACCATGCTTCCCGTCGTTCTGGATTCCCGCGACCTCGCGCGCGTAGATTAAACCTCTTAGCCTCGATCGAGACCATGTCTGACTTTAGAATTACTCTTGGCCCGGGGGAGCAAGGCCATCTCGTATCGTATCCATACAGCTAGCTAGCTGATTGTTCGCATCCATTAATTCAATCCTTGTTCTACCACAATCGTGGCAAAGGGTGACACGCCGGACTTTGCTATATTTACAATTGTTGTATCTATCGGGTACTGCTTCAAGACGAAGGAGCCAATTGGTTCGACGCCGTACCTGCCTTAGAAATTGAGGGCCACACCGTTGAGGGCGTTGTTGACGGATTGTGACAGGCTTCGGGAACGAGCATCCTATCGATCCGATTGACCAATTCCCGCCTCTGGTGACACACCGCGGCGGCGGAGGAGGCGGCGGCACCGAACGGATTGGGGGAAAGCAATATCGATACAGAGGTGTGAAGTGAAGAATCAGAGGAACTTGTCGTTAATAAGACAAGGAAAGCGCTGGCTCTGGAGACGGGTGACAGCGAATATATTCGATCTTGTAAGGACGAAGCGGGGGAAAGGGCAACAAAGAAAGAAAGAAAATTAGAGAGAAGACTCCGGGTGCAGGGCGGGAAGGAGAGAAGGTGCATGTCCTTTGCAATACTATACGTACATACCGTACTGTACAATGTCTCCTCCATTGGCGCCAGCAAGAGGCGCCAGGTCCATGTCGACCTCTGCGTCCATCCAACCAGGTCGTTCCCGAGAACAGCAAGAACGTCTCTATCAACAACCCCCTGAAGGCCCAACGGCTTCTTTCTCTTCTTCTACTTCCTCCCCGCAGTTGCCCGAACTGCCTGAGTTTTCCGACTCAATTGACCCCCTGGCGAGCTCTCCTCGCCCATTGGCTCGCCCCGGATTGGCTGATCGTACACGGTCGGCACCAGCAGTCCATCAACTGAGCTCGCCATCTCTTCATACTGCGTCTGCCGCACCGACTGGCACCGCTCACGGTCATAGCTCCAGTAATTCCGCAACATTTGTACGCGATGCTCCAGTCTCGCGGGGTTCTCACTCTTCACACCCTGCGGGGTTGGCCTCAATACTGAATACACCAATACTATCAATCACATCTGACGACAATAAGATTGTTGAAGAGAGCGTGGGCGCCGAGGAGAACAAAGCCGATGTCATAGTTTCCGGCGTTGATGCTCAAACTATTGATGATAATCCAAGAGACGACATCAAGGTATGTCATTTTTCTATATTGAGCATCTCCAATTGCTTGACATATTTCATACTTTTTGCTCGCCATCGCCGGAGAGATGTATTTTATTTTTATATATCTAGTATAGTCATCAATATGCATCTACTAACCCAACCTTTTGATTGAGTAGGACGGTTTTGCCTCCGACATGCGCGAGGTTCGGATTGCCGTGGTAGGTGAAAGCGGGGTTGGCAAGACGACGTTTGTTCAGCGAGCGCTCGCCCTCAGTCAGCCTCCTCGCTCAACCATTACAAGCAGACGCCTGTCGCTAAATAAGGTTACGCACCAAGTGCGATGTCTGGAAATACGCTTGAACGACGTTGAAATCAGAAATGATCATTCTATCAAATGGCCATTTGAGATTGAGGGCCAAGTATTTCCACGAGTTGATGGTGCTCTGCTGTTGTACGACGTAACAAATGGTCAAAGTGTCGCGGCATTGCCTAATCTTCTGAGTAAGAATTTCATCCTTGCGCTTCGTAAAGCCATAGTGCTCATCCACTTCCCCCTCACCAATAAGAGAGCTGTGCTCCCTGAACGCAGAACTGTCTGATCTGCAATAACACGTATAAAATAGATCTACTGACCACCAATCTTGCCCACAGACGCCCTTACGAAAGCATCAGTGCCATGTATCCTTGTCGCCTGCAAATGTGATAGTCCTCTTGACTCTGTGGAGGTCAATCCTACGGTGCTAGAAAAAGCCGCTTCATCTCTAGGCAATGTCGAGTCCCAGCAAACGTCCGCTGGCGCTCCAGAGAGCCAAAGACGCTGCGTTGGTCTAATTCTGAAAAAGATCCTTGCTCATACCAACGGTAGGTGAAGTTTCGGCCCTTTGCCTTTTCGTGCCTGAGGAAACACGGAGAAATACGATGTCGTCATTTGTAATGACGGAGATCTTTTATTCATTATATTTCCAGATGCCATTTTTGGAATCTAATATAGCTCTGGCTTGCACATTTTACTTGCCCGATTTAGCCTCAAATTTCCGTTGTGCTAACGCAGGTGCTTTTCAGACCACTACAATCCTCCTACACGGCCTTCAAGCAAAAGCACGGCAATGGATTCGCTCAACGATGGTCGATCCTCTTGTGCAGATGTTCCAGGCACGACTCCCGAACCTGATGGCCGTACGGGGTCTAATCTCTCATTGAGTCAGACCATTGCAAGTCGCGATGGCAGCGGTGTCGAGAATCCCGGAAGAGTTCGGTCAGCTTCGGAAAGCTCGCATTTACGAGCACCAATGCACGGGAGACCCAAGCATGGGTCATCGAATTCAGTAGATAGTACAGCACGGACCCATCTCAGCATGGCTGAGGAGACCGATGACAATGATCCGGGCCCCGGGAGCGCCCCATCAGTATACCAAGAAACGTCGACACCAGGTGCTTCTGATGTTGGCTTCTCTTTCGAAGAACTCGTGGATAGATTACTATCTCAACCCATGTCAAAAGCAGACGCCAAATTTGCGGCAGTCTTTCTCTGCCTATATCGTAAGTTCGCAACACCAGGTGAACTCCTCGAATCAGTTATTCAACATTTCGACGCGTTGAACACTTCGGGGATTCCACGCATGCTTCGCATGGCGTCACAATTAAGATACGTCAACGTCATGGCACAATGGATCGAAGGCTATCCAGGGGATTTCGCCCACCCGCGAACCCAGCGCCGTATGAACTTGTTCATCTCGAGGTTGGCCGGGAGCAGAGTCTTCGCAGTAGCTGCCAAAGAAATGGTGGCGCACCTGGAAACTGTAATCGAAGACGATGACACCGACTGGGCATGCTCCGACAGCCTGCGGGAACGAGCGAACACGGAAGAGAGCCTCGCCCCCAGCAAAGCACCGTCTGTACGAAGTTCTTCCACTACGTTGAATGCCCCATATGCAGTTGGCGATGAGCTATGTCGTTGCTTTACCGGAGCAACTTTAGAGGGCGGAAAGTCAGTCCGTGCTTCCAGCAGCTCTTCTGTTCGTTCTGGCTCGTCTCGACTAGCCCCTTCTGGTGTGTTTTCTGATAGTCAGTCCCTGTCGGCGTCAAGTCCGATCGGCGTTGCAAGACGTCAGGCAGCTCTTTTGAGCCCAATCCCCAAAATACCTCTGAGCAAAGTTCAGTGGCACCAGTTTATGGATACGCCGGAAATAGAAATAGCAAGAGAAATAACGCGCATCGACTACATCATGTTCTCGGCGATTCGCCCCAGAGACCTTGTGCGACACGTCAGCATGTCGGCTGAGCAAAAGGAAAAGTGTAGAGGTCTTGAAAATGTCAATAGGATGATTGCTCAGTTCAACCATTTGGCCGGGTGGGTGGCGAGCATGATCTTGTTGCGCGATAAACCAAAGCACCGCGCGAAAGCAATGGAGAGAATGATGGATCTTGCTTGGGTGGGTATTTCAATGAGATTTGCAAAGAATTGGCACCACTAATGCTTGAACAGAAACTTCGTCAATTGAACAACTATAATGGATTGGGGGCGGTGATTGCGGGACTCAATGGAATGGCTGTGTATAGACTTGCTCAGACACGCGAGCTGGTTTCGCCGCAAGCGCAGAAAAATTTTATGCGCTTGGAAATCCTAATGGGCACGCAGAAAAGCCATTTTGCTTATCGTCTTGCATGGGAGAACACGTCTTCAGAGCGTATTCCTTTCCTCCCGCTTCATCGTCGAGACCTTGTCTCTGCAGAGGAGGGAAATCGAACCTTCATCGGCGAACGAAAAGACCGCATCAACTGGAAAAAATTTGAGATTATGGGAGAGGTCATTATTTGCGTCCAGAAGAGTCAGAGCGCTCCATACACCCGTCTCGTTCGGAATGAAGAAGTTCAGCGTCTCGTGCAAGAGGCGAAATTCCCCAAGGATGACAATGTGAGTATCATACCTCTCCCAGAAAAATTGATGACCTTCATTTTAAGGTCTATGTTTTGTTGTTATCTCAAGTTATGAATCAAGCTAATCGATTCGCTCCCACAGGCCTTATATGAAAGAAGTGTCCACGTGGAGCCATCAAATAATTCTGGCTCAAGCCTGGCTGATAAGAAAATTTTCAGCTGGCTTCACCAGCGCTAAGCGGCATCGCCCTTGCCGGCATTCGACATTATCGTATCCTCCTCATCGCCATCTTCAAGTCCGGTTGGCTTTATACCTCTTCATTTTTCACCTCTTGATGCTTTTCTGTTCCCAGCGTAATCATTATATGGCGTATTGATATGGATGACATGATGAAGCGGCATCTTTCTCTTTTCACTTTTTCTTGGTTTCATCTTGATGGTCTTTTTTTTTTTTTTTTTTTTTTATCTTTTGGTTTGGCTTTTCTAATATTTCATATCATTATTCAATTAACTTTTGAACATAATAAATTTTACTTGGAAGGCACTCTATCGATCGATTTTATTGACTCGTACGCAGGTGCTGTATTTTTTTTTTTTGATCCGCTGGGGCCGGCACCACGCCATATGCGTGAAAAGTTCTTTCATTATGTTTGAAATATTGCTTTGATCTCTTATTTCCTCTCGTCTTATCATTCAAAGCAACGACAAATTTCTCAACTTCAGGTTTTTCTTGGGCATGTTCAGCTTAAGGCGAAGATAAAATGGGGGTTAACACTGGTGTTTCGCTCGCGAGAGCTATCACAGTATACATTAAAAGAGCGAATTTGTTCATATTCTTGATAGGAGTTGTAGATGAAATATTTTGTATTAAATAAAATCTCTATGCTGCCAGAACTGGGCATCAAAGAATATCAGTCAAGCAGATTGAGATGTCTGTTATCTGTGGAATTCTCTTCTCGATGGGTATAGAGCACCAATGACCTGCTATACTAATGGAATGAATAATGATCAGGCTAAAGTAGAGCGGCCATCGGATCCGTCAAATAGAGCCTGCTTCCGTCTCCTCTCCGTCAGAAGTTTTGTTCTATGTGGAGAAAAGCTTGGTGCTCTTGACAGGTATAATTCATCCTCAATCGACAGTCCTGGCGTCCGTGGGTCGTGGAGAGCAAAATCGGCGTGATTGTGAGAGCTAAGTAGCCAACTTTCTTATGCCATGTGAATTTCTGATTTACATCGACAGTCGTAGACAGTATCGATGTGATCTTTGTCTTGCCCAGTGTAAGGCATGATTTTGCACGCTTATCGTCAGCCGGCATCACTGCGAGGCGGTGGACACAACTTGAGCACTAACTCCGCGAAAGCGAGCAAGCCCGCTTCGCGCTCTCCTCCGGCCACCTTTGCTCGACGATATGAATACAATCCATCTTTTATGCCCTTTTCCGGTGTCCACGGCCTGTCTCTGCCGCCATCCCGTCCTCCTCGACCACCACGACCGCGGCCTCGACCGCGGAAGCCACGGCCACGGCTCGACTCATGTCTAGGTAGAAAACTAGATGCTGCAGCAGTCTCTAGTGTGCATTCATAAATTTCATGAAGTTGTTTCTGCAGGTTTGGGTAAGCCTTGAGCAGTTGTGCCAGCTCCTCCGATGCCGGTAGTGCAGCGAATCCTTCAACGGTAGCCTGGGGAGGTTTTGTCTCGGGCGTATCTACGATCGGAGAAGGAACATTCGTACTGGCAGCTTCAAATCCTGCGGAGGACAGCTGAGCGAAAGGAGCCGCTTGAACATCTCCGCCGGAGCTTACTTCGTGGGCTGTTTTGTGCTTTTTGTAACATGCAATTGAGCAGCTGTGCCGAGAATAACAAGTTATTTATCAGTAATTTTGAATCGAAATCGATTTGGCCTTTTGGAGCTTCCTTACTATTGCAGTCTACATGTCGGACATTTATACTTTGAAACCTCCTGATTGCAAACCTCACATAGTGTCATGGTTTCCTGACAGCAGATTTATCACACAGAATCTTCACCGTCCTAAACGCCAATAATTAAAAAGTGTTTTCGTTCCTCGCCCAAGCAGATCAATCAAATTTCCTAAAGAAGGATAAGCCAATCACGTGTCGCTGATTAAACATGTTCGGAGATCGGCTTCAATAACGTCATGGGCAGTTTTCTCAATGACTATTGATATTGAAACTTCAACAACAATTGATTGCTATATCGTCAAACGGGCTCCTTACTGAGCTTATATTCATCCAGCATGGTTGCAAATGCGGTCTCCCGATCCGCCACGCGGTTCATTTCAGAGCTGCGCACCGCAACTAGAGCGGCATCCAACGCCCGACTTGCCACTCCCGCTGTGAGGCAATTCCACCAACTATCACAACGCACAGGCGCCTTCTCAACGGGCTCTCGAACCCGGCCTCTTGCTTCGAGATCATCTGCTCCCAATTTTAACCCAGCTGGTCTGGGCGGCCGCCGAACTATCTTCATTCAGACTGAACCCACTCCCAATCCTGATGTAAGCTGTTCATCCCTATGAAACACTGCGTCTCGCCATGAGTACAATTAAAGAAGGATTAATGCATTAACATATGAGCAGGCACTGAAATTTCTTCCTAACCACCGCGTCCTTCCTGAAGGTGTATCTACTCCTTTCCTTGAATATCTTTCCCCTCGCTCGACGCTTTCTCCGCCTTATCCTTCTCCACTTGCCGCTAGTCTCCTAAATGTGGAAGGCGTTACATCAATCTTCTATGGCTTAGATTTTATTACTGTGACAAAAAGCCCAGACGCCAATTGGGCACATGTCAAACCGGAAGTTTTCAGCCTTATCACCGAGGCGGTTACGAAAGGGGAAGAGATTGTCACGGTTGTCGAGGGCAGCGCCACAGAGAGCGGCCAGGAAGGGCTTGAAGCTGACTCACTTGGTTATAATGAAGAGGACAGTGAGGTAGTCGGCATGATCAAGGAGCTACTAGAGACGCGCATTCGGCCAGCAATCCAGGAAGATGGTGGTGACATTGAATTCAGAGGCTTTGAAAATGGGACGGTATTGCTGAAGCTCCGGGGTGCCTGCAGAACATGCGATTCAAGCACTGTCACTTTGAAGAATGGCATTGAGAGCATGTTGATGCATTATGTGAGTCGCTCATCATATTTCCGTTTGGCGCATTTACCTTGCTGACGCAGTTGTAATATAGATTGAAGAGGTTCAGGCCGTCCATCAGGTCCTTGATCAAGAGGAAGAGATTGCCATGCAGGAATTTGCCAAATTTGAGGAAAAGCTCCGACAACAGAAGGGTGATGATGCTGTTGGCACTACGGTTGGCAAGGGCAGTCTGGACACTGTTGCATAAAGCTACACCGATCTTACCTTCCTTCTATTCCTCTAAATTTCTCTGATGAGCACTCGCGTGTGTATATAGCATAGAGGTGAATGACATCTCAATGACTCGTTATACTTATCTTAGTGAAGCTCGTGAGTTTCCAAATCCCGAAGCCAGGGCATGCCTGATTACATTTACTGGCACATCCGACGAAATTGAGACCCAGGGACCTGAAGCAAAAATCAAGCTATGGCTTTTAAGCTCTCTGTAATTAGGCGACAAACGCGCATAGCCGACTGTTAAACTCAATCTTGCCTTTAAGCCTTAAGCCTAAACTTGATCAAGTTGACAAAGCGACCAGCTGGGGGAGTGCTAAGTTCCTAACTCAGAGCATCCAGTCATCATGTGCGATACAAATGGAAGCATCTGAGGTTGTCTCACGATGGATTGTCCCAGCTAGGTTTGCCCATCTGAAATGCGAAGAGATAGTTTGTATTGTGCACAGCTAATTTTCACGTGCCATTCAATTCTCATTCTGCTATCTGCCTAATCTTTCAGCACATGCAACACGAGAGTCGCCAGCTTTGCTTGATGATTGATTGATTGCAGCATTCTACGAGCCATGGCCATTTCGTCATAATGACTACGAATATCGAGCGAATTATTGGTTCAAAATAGAAGGGGTTCAAAGCGATGATATAACGGCAAGGATCCAGCAGCAGAGAAGGCAAAGACGAGCATGGGCAATCCATGCACATGTTGTAGGGTACACACGTCAATCATGCACGTTCAGAACAGGGAGTTCATCTCGTACTGCTACACTTCTGTGTTTCTGGGGAATTGCTGTTCATGTCCCTCTGCTATGTTGTGTACTTCCTTACCCCGCAGAATTAAAGTGTGTCCCGTTACCGCTTCCTAATTAAGCTCCGCGCGTGGCAAGTCGTCCAGTCATCTGAGCAGTTCTCTAAGCGGAAGCTTATTCTATGAGTTGATAAACCAACTCCATTCTCTTGTCTATAGCATTGGAACAGGCCGAGCTCTTGGGTCAAGATTTAGGCGAAGAATGTTTGCTCTTCTTTTGGAGACATCAAATCTCAGTAACACGACGGGTGAGCATGCGCCGCCGTGTTCAACGATTTTGCATATTTAGTCTCGGCACGTCGAGCATAACGTTTTCTTTACGGGCATATTAGTTTTTGTTTAGAAGATATACCTTTAGGTCATCACTCGGTGTGGTGCTACAAGCTGAACGAGCATTAAGCTATAACATGATATTGCCGTCAAGCAAGGGTTCGAATTTTTGGTGGAGCGTATTTTGTTGTAGAAATAGCTTCAGCCCGTTCTCCCAAGCATTTACACTTTGCACTTCTTGCAATCTCCTGACGGCCCTTTTATGACCCGCAGAACTACTAATGAAGGGCTCTTGATTTGACGGCGTGGCATTAGTCGCGGGTATCCTTGTAATTTGGGTTTAGACATCGCTAGAATGGTCAGGCGGTTCAGTCTCGCAACTATCCAATGATCCTCCAAGCATCGAATAACCTTCCTCGTTTGCTACACTATCAAGGGCCTCTTCAAGCCCAGGCCTTGATTGGATTCGGCTTAACATCCGTACCTGAGTACTCAACATCCGTGCGGAAACCCAATTTTGGCAGGAGTCGCGAGTATCTCGATTTGCACAACAGGGTTCGAAGCAACATTTAGAGACATACAGTTGATAGGAATAATTTATGCATAATGATCCTCGACTCGGTATCTGGTTCTCATTTTAGAGCTACAGGTATTCTGCTAGAAGCTTCGTCTTTTTTTTCTACGAGTTTCTTTGTACCACAGAGCTCATGTCAGAAGGTAGCTCATGTCATATCTCAAGTTTGAAGGGAGGAAACCATTTTTGCGGACAAGCACAGTATAATTGTGCTGCGCAAACGCCGAAGCAACTTTCATCTCAAATAATTGGAAGATTGATTCCACATCAAATAACAGACCGAATACAGCGAGGTGCAGAATTATTGGCACTTTTGGTTGCATCGCTGGCGTGTCTACGGAGTATTGTCGGTCAACCTCGTACACCAACCCAAGTCCACGGCTAGGGTACGACATGCTAAAATGCATGACATTTTTCTTTGCGTGGCCCAAGCAGGCAGCCAATGGCTTTTTAGAGTCAACGGTTCCATCCACCGCATTACAGAAATATATGTCGCTCCAACTGAATTTATATATTGCACGTTTTATACACGGCTATGACCTATATGCGCCACAAATGGCAGAGCGAGTACAGCAAAGTACGGCTGAATAGTACAATCAACGCCTTCACTTCCAGTCCTCAGCATTGCTTGGAGAATGACGTATGCTACAGCTTCGAAACAGGAAAATGTTCATGCTCAAGGCTCAAGCCACCCTGCTTTTGATGCAGAGTTGCAGCATCCATCATCAAGTCACAGCAGAAATGAGCACACAACACCAGTTGATGCACTCCGGATGATCAGATCCGTAAATCTCCAGCTTTAACCTTGATAAGGTGATTTTTACTTGCTATATCTGCTTCTGCTGGTGGACGAACAAATGATGCCGATGCGCACTGAAAATACAGGTGGGTGAGGTTGAATTGCCAAAAGTCCTAGGTGGGTTCTCTCCCACACACGAAGACAAGAACAGTAATCACCTCAGACGGAGTTCCGCCCCACCGCCCCTAGCTCGCCATCCACTATTGCTCCCCACAATGGAGAGAGCACCAAACGGAAAGGTTGCCCCGCTCGCTAAGACTCCCCGAAGTGGCTCTGGTCAAGCTGCCTACGGAGTAAACGGTTGAACGGCCGACTCCCTTGCACATTATGACGCGCTGCCCGCTCTCGGCGGTTCCAGTAATACTTCCGATGCATGCCTTCTTCACCCGCTCCCTCAATAATATCCTCCGTCACAAGAATAGTAATTGCACAGTTTTACGCCGCAGTCGACGGTCAAGCTGCGAATTGAGAGGAAATCAACTTTCAATACGCCTGCTAATTTTCCATCTCTCCCCCGCCACACCTCCTTCGCTTCCTGAGCTCGTCTCCTTTTGTTTATTTGCGCGCTTCGTATGCCTCCCTTTACACACGCAGAGACACCCCTCTCTAGGCCCCACTTCACAGAGGTACGGGCTTGGGACTATTCATTTGCTCGTTCATCTCTGCTGAATTTTTGGTCCCGAATTTTGGAGTGGTCCACCCTCTTGGCGTTCGGGAAGCGCAAAGCGCACATCCGACTCGCCACGAAGCCAAGCAAAATGTCTACACTGGCACCTGGCCCCGGACTACTTGGGCCTGACTTGACCTCACAGTGCGTTGGCGATAGCTCTCAAGTGGGAAGGGGACCCTTGGAGGATGGTGTCGAGACCTTCATGATTTGGGAGAGAGGATCTGCAAGTGGACCCTTCTAGAGGTCTAAAGAGGGTCAAACCTTGGGCCGTTGGTACGCATAGCGCGATCTCTGGCCTCGATGCCTAAACAGGCAACGCAACAGTGTCCCCGTGTTCCTTGATCCCGCCACTTGGAAAGGCCTTTCACTTTGTAGTCTTCACAGCAACTGGAGACTTGCCCAGCGAAAAATCAGTGAAAAGATTTCGCATGCCCCATATCGTAGACCCCACCAGAAATTTTTGGGGGTTCTAGTCGGCAGGGGCACCGCCGCCGCGCAGCATAACTACACACCCACCTACGCATCCATCATGCCTGGTGACCCTTTTCGCTAACTCTCTTAGGCACGGTTCGGCCGGTACGAGAGCGGGTTACTGCTTTGCATAGCGACCATTCTTGCTCCTTCGGATCTGCTCCAGTTAACTACTGACTGCTGGTGCTGTTCATGCGCCCGCTGGTGCTGTTTTTGGCCGGTGTCTGGCCCTTGGTTCTGGTGTGTCGTAGCTCTTTTTCTCCGGTGCTGCTTTGGTACTGTTGGCAGCTGGCTCGAGTCCCAATCGCGTGGTGTTTCCTTCCCCCCCCCGCATTCTCCGCTTTCCCCAGAAATTCAATTTCGAGCCCACGAGGTCCACACACACCCGCCACTCTCTCACCTTCGCCATCCCTCGTCCTTGTCCTGGCAACTTTTTAAACCCTCACACTTCTGCGCTCGCGCTCGCGACTTCTACGCTCCTTCACTTCTTTTTTTGCGTATCCTCACCCTCTCCTCACTCCATTGCTCTCCACACTTTCTACTTTTCTCACGTAAATAGACTTCAAGGCGTGAGATTACGGGAGTATAATTTCGGTGTTCCTTTTAGATTTTCCTCGACGCGATTCGCTCTGCGCATTACGTGTAAGGGGCTTCCTAATCGTCATCTCGCCTTTCCGCCTGCTGACCGACCGCAAGCAACGTTCTTGCCTCCAGCTTTGTTCACAAAAATAAAGGGGATAAAACGCGGGCCAAAAAAAAAGTGTCATATTTATTAGGGTACGCTTGTATAATACGACGTTTAGACTTTATTTCTGAAGCGGTGTGGTGAGCGTGTTCGTTGTCTGATTTTGCTTGCCGTTACTGGCCTTTTTTCGGCTGACGTGGAATGCAACCTCCAGTTGTGTCTTTCTGGTGCAGTATTTGGACGCACAATTTATCTTGTTGGCCTGTTTCAACGGAAATCAAACCGGGTTTGAGGTTGTAAACTTTCTATTGAAGGTGAGCAGCTTCACTTTGTTTCCACGCCGATTCGTTTTGAAGAACCACGAGACTACGCGTGCCTCCAGTGTGGTAGCCTATTTCGGACAATTGGGGATTCCTCAATAGACTTCTTCGCGGGGCACAATTCAGAGGTGGCTCAATTGTATCCATTGAACACCGTCCCTTATTCTTAGACCTCTATTGATCTCCGCTGTATTCCTCGGCCCCCGCTTCTGGTCCCCCTTCAGCTTTATCATCATCGTTCAACTTCCCAAATTGTTCTTCTCGCCAGGTTCAAATCTGCAAGATGGGGCAATTTTACTAACAGAGATACCTCTGAACAGAGATTAAAGCCCCACATCATTTTACGTTGAATTATTATTCATTGCTTCGTCGCTGGACGTCATTTGGCTGGAGTTCAGGATCCCTGACCTTCAGGAGCTTATAGACATTGGTCCGGGAAATCCTAGGCTCTCACCACGTTTCCCGTACATAATTTACGCCTAGCAGTCTTTTGGTGTCATCGAAGGACGTTATCACATTTGTCGATAGCTCATCTATTCTACTGAAAAGGTTTCCTTGGTTTGTCTCAGAGCACGGTAAGTTGCTGCTTCGGTGACTGTCTGGTATACGATCGAACCACTAAATCGACTTTCATGAGCTAGGTCGGATTCGCAACCTCGATCATCGTCTGCATCCTGCGGGGCATTTGAGACAATAGACATTTCCCGACAAGAGTCGGTTTGTACTATTTACAGACGTCCGCTCTTACCAATATTATTATGTGCTAGCGCGGGGGGTTTTTTTCTTTTTTTTTTGACCTCATTGCTGCTCAATCTCAGCCCTATTCGTTTCAAGGAGCGTGACATACCCGCTAGCTTGAAGCCTGCCAACGTCTCAGTTGTGAAGTCAGCTGGCTGCTCCACCCATCTCTTCATCTACAACCGACCTCAACACTTTGCACAATTGAATTGTAGTCTCAGCTAGGTAAATCCAAGCGTGGTTCTTTCCAGGCATACAAAAACTAACAAATCTCTAGGAAATATCTATAACTTTCTATCGTTGCTCTACTTTCAGCCGTCTCGTTCTTTCCGAGCTTCTCGGTTTCTCTACTGTGGATGCCACTCATCATGGCCTCTTCAGCTGGCACGTCCGCGCATATGGACAAGTCTATTACTTCGACCTCGAGTGCGATGAATGGTGGCGGTAGCTCATCGCTATTGGAAAAAGCTAAGACCGGTCATCGACGCTCAACGCCGGATTCTGAGGCTTTGGCTTCGTCTGAAGACGAGCAGGATAACTCGTTGAGACTCCGGCGATTCTCTACTACAGCTGCTGCGAAACCTCCGAGGCGTGCTTCGTGGCTCAACGACGTTCAACCAATTTCACAACGCAAATCGTCGTTAGTCTCAACCTCATCATTCGTACCGAGCAGCCCTCAATCAAATGCATCTGCTGGGGATGCCTCGTTGTGGGGTGCCGGCATCAACGCAGCTCCGACTTCCACTCTTGGCCGTGCTGCACGGAACTCTACCTCATTTTCTTGGGGAAGTAACATCTGGAATGATGCACGGAAAGAGCCCCCCTCGCGGTTGACTGAGGTCCTTCCAATCTCAAACTCGCCTTCAACCTTGCACGAGGAATCCAATACTGGAACCCTTCCCCGAGCTCCGGAGGAGTCCATCCCATTTGCTATCCCCTTGCACCCCACTCCCAAAACTTACCGTTCCCAGTCATACTCCGTGGGGCAAATGGACCCAGAATCTCCAAGCTCTACAATCCCTGGAACGTTCTTTCCAGGTAATCGACCAAGGCCTTTTCAGCCTCCTGGTCTCCAACATCGCTCTTCTCGTCCGAGTGTTCTGGGTGACGCCCCCCATGATGGATCATCTCTCGGACGGCTTCGTGAGGTAGACGATGACTACGAGAGTACTAACGGCTCTGAAGAGGGCGTTCAATTGTCTGCTCAGCATGCTCGTTCCATTGCATATGAGAATGAGCAGTTGGCGATCCAGAATGCTCTGCTTCGGCAGCAGGTAGCTGCAACTCAGTCTGGACGAGCTCATCCCAGAGAGCGCAGTCTCTCCGGTGTCAGTGCGATGAACGGCCTATCTCCTAACGGATCAAAGTCCAGAAATGCGTTTGGACTTCCAGAAGACCTCAAAGAAGAGGCTGATTTCGCTGTTGATGAAGCTGATGATGTGCGTACTCATGATAACAAAGGCCATGCAGGCAGACGATTCAGTGAATTCTCGGCAGCTCCAGAAGCTCGTTTCCCGACTTATCGGATGCCGGAAAACCGCCAGCTCGAGAATCTCAAAAAGACGCATTGGCAAAGTTCACTTGACTTTGGAGGCCTCCCGGACATTCCCCAAAGTCGCCGACACTCTTTTGCTGAAGTTCCCAGCCGGCACAGCTTGGTCAACCAGCCTACAGACCAGCTTGGAAACGATCTTGGGTTAGCTTTGGCGGACAAACTAGAAGCATCCAGCCGCACCGGCAGCGGCACTGGTCAGCAGGGTCATGCCGAGATTGGTGAGTATAATTACTTTCGTCTGCGCAAAGATTTCGCAGAAGAAGCTCTAGAGCATGAACATTTACAAATTCGCAATTATGCAGCATCCTACTTTTCCGGACTGCTTCCCACGACCACGAACGGTGGGACTGCCTTTCCCGAGAGCTACGCTCAGGCTCATACTGGTTCACGGAACCTATACGGACTCCCTCAGCATCTTGCCCTTTCTCAACCTCATCAGAACCAGTTACTCTATGTCGTCACATTCAAGTGCTGCCGCGCCGACATTTTTTACATTCAGGAGGGAACTGGTTTACAGGTCAAGCCTGGAGACTTGGTGATTGTCGAGGCAGACCGCGGCACCGATCTTGGAACCGTTGCCCATGACAATGTGACTTGGGCGAAAGCCAAGGAATACAAAGAATACTATGCTGAGGAGCATTACAAGTGGCTGATGATGTTCTCCCGTCAGGGACAGACAGCAAGCGCGGCTGGTGCGCTTCCTGGGAGCGGTGGCTCTCATGGAAGTGCTATTGGCGGCATGGGTCCTCCGCCCCATGGGCATCATACAATGCCAGATACGATAACCAGTGAGATTAAGCCAAAGATGATTAAAAGGCTGGCCCAAAACCATGAGATTCAGACTTTACGAGACAAAGAAGGAAATGAAGCCAAGGCAAAGCGCGTTTGCCAACAAAAAGTGGTCGAGCATCGTTTGAACATGGAGATTCTCGATGCTGAGTTCCAAATGTGTGTTGCCTACGAAGAAGAAGTCTAATTCTATTAGTGGCTTGGCTAACAATCGAGTCAATAGGGATTGGAAAAAACTGACATTTTACTACTTTGCGGATTCTTATATTAATTTTAACTCGCTGGTAACCGATCTTTTCAAAGTCTACAAGACTCGAATCTGGATGTCGGCGATCAATCCTGCGTCGTTTGCAACTCCCAGCGCTGGCCTGCAGCCACCCAATGGAATTGGCCCCGGTGCCCTGGCTAGTTCTAGGGACCAGTCTCTTGATGGCCGCGGCCAGAGAGATCAGTCGGGTTACACCACTCTGTTGGGGTCTTATCGAAACTATTTCACTCCGTCCAGTGAGCCTGGCAAAAACGGAAATCAGTCTCAGGCCACGGCTTTCCAGAACCTTTATAGCACACCTAGCCAAGTGTCGGGAGCTGCTGGGCGCAGCGCTGGTTCAAGCTTACAAGATTACCAGAGCCCACAGCACACGCTTGCTCCGTCTGCTTCTTTTGGGCCTATTGGATACGGCGGATTTGGTGCGAACCAATCCGACATCCCGGCCAATGGCGCTCAGTTTAGAAAAGGATTGCCCCTTGGCAATGAATGGGTCACTGGGTTCCAAGGACTCTCTCTCGACTCTCATTAGGTGTCCGCTGCATCTTGAACAGCCTTCGGTATTTCTAATGTCGCTCGCTGAACTCTTTCACCTGTTCCTGCACTAAGTTGTCTCGGACTTATGACTCCTCTTTTTACGTTGGAAACTGATCATACTGCCTCTTTCAACGTTTTGAATGCCGATCTAATCCACTCACGAAGATCCAAGGATATTTTGCGGGGTATTCCGATAAACAGGAAACCCAGATTATGATTCATTTCGACTTAGATACCCACTCTACTGTCGTTATCAAGTATTCTGTTTTTTTATGCGAGGAAGATGCCATGTTATGCGATTTATAACCGTTAGAGATACACCGCATGATTGACTTGATCGGCAAACGAATTTGCAACAATTTCTCTTTTCTACACTGTTCTCGATCAATTCAGTCATAGATGTCTCTAGCTTTTTCGGTATCATTTCGATTGCGTCTGAAGCTCGAAGTTTCTTATGACTGCACGCCTACGAATTTTCTTTACCTCTTTCTTTTATATTTTTGTGCGCCGTGGATGGTTATTCACTTTTTTTTAATGATCTCATGTCTCGTTCTATTTACTATTTATGTTACTACTTAGTGGGTGCTCAGTGTTTTGGGGGATGTTTCTATATTTATGCGTCGACGAAAATTTGCACACCGGAAACGCTGGGCACTTTTGGCTCCAGGCATTGGACCTGGTAATTCATTTCTTCTTTATTTGCTTACATCATAGACAACTATCTAGGCAACCACCTCTAGGCAATTGAGTTGTTGTTGAGGGCCCTATATGGCACTTAGCGCTTGGGTATTTGTCCATGCTTTTAGTTTCATGTTTCCTTTTCCAAATATGCCTCAGCAGCGCTCTTTCAAATTCTTTGGCATGCGGGAGTTTGGGATTGCTGTCTTGATTCTCAGCTAGAAAAATAAAATAGATCATGAGATCGCAAAAGAACTCGTTCTTTTAGAAAGCAATTAGTGCTCAGGATGATTATGAATTATATCATTTTGCTGGTCTGGCTACTGAGTTTGTATGCTTTTTGTGCGGGATTTTGCATGCGGAAGAATGTGTGAATTGTTCATATTTCAATTTGTTGCATAAATCTCGACATTTTTATAACGACCTCGTCTAAGCCATAATAATTTGCGAGGACTCGAAAATCGTCAGCAGCTAGGTAGCTATCGTAGAATAGAACATTTGATAACTTATTTCTGTTTTGCTGAATTGATAGCCATACCAGTTACCAACTCCATGTACGAAAGTACAATAGACGTTCGCGTACTCCAACTCCGAGTAAGCAACAATAGCAGGGGAAATGCTAGAGGTCCCTGATCTACCTCACACGCGAGCCTGACAATGGCGGGGAAAGCCATGCTCGTTTCTGGACGGGTATCAGTAGGAAACCCTAACTTGAAAGTGCCGGCATTTGTGTTGTGAATGACTAAGCACAGCAAAGTACCGGGGTACCGCAACCACTCGAAAATTTCACCAAAAAAAAATAGGGCATACCCTGGACTTTTGCAGCGGGACGCTAAGCGAAGCCCACGACTCCATTGAGTATCCGAAAAGTGAACATTCGACGACCATCACGACAACCACCGACCACCACGAGCACCGCCAACCGCAAAGGTACGATGACTTCCCGATCGACTTTGAAATTGGATATTGTCATTCTCGGGCTTGACTTCGACAAGCGATGAGAAGCTATGTGAAAAAGGGTTCGCTGACAGGCATTTGGATTTGAACAGATGGGTGCCCTTAAATACGTCGAGGAGATCCACAAGAAGAAGCAGTCTGATGTGCTGCGCTTCCTTCTTCGTGTGCGCTGCTGGGAGGTAAGAGCTCCAGAATCCTAAGAATCCGTCGAGACAATCCCTCCGAGGGGAGTACACAGAAACGTTCGCAGTCATCAACGTCGAAAGCCCAAGACCGTTCACGATGAAAACCCCTGCTTTGATCATTCGGATCCGACAATTCTTTCTCTCGACAGCTCGTCATTCCGTGACTTGCTTTCCATTGGGAGAATTAACCGGATAATGAAGAAAGATTTAAAGAGGGCTGCTTGATCGTCGATGTGGCATCCCCAATTTTTTTTTGAAGGGATTGTCTTGCTATACACTCGTTGAACTTTAGCTGAGAGTGCATCAATATAGCTCCGTCAGTTGAACGTGATCCACCGCGCCTCCCGGCCTTCGCGCCCCGACAAGGCCCGCCGCCTCGGATACAAGGCCAAGCAGGGCTATGTCATCTACCGCATCCGTGTCCGCCGTGGTGGTCGCAAGCGGCCCGTTCCCAAGGGTGCCACCTATGGCAAGCCCACCAACATGGGTGTCAACCAGCTCAAGTACCAGCGCTCTCTCCGCGCTACTGCCGAGGAGCGTGTCGGCCGCAAGTGCGCCAACTTGCGTGTCCTGAACTCCTACTGGATCAACCAGGACTCCACCTACAAGTACTTTGAGGTCATCCTCGTCGACCCCCAGCACAAGGCCATCCGCCGCGACGCCCGCATCAACTGGATCGCCAAGCCCGTCCACAAGGTTCGTTTTATCTTTTCTGCCATCTTTGTTTTTGTACGAATCATGATGAATGCTAACAAATTCCTCTAACAGCACCGCGAGGCCCGTGGTCTCACCGCTACTGGCAAGAAGTCGCGTGGTATCAACAAGGGTCACCTGTACAACAACACCTCTGGCGGCCGCAGAAAGACCTGGAAGAGACAGAACACCCTTTCTCTCTGGAGATACCGGTAAACGGTTCGATAACCGTTTCCTCGGTAGAGGGAAAGACACTATCCATTCCCACCAGGGATGGCTTAGCAGTCTTTATGCGTTTTTGTCTTTACTTCTTGTGGCGGGTGTACTCATCATCAATCAACTTCTCATGGAGCCTTTTCTTTTCTTTTTCCACGAATCAATATCATCATTTGTCTACTGGCAGCGGTCTTTGTTTTCTTATTGCGCGAAGAACAGGGAAAGGCCGCAAAGTCCTTTATCCCTACTTGGAACAAGAAAATCATTATCAAGTAAAACGTTTTTCTTTGTCCCATTTGCCGCTGCGGGCATTTGACTTTAATTAATCCTTTGCCAATTGAGAGAGAGAGAAGAGAAACAAAAAAGGGTTGCATTGAGAATGAACCATTGAATGAATTGAGAATCAATCTCTCCACAAACATCCATTGCTACTTTGTTTTTTTTTAAACTCTTCTCATGATGGTCCTTGTTGATGAAACGTTCCCCAAACGACGCTGCCCAATGATTTGATAACTTCCTTGTTGCCCTCTGCGAATGGCCTGCCCTACAGTAGTGTCCTTGCCGCGCCCATTTATCGTATAGTATCTAGCCACAGTCCAGTGAAATGACAATCAGATCACACACATCAGCCACACATGTTTTACATATACACTTATGTCAATCCACTGTTGTAATAGAACCAAAGAGAAAAACCCCACCCTCCTCTTCCCCCATCCCCGCGCCGGTTGGCAAAAAGAAAGTAGACAAAAAAGGATAAATTACAGAAGTGAGAAATGGATGAAAATTGGGCCTTTTTTTTTTTTTTTTTTTTTCTTTCCCTGTCAATGATATCCGATCTAAAAAGCAAAATGGGGAGAAATATATGGGTGTGGAGATGGAGAAAAAAATAACAAGAAAAAGGAAACTGGGCAAAAATATGGAAAGGATAAAAAAAAAACTTCCATTCTATGATAATTCCTCTTTGATAGAATCTCTCACCAACTGGGCAATGCACAGGGTATAAAGAAAGAAAGAAAGAAAGAAAGAGCAATATCCGACCATGTTCCATGGACAATATAAACCATGTTCGGATTATCAGATGATGACACACATACACAGACACAGCGAGAGAGAGAGAGAGAGAGAGAGAGAGACAGGGAGAGAGAAAGGAGGGGGAAGACGAGGAGAATGTAAGGAGAGAAAAGACAGGTAATTTTCTATAAGAAAGGAATAGGGACAAGGAATGATATACCAATATAAATGATATGCACCCCCCAACGTGAGAGCGGCTCTGGCGACTAATTCTGATGAAAATAAGAAGAAGAAGAAGAATAATAATAATGATGATGATATATGACGCCCCTGGAAATGATCTCCCGGAACACCTTCCAAAAAGTTTCCCTTCTACTGCACCCATGTAGACATGTACGAATATAAGAGACGATCCTCGAAGAATGAAAGAAATGGCCTACAGGGAAGGAGAGCGTGAAAGACGAAATTTTCGAACCTAAAATTTGAAGGTGGTTCCAATGCCCAAAGAATTGCAATCTATAGGGGAATCGATAAAGCCGAGTATGCGTACAAGAAGAGAAGAAAAGGAAGAAGCAAAAAAGAGAGAGCCGCCAGATCAAGAGATATACTCATTTTAAGCCAAAGCCCTCACTTTCCATGACAGCGCGCCAGAGCTTGCTTTCAAGCTTTTCTCGAGTGGCATACCTGAACAAACAAAGCGAGTTGAAGCAAGTGCGAGCAATCGGGAAGCGATCGCAGTCATCGCCGAGGCACACAAGCTTGATAACGAGGTTTGTCGCACCCATAGCGGGAATACGGTCACTTCCGGTGACGAAGCTCAATAATTTCCGCTGGTCTTTCGGATTAGCATGAGAGAAGAGGTCCCAGAACCAGACCAAGACAGGGTCGGAGATCGCTGGGGTAGAGCCTTCACCCCAGTTTTCGTAGATTGCAACAGCGCGTAGAGAAGCAACATCTAGCGGCTCGTCCGAACCGCGAACCAAGAGTTCAATCTCCTCGGGCCGGAATAAAGACAGTGCATTACCACCACAAACGGTGAAGAACCCTCGCTTGAACGGCTCGAATTGCCGCGCCACCGCTACATCCAGTAGATATTGAACATACAGCTGGACAAACTCTTGGCGATTCTCATTCGTCACAGGCCGAGACTCGCCTCCATCGCATAGAGGGACCTGAACAATTTGTCCATATCGGTCGATTTCTGCAACAAAATCGCGACAAAAGGTTGCTTGTACGTCGCCCTCGAATTCTAGTAACTGGCGCAAGCCACTCGCCAAAGCCGGCCGGTACTCTGCGAGGTCTTCTAGCGAATATGTCATTTTTACTCGAGGAACAGACATTGCAGGAGTGGAAGTTGATGGAGCTGAGGCAAGAAGCTTCTTGAAAGCGAATGGTGGTAGGGCAACATCCAGGATTGTCGAATTATATATGGCGAGACCCAGAACCACTCCAACAAGGAAGAATTGATCAGAGGTCTCGAAGCAATTAGGGTTGAAGTAGCAGTAGTGTGAATCTTCATCATACATAAACAGCCCTGGGACGTTTGAAATATAGCGTCAGCTTAAACGTTACTCCTGGAACTCGGAAGGAGAAATATACTCACCATGGTTGGGATCGAAAACCTCGCGGACAAGCAACAAGAACCATTCCTTTCGAAGGCCACCTGCGTCCACGCCCTCTTCATTTCGAAATTCAATTCGCAGCCCTTTCTTTATTTCTTCCTGGCTCGCCCCAACCACTTCGCTAACGCCACGAAGGCTGTCTTCCACCAAGCAATCCCTTCTGACTTTTAACAACAAGTACTGGTTTACTGCCTTTCTGCTCATGATGCTATCAAAAAATGCCTCGCGTGCTTTGACCTCCATCTGTCTTCTGGCGTCATATTCCATGATCCGGATTTTAGCCCAGATGCTGAGGAAGAACGGATACTGACAGAATGTAAACTTTCTTCGAGCTTCCCAGGTTTCAAAATCGGCAACAAGATCGGCATAGTCCAAGACGGAGTTGTAAAAGTCGCTAGTAGGCAACAACTGACCATGATTCTGAGCCCTTTGACGAGCAGCAAGTCCAGCACTCGCGGGCACGGCGTCTGATGGATTCGAGGTGACTGGCCGTTTCCGGGGAACAAACGCAGCGCTATTAGCAAGGAATAATAATGCCATTATTTTTGCGGCCGCCTTGATCTGCCAGTCATCACTATAAACTGTCTGCTTAGAGCTGGCATCCGTTGCTCTCGAAGTCCCAGCAACTCCTAGAGCTGCATGTAATTGCGCCGAACTGCTAGCGCCTGACCCCGAAATACTCGGAATCAGGCCGGCAGTTGGATCGAGGCTAGTACTCCGCGGCCTGCCCGTCTGCCTGCTTAACCGGTAAGAGACAAACCCTCCAACTAAGTCGACTATCTTTCGAAATTGAGGCTCAGAAAAACGCGCGAGCCAGTTGGCGAGAAAATGGTGGCACTCATTGGATACGTTTGACAAAATACCCAGAATTCTCTTAATGATTCCAGAATGGCGACCAGGACCGACGCTATCTTGGCCGAGGAAAGTTGCATGAGACCTACCCTGCCCAGGCGGATAGCCCCGATTTGGATGAGGCAGTCCAAGGGCATTCCGGTTCGGCGACAACGGATGACATGCTGGCGCGGCGGTCCATCGTTTTGCAGGCACTGAGGAGTGGATAAGTGGATTCATGAGTAATATAAGCAGAAATCGAATATCGTCGGGATATTTAATTATTCGCCCCGGTCTTTTGAGGACCGTCTCAGTTGCTTTCAATAAGGTCCTTTCCAGGTGCATGCGGGCCTCCTCCAACTCTCGATCAATATCTTGCGCCGTCGCCTGGCTAAAGGGTAATTGGTTTGCAGATGAGTTTGCAGGGTCGGCGCTCGGCGTCCTGTTAGCATTGGCGAGAAGAATCTCTTTCCAATTTCTCCCAGCAGAGAGAACAATTTGATACCATTCATGGACTTTGCGCCAATCGATATGTGGAGACTTGACACTGACAAATCTTTCGGGCCTGCGAGGACGATCAGATGACTTATCTCGATGATGTCCTCCGCTTTGCGAACGCTTCTGTGCCCCCCGATTTCCCGTCCACCATGAGCCGTTCTCGGCAACGTCGCCTAATAAAAGCGTCTTTGCATCCAATTCGGAGAGGCGCGTGAACTCGGGCGCTGGCACCTCTCGGCCTACCATTTGCGGCACAGGTCCAGGATTCGACTGAGGCAAAGGGCAGATGCCGTCGCCAGCCACAGTGTGCGTCCTGGTTGAAGAAACGGTTGGGAAGGAATGATTAAGAGAATCCATGCTCTCAAAGCAAGCGATAATGTAATCCTCTACCGGCTTCAAGATATAACGGGATCGATTCTCTCTCTTCTCCTCTGGATTGCTGCTATCAGGTAGTGGCGCGTCGCGGACACCGGGACTGCGTGGGCGTGCTTGGATCTCGGGTCTTAGAGCATTGCCATTGGGCGCTATGGCGGACTGGGGAGGCTTGGAAACTGAAGGACCAGGAGGCATGGGAGGGGACCGTAGAGGAGGTGATTGATGCATTCGATCGCCCCGGCCATTTCCAGTTCTTGGTCTCATCACCAATGTATGCGGCCATTGGGGAGATGATTTGAAAGACACTGGAGCGGAAGTTTGATTCCCAGAAGATTGCATCGTCAGTCGCCCTGAACTCTCAGGATGCGGTCGAGCCGAAGGTGAGTGCCCAAGTGGAGGTAACGGATCCAGCAGTCCGTTTCCGGGACGGAGATGCTTCTCTCGAACACCATTGGAATCGTCGAACCCGGGCCCGCTTGGTGATCGTCCTCGTGGTTGCAAACCTCGTCGCACGTCTAAATAGGATTGGATACATCGCTGAACGATCGCTTGTGTTCTTTCGACGGTCAACAAGGGAGCTACAAATTCGTGTCAGTCTTTCATCCGATGAAGGATAAATAGTCATCACTGTATACCTTGTCGCGGTTCGTCTGGCGCCGGCGAACCTTTTTTGCCGGCCCATTTCTCCGACAAGCCCGCTTTTGGAGGCGAAGGTAGTTCTGTCGTTTTCAGATCGTTAACCATCGCACACAGAGGGCAACGAAACACAGTGGCCCCCTGCGGCCAGCGCACCATCGAGGCACAGGTCAGACAGTGTCCAGTTTTAATGTTTCTCTCATCCATCTTTCCGGATCTATAATGACCGTCCCCCCCGGCGCCAAAAGGCAGATTGCCATCAAATGGCGGGAAAATGCTGAGACCGCTCTCGTCTGACGAATCAATATCTCCCCATGGGTCGACCGGGATGGCTCTTTTTTTGCTGGAACCAAAAAGTGAGGGAAACGGATGGCTCTTTGAACGTCCGTGCTTTGGAGCTCGGTCTCGTGGGGAAGGATACAGGCGCGGGACCGGGTTATGGTGATATTCCTCGGCAGTTATTATGCAATCAGAGTCATCATCATAATCATCACCAGAGAGGCCCGCTTTGGAGATCGAAGACGACGCTCGGGGTCTGGCACTAGCGTCTTGACTTGAGGCTGCAGCTGAGGCAGCTGTGTTAGAGAGCAGCCGGGATGGCCACGGCGGCATCGGTAGAGTAGTGATAGGCCAAAAAAAGGGTCGGCGAACACAACAAGACTAGGGTAGGGGCGAACGGGTTCGCCCTCCCAAAATTGTCGAGCGGCAACGCTGCCGACCAACTAAATGTGGGGTTACTGTTATTCGCTGCTAAGGAGAAGCTTAGCAGCGCTATCCAGACACAGATAATCGTTCAATTGTCTTGAATCACTTGAAGTTCGTCTGGATGCGATTGAATAAAAAAATTTGAAACGACAAACGAGTGACAATAAATTGACGAGTATAGAGTGCTTTGAGCCTCACGTAAAGGACAGTCCCTCGGTCTATCATTCGGGCGCTCGGACAATTATCAGACGAGTGAGGCGGAAAGAGGCATGACATCAAGCACTTGTACAGGACAATATGAGAGAGAGCGAAACGAAAGACAGGAATTCAGGAAACAGAAAGAAGCGAGAGAAAAAGAAGGGAAAGAGGAAGAAGCTCGTATTCGGGAGAGAGGAGACGATAAAGAAGAGAAGAAGGAGAAGCACTCTAGAGGAAATGCGCGACGACTAGTTTAGAGAAGCCAGCGAGAGAGTGGAAGGATAAAGACTCGATCTTTACTGCTTGCGTCCATGTCAGGGACTGACAGAGGGGGGAGTTCATCCTGCCGCCCATTGCGACTCTTCATGGTTCGTTTCAACGACACTGTCATCGTTCACCGCCTGCCTTCCGAACCAATCATTTTCCAACTTGCCCACGCACCGTCCGAAACCGCTCGAACGGGTTTAGCTTCAGGCGATTAGAAGTGTCAAGCTTTATCCGAATATGGGAAAATGAGCAAATGGCTTAATCTCGACGTGACGAAACACGTCTCTTGGCAATCGACTTAATAATAGCAGCCAGAGCGTACCCCTCAGACAGGCTAAGAATCCGTCCCCTGTTCAGGCCATCTAGTCTCATAATGCCCACAAGAAGGAATCGTATCGCAACATGAGAACAGCGCATCAGCCAGTTCCTTGACTGTGGAAAAAGGAAATTTTCTTGAATAGCTTCCCGTTCGTCTTTGAACAAAATATCTCCTCTTTTTCATTAACGTTGTAAATGCAAACTCTCCAAACAGGCAACACATCCTAGGCCCCCAATGTGCTGCAGAACGGCCAGTTATGATCGTTCTATAAGCTGACATCTTTCATTTCTTTTTCTTTATTTTTCATATCCATTATTAGATGTCCTCTTCAAGATGTATGGGTTGGGGAGTCAAAATATCGATCGACAGTCCTTTCCTGGCTGTGTCTCACATCGTCCTGTTGTTCTTCAATTGCAGCATACCGCCGAGAGTCGGAGTGGTGCGGATGAAAGAAATAACGTGCCCAGGTGGGACGCAATTGCCAGAGGAATACCGCCAGAATCTGTGCAAAGCATCAGTATGCTGCAAACCTCTTGAATGCATCTAGGTCATCAAAAAAGGCAAATATATAACAAATTGAATGGTAGCAATCGTTGATTACTTACTGTTCCAATGAACATCAAAATTGACACGAGAAGAAGAAGGCTAGCCATAACCTGCTCATCATGTTGCCAATCCTGAAAACAACTCTTCTTCCATCCAAATGTCCTTGTACATGCATCGGGCTCAACATCCTTTGCAGGAAATGGAAAAGCTTTGTCCATAACACTGTGCAGCCCGCAGCATTGGTGGGAATCTTGAATTCGCCGAATTGCGTCTGTTTTCTTACGTTGAAAGAGAGCTAACCATTTGTCATCTAATTGACACCGCAGGCTGCTGACAGGAACGATATGACTGAGAGATAGCGTAGCTACAACTGTCTCGTACATGAGAAGTATAATTGCAATTAGCAGCTGCGATGCGTAGCTCCATATTGTGGAGCCTCGTTGATTTTCCCTGCTGCATCTGGCGAGGACATGGGCGGTGCAGCCACCGAAAGCTGCAATTGCGGGGAGTACGGTCGTGGTCAATGCAAGGTACGAGGAAACTGGCAGCGAAAGTCTCCTGATAGTGTGAAATGCATATCTATATTTCGAAGTGAGCTGTGATATTCTGGATTGGGAGAAGTTCATCTAACCCAGAAAGAGCAATCAAAGCAATAAGTGTCTCATCAAGTGCAAGTCAGTATTGCATATTGTAATATAATCAATCAGGAAAAGTCCATCGCGACGTACAAGCGGAGTGCAGAGGAGAAAGACATTCCTGGTCTTGGAGGCCATGTGCTCCATTACGACACAATGAGAGATGTAAGATGAGAGATGTAAGATGAGAGATGTAAGATGAGAGAAAGATACAGCGAGAAGAAAAGGCACTTCTCCGTTGAATTGCTCAGTTGCAATATTTATTAATTTCATAATTGTGTTTTCATTCAAGAATTGCACATAGATCCTCATTCATAGGCGTGGCACCACGACCAAAGTGAGCGGGACGGGACCGGGGAAAGGTGTGTTACACTACATCGCTGCGGCCCTTCCGACATGTTGCAAATAGGTAGTAAAGTAAGCGCAAAGTATTCAAGAGCATAGAAACTATGAAGCAGATCCGCCTTACTAACTTCTGAATTTACATTTAGTTAATCATCTTTAAATGACCCACCAAAGGCTCCGGCCATGTCTACTCCGTGCTAACTTGGCGCGTTGGAGCGAGCAGTGGACGAAGACGGACCGACCTCCTGCTTACATAATCAATTGGCAATATTAGAATTTCCACGGCTTCAGCATTGCGCAAAACACGTACAACCAAAGCCGGCAGTCAAAATGGTACATATAGTGAAGCGGATGAGAAAACTACGAGCGGTAAGTCCTATCCTCGTTCTTTAAATTTGCATCTCATTGATTGTGCTTGCTGACCGACTCTTCTTAAACGCAGAAAGTAAATGACCCTAGATCCGCGACAATGGCTTCAGATCCTCGCCATAGAAGGTCAATGGACTCGAAATGATTTGCTGACAACTTACACTTGCTTAGCTGCTCGGAATAAGATTAGGGCCTGGCGCGGCTGAGCTGCCTCCCGATGTGAAGAGGATACACTTGGACTTCGCGACTAAATTCAACGATGGGCATCTTGGGCCGAGGTACGTCCCGCGCAATGATCAATCTTAAGAAGCCAAAGAGAGACGCAAATGGGCTGATTTTCTCAATAATTGTCCAGGAAATTCTGGCGGCATTATCTTCCCCGGCTGAAATACCATAATCCGGCAGTGTCTATGACTATCAACAGGACGCACAACCAGAGTGGAAGTGCAACCATGACAATCTTTTTTGCCGATTCGTCGAAGGACGGCTCACCTCCTACTGCGGCAACCTCGACAACAACATCTGGGCTGCCTTCGGACCATATCCCTTTTGACCGGACGGAAACTGTTGAGATGAAACACAGACACGAGTCGCAAATATTATCGGAATTGGTGAAGCTCACAAAAGCACGCAAGATCGAAGCGACCGCCGAAGAAAAAGAACAGCTGAAACAGGTTCAGGAGGACCGCCGTCAGAGTGAGAAGAGTTCGCAAAGAGCTGCTGTGATCAACGCCCAGAGGAAACAAAAAGAGGAAATGTTGCGGCAGGCTCGCGCCGCTGCAGAGGCGCAGGATGTTTAATTTTCTTTCTGTTTCCACAAGCTCGGATTACCGTCCTACACTATTTCCTGTATTATATTTGACTACCCCGAGCGATCATATTTGAGTTGCGTTCAAAATCGTAAAGAAATAAATTAACTTTTCTGCATCATCAATTCACCAGGCCTTTCCACCAAGCCACGCTCCCTAGCACAAATACAATTACCATTGCATCAGTTACAATGGTAGTATAGATTACGCTGTAGCGGTTCAGAACTCGCACATATCCTGCATACGGTTCCGGCAGCATGCTTCCTAGACCTCCGAGGATGCCGGTCGTGGGAAGCCGACCCCTTTCCAGGAAAAACCGGCTGCTTTGTAGAATAAGCTCGGCTGTAGCAAATATCCAGAAGAACTGAACGCCCACTTCTCCTCCGAGCGATTCTGAACGTGAGAAATGTGATCCGCTGAAAGGTGTCGCTGCCACTATATAGACGCCGAGTGCCAGCGCGAAGAGCGCATGAACGATCCGCCATATATTCCCATACTTATTGGGCTCCGGCTGCTGTTCCTGCTGGCCTCCAAATATTGACGCAAGCCCTGGCGGTAACGCTTCTTTCGCATCAGAGCCGTTGCTATCTCCCCCCATCAACTGTTGTAGCATCCGCATCATTGGATCCTCCGCTTCCGCTTGAGATCCCTGCATTTCAGAACGACTGCCAGGACTGGTGTTACTTTGCAAACTGGGGATTTGTTGTCCCGAAGAATCAGGCCCAATGCCGGACAGCATCTGTCGGAACAAATCTTGTTGTACTGTTTGCGATTGTGGCGAATCAGGGCGTGATTCTTGGTGGGGAACATAATAATGCTGACTGATATCCACTTCTTCCGGGTCATCTGCTGGCTTATCCGGGGCGGTCGTTGGAGTTGCCGGTGCTAGAGGGCTTGATTCGGGGTTCGTAGCAGTAGACAGGGCTTGAGGAAGTTAGCATAGGCATAATACAGGCATTCTACAAGAAATGATTTGAAGGAGAGAGGGCATGCCTGGTTCTTGAGGGCGACCACTCAAGGAAGTAATCTTATTAAGCCTCGCGGCACCTCCTGCTTGGATTTTGGCTTGTCGACGCTCCCTTCGCAGTTTCGCCTGTTCCTGAGGGGTCAAAGTCCCAGGAGAAGGCGACGGCGAGTTTGATGTAGCTGTGGGAGACTCCATATTGTCTGCCAATGCCCGAACGTAAAGGTGGTTGTGAATAAGGTATGCAGAGTCGGCCCCAATCTAAGCTTGTCGGGGGTTTGACGTGCACACTGTGCACGGACCACATGACTCTGCAGGGCAACACCTCTGTGGCCTAAGAATTTCGCCCTCTTCCATTAATATCATGATATTGTAAAAAATGAGTCAATGAATCATATGAGCTTGCTTCATAGAGGGTATATAATACAGTAACAAGTTACTATCAGATCGTATTTGTAATTACATTCAATGTGAGCAATATCAGTGACGCTTAAGATCTGTTTACTCGGGATAATTCGATGGAAAATCTGAATATATCGAAATAGACACTTGGAGCAGTCTACTCAAAGGGCAAAGAGCTTGCGGAAATGATTCAAGATGAACAAGCAAGCTTTGCTGCTTGCTTCATTGCTTTCTTGGCCCCTTTCATGCTCCGCCTCGGTCTGGATTTCCTTTGAGATACTGGCGCTTTCTTCCTGCCTCCCAAAAGCCACGCATTCATTGGTGGTCTACATCCGATATGCTTGCCTTCAGGGCTGAATATTTCCACTTCCGGATATGAATAATCGTGTTCTGAAACAGTGTTGGTCGTCGAGGATTGGCTGGAAATTACTGAACCCTCATGGGCCTCGAATCTCTTCTTTCGAACCTGTGCAACCAGTTCGACCCAGCCGCAGCCCTCGATCAGAACGTCTGTGGAGAAGATCTTGTATGGAAGTTGTTCCGCCTTCAGTCCCACTGCTGAACGATTTGTGAGGGGACCGGAGCGCTGTTTTGTTACATCCCATTTTAGCGGATATTTCCCTGCTGACGAGATGATTCCACCGAGCCCTGGCTTGGTGATGACAGGCACGCCTGACGCTCTTTCTTGCACCTGTATGCCAGCTGCTTTTTCATTGGATGTGACATGGGTGGGCAGCGGCACAAATGGATATGCCATAACAATTACATCCGGCGTTGTCGGTGTGATGCGGACAAGTCCGCCTAGCAGAAGTGATTTTCCGGGCTTGATGACATGCTGCTCGGGCTTGATACGAGTCCGCATGACCAGGTCAGCTTGGTGATCCTCGCAAACATAGGTGTCCAAACTATCCCGTGTGAGCCCAGGAAGATCGATTAATTCTCCTTTGCCGCCTCCAAATGGGAGACGAATTGGTGAAGCGGTAGTACCTGGTAAAGAGGAGATCACAGGCATCACAGGAAATGGTGTCTCTGGTTGTGCAGGGGGGAGAAGCGAGTCCTCCTCCACAGGTGGATCTGATGGTAACGCCGATAGTTCTGACGTCCTCTTTCCGAATTGGTCGAAAATCTCACGAGCATATTCACCGGGCTTCGCAGCTGCGCTGTCGTGGCCCTTTTGAGATTGGTTTTGAAGAGATGCATATTTGATGTCACCCATCTTGCCCTTGGGAAATACCATCTCGAAAAGGTTGCTTTTTCCAACGTTTGCTTTGCCAACGAGCCAACCTCCTCCGCCTCGGTGCCAAATATCCTCTTTAATGTTCTTCGTCCACCAGCCCCTTTTGGAGCTTACGCACCGAACATTTCCCAATCGGACGTCTTTACCAAAAGGACCAAGAGCGTCACGCAAGACCTGCAAAAGATAGGGCATCAAAGCATCTACCTGTTCCTTTTTAGGCGCAAGCAAATCAGACCTTGTAATTATAAAACTTAATTCGGTTTTCCGCCCATGATAGTATTTTCCGGCCTTAGATCGTCGGTTTTGCGACCGTTGGGGTGCTGCTGAGAGATGCTCATGTATATTCGGAATTAATGAGAGAGGGAAATCCGCAGCATCAATAACATGGTAGACATGATTGTGCTTGTGAGGGGTTTCAGCAATTGTATCCGCAATTGACTCAATGGACGGATGATCTATGGACACGCCGGAGTGGTGATGAATAAGATTGTGGCAGCGATCGCAGAAGGGAGTCTGGAAATTTGCGTCTTCATCTAAATTAATGCAATGTGCCGTCAGCTAATTGTTAAAGGGGATTGACGCAGGGTTTTACCTTTGGTTGACGGACTGGAATCTGCCGCACCCAGCTCCTGAAGAAGCCCTGCGTCCGCCGATCGCAGAGCAGCCTTGAAAATATCATCTTCAATCTTTCTCCTTTTGGCGTTCTGGTCGAAGAGCCGTTTCACGGATCTTCCTCCAGGGGAATAAAACCCAGCTCCGTCGGGGTCTACGCTATGCGCGAGCGCTCCACAACCTGGGCAGGACACTGGGAATGCCCTATCGTGTGGGGAAAGGGCTCCATTAGATTGATTTCTGGTAGATGATAAATTGAATTGTCGTCGTTTAGTAGCTCTGGGGCATGGTATCAGGTGTCGCGGTCGAGTGAGAAAATGTGTGTTCCGGACTTGAAAAAGAGCAGGGCAGAGGTATAGAGGGAATCCCTTCAAGGCTCTAATTTCTTTTGCGACAAGTAATCCGTGGTTTTGAAAGCGTGTCCGCATTTCGAGACTCGAAAAGCGCCCTTTAGATCCTGAACCAGTGAAAATCGGGATGAAAAAAGTGTTAGGTATCGTCAGATTCGCCTCGTTAGGTTATTATTATAATACCCACGTGCAACTGGATGCTCTCAAATGGCAAATAAACGGAGACTGCCAACAAAGTCACCGCCACCGCTACACAAACACTATTTCGATTCTTTGCTTTGGCTCGCAAGAGAATACCTTAAAAAGATTCCTTATGCAGGAAAAGTAGTGATGCTTGCAGAAAAACTGAAAAGTAATCAATGTTACAGCTTCTACATATATGGACGGCGTATTGACAGGAGCCAGTTGGTCCAGATTGATTCATTACGATAGTCAATCATTCTCGAATCATATGATTATACTAGTAGGCAAATCTCGCTGCTCCAAGGCAAACGAGGACTCCTGGCAGAGTAGTGACCAGGAGGCAAGCGCGGTATTGTGCTGTAGATAATTATGCATATTGATATAGATTAAGCTT